AGGAGAGAGAGGAGGAAGAGAGGAGGAAGAGAGGAGGAGGAGGAGAGGAGGAGAGAGGAGGAGGAGAGGAGGAGAGAGGAGGAGGAGAGGAGGAGGACGGAGGAGAGAGGAGAGGAGAGGAGGAGGAGAGGAGGAGGAGAGGAGGAAGAGAGGAGGAAGAGAGGAGGAAGAGGAGGAAGAGAGGAAGGAGGAGAGGAGGAGGAGAGGAGGACCCCAAAACCCCCCACTCCTATCCCCTCGGTGGGCTGCCCACGTCTCAATTCCTTTTTTTTTCTGGCTTTTAGGGCTCGCCCAGGGCTCGTTTCGGGCCGTGCCCCATCCCTCCTGCCGGCAGAGCGAGCCCCCCCAGCCCCGAGGTGCAGCCGTTACTACGAACAACGGAATGGCGAGCAGCACAGTGCTGTTTGGATGCGGGTTTAGCTTAAAAAAAATTAATAAAATGTGGATTTTTTCTAATTTTTTTTTTTCGGAAGACTGGAAGAATTTTCGTCCCGAGACGCGGAGCAGCCGGAGGGATTTTTCCGAGGAGTTAAAAAACAAAACAAAATAATAATAAAAAAAAAAAAAGCACGGAGGACTTTGATCAGACCTCAACCATGGAAAATCGCAGATCAAAGGTAGATATTTGGGGAAGTTACGAGCGTGGTAAAAGGGGGATTACGAGCAAAAATGGTTTGCAGCCATCGGGGGAATGGATCCTACAAAGCATCCCCTGGATGTTTAATATCCTAACCCCGTGTTCGTGGGCTGGCTTCGCGTATCAAAAGCACATCTCCTCGGGGAGTTTACACGAGAGGCAGCTCGCGTGAAAGGGGAGGGCAGGAGAAAATCGAGGAGCGCGGCGTTTTTGGGGGTTTCCGGGCGTTTTCGGGCGTTTTTGGGGTTTCCGTGCCCCGCAGGGATAATTACAGCATCGTGGCTTTGGGGTTGAGTTTTTTTTTACCCAGTCATTTCAAATTCTCCCGGTAGGCTCTCGCCTGGCTGACTCACCAGCGATTGTTCCCTAATTATTAGGTTGCTTCAGATCCTATAAAGAGGGACAAGAGGAAGCCGCCTTCTGTAAAGGAGATCCCGTTGCTGATTTAATGTGATCTCCCCGAAACACAAGCCTGTCGTGTTTTCCCTTTCTTAATGAATAAAGAGGAAGGAAAAGGGGTGCAAGAGAAACAAAAATAGCGAGGGTGGAAGTGCCAGCGGGGTCACGGAATCACAGAATCATCACCGAATTTCTAGGATGGAAGAGACCTCAAGATCCTCGCGTCCAACCTAGAAATTCTTAAGGTCACTTAGCCCTGGCAGTGCTGCCACGCACCCAAAACCTGTGCCACGGAGGATTTCCCGGGACCACTTGCCTGTCCTCCGGCCTCTTGGTGCCGCGCTCGTACGCCGAGGACGGCGGCGACAGCGAGTCCCTGCGCCTCTTCTTCTCCTTGCTCTGGCTCTGCCGCTCGGGATCCCGCTCCCGGCTCAGGACGGGGTTTTTCGGGGTGGGAGTCTGATCCCTGTGGCCAGACGCCTCTCTCCCACGGTCGGCTGGTTAGGGAAAATGGGTAAAAAAAAGAGAATTTTGTTACAATTCAGCAAGTTTCGAGCTCCCGGAGTTTCAGTGGCTCCTCTGTCTCAGCCAACAGAGTCTCCATTCAAGCAAATTGCAGGTTCCCTCGTATCAGCCTCACTGCAGCGTGGTTAAAAGAAAACTTCCATCCTAATTTCTATTTTTAGGTCCTTCTCCGGCCCCTGAGCTGTTACCTAATGGCTGAAAACGCACCACGCTTATTTTTAGGTCCCGCCGGTTCCCCCTCCTCCCGTTCCTCTCGCAGGGTGGAAACGCGGTGGCTCCGACCCTCAGCACGCGTCTCCCGAGGAGTTTTTACACCCGAAAACTTGTTCAGAAAGCAAGAAGCTCCCCGAGAACATCGACACTGAACGGAGCCTGCGCTGAAAGCCGTGGTGCTGGAGGGTTTGGGCACAGCCCGGGGATGTTTCAGAGCCACCCCGGAGATTTCGGGTCAAACAAAAACCCCAAATGCGCCCTTGCGCTCTTGTTTCCGCCTCCCAAAAAAAATTTGGGCGAGGGGATAAAGGGAGAGAGATTTGCAGACAACCACCAAAGCCCGGAGGTAACAGTTTTAGGGGGTAGGGTAATGTTTTGAGGGAGCAGAAATTGCTCCTCCATCAGCTCGGCGAGCTTCTTTGCATCGTGGGCTGGGTTTGCTGGACTCGGGGCTCTTGGCACCAGTACCCTGTGAACATCCACCTGTTTTCTAGGATTTTTTAAAAAAAAAAGCATCAGGACGTACCGCTGCTCTCCTTTTCTGCTTGGCTCTTCTTCGGGATTCGGTACACCTCCTGCAAAACAAGCCACAAGTCAGATTTTCAGCTGGCCACGGGAGAACACCCCCGGCGCCCGCAGGGCTGAAAAACTGTCTTTTGAAGCCAAGTTCTGGTTTTAAGCAAAGTTCTGGTTTTAAGCAAAGTTCTGGTTTTAAGCAAACCAGCGCGGTGCTTTCTGTATGCTGTCCTTCATCAGCAACTCACGTTTGGTGGGGTTTTTGTGCCAAAAACTGGACGAAGTGATCTTAGAGCTCTTTCCCCACCTGCATGATTTAAAAAAATAAATAAATATATTTTTTGGGCATGGTTTTTCTGCAGGTGTTTTAAGGCAGGTCACGCTGCCCAAGTCCTCGCAGCACCCGTTGCAGCTCGGGGGGTGCTGGTGGTGCAGCCAGCAGGCTCTGCCCTTCGTTTAAAGGCAGAAATCAAGGCAGAAATAAAGGGAAAAGAGCCTGGAGGAAAAATCCAAGAGGGTGTGCGCTGTGCCAGGCTGGGGGGGAATTCTTTGTGACTCCAGGTTTTGAGGCAGAGCCCACGGTTGTGGACTTTGTGCCACGTGGTGCCGAGCTACAGCACCCTCGATGAGTGGGAACGACTTAAAAACACATCAATTAGCTCGGCAAAACGGGACAGGACCTGGCAAGGAGGATGAAAACCTTTTTAGGGTCCCCTTTTTAGGGTCCTGGTTTTGCACGTTGACCAGCTGGGTCCCTGCTGGCCACAAACCGAGTGTTTTATGCCCCACCGTGCTCTCAGCTGTGATTTTATATGAAATATTCTGGAACACAGCATGAAAATTATGTTGTATCCTACTAGGAAAACCAAAATTCCCACCTGTGTGATGCACAGACACTATATCATGTGCACAAACACCATATACACACTATAAATATATATAAATAGTAAAACTGACTGTCCGAGCCCCAAAATCCTAAAAGCCAAGACTCCTTTCCATTTTATTGCCACCTCGGATCGTGCCCTTGCTCTCTGCCCTCCTCAGCAGCAGTTCCAGCAGCGACGTGCTGAGATCCCAGACCTCTGGGTTCATTAGGGGGTGGTTTTTTTTAGGGTTAGAGACCAAGCAGAAGCAAAAACCCGAGCCAAACCTGCTCCACGAGCCTCCGAGCGGAGTTAATTCTCCTCGATGCAACAGCAAAGGCACCAACACAACCTTGGCACCCTGGGGGAAAACGCCGTGCTTGTGTAGCACCAAAATATCCTTTAATTTAGGGGCTGGATGAGGCCGAAGGGGATTTATAGGGGGGAACGAAGGCTGCTTGTGTTATTCCACCAGTGCTGAGCGCTGCCTACCTCTGTTTTGGGATTCAAAGCTATCCCAAACTCAGAAAGCAAAAACCTCCAGCTCAGCGTGACTGCAAGATCCTCACCCTTACGTAATCTTTATTTTTTTTAAGAAATTTGCTGCTGAAGCAGCTCAGGAGGAGCTCACCTTGCCAAATTTAGGGCACAAAGGTCATGGTGCCTCGGTGCCACGGGGCGAGGGGGGTCCCTCTGGCTCCTCGCCTGCTTTTAGGGCAGCAGGAGGAACCCCCCGAGCCCACCACCACCTTTTCTCTTAAAAACATCGATTCTCAGCCCTGATTTTTTTTTTTTTAAAGGTGGTTGGAGATGACTCGAGGAATCAGGGATCCTCTCGTGGGCTGGCCGCGAGTCACAGCCCCTCCCAAAGTGCTGCTGGGGGTTGTACGAAGGGATTGGGGCAGAGATTTGTCTTAAAGTAGGGTCAAACACCTATTTATTTTTCCCTTTTTTTTGTTTGTTTTCCCCCTCAATTCTCCTCTTTTTAAACAAAGCCTGGTGCACACCTCGCACCAGGGAAACAAAGCGGCACCTCGCTGCTTGGGGTGGGAGGGATGCGGAAGGAAGCCCCTGGGATAGGAAAACCTACACGGCTCTGAACCTATAAACCAAAAAACCCCTGCGTGGGACAGAGGTGACTTCCCCTGGAAGGTTGGAGGTGCGGCACAGCAGCGCCCCAAATTGCCCTTAAAACCAATTCTTTAAACCCTCTCCACGCTGAATCCCGGAGGCACGAGCGACCAAGTTATGCGGGAGGATTTCTCTTACTGCCTTGCTCCTGCAGCCCCAAAAGCACCCGTTGGTGCTGGATTTTCCTCTTTTCTTCTCCCCCTCCTGCACCAGCAGCCCTAAAAGCCCCTCCTCGGATGCAGAGCGCAGCAGCACGCCCTAAAACCGAGCAGAGCACCCCACGCCGCGCTCCCACCGACACCGACTGCGGAGGAGCCACCGGGGGCACGAGGTGCCAAGAACCAGCCCCGAGGTGGATCAGTAGGGGCAGGAGACGAGGTGCTGGCTCCTCCCAGCTCCAAAAAAATAATCAGCAGGGCACGCAACGTGAAAATAGGGGAAAGAATGGTCCGAAAGGATGGTGAACCGGAGCTGGGTACGGCTGGAGCGTGGCTCGGCACGCAGCGGGACCGCCGGCACCGCTCCGGGGAGGAGCGGAGGCAGCAGAGCCTTTGAAAAGGGCACAAAGCAGAATTTGGGATCGGCTCTATGGGAAGCAGATGGTGGTCAAAGCAAGAGGCAGGGAGAGCTGCAGAGCGAGGCTGGGTTATTTTGGGATCGGAAGGCGCTAGCTCGAGCGCACGGAGCCGCTGACCCGGCGGGAGGGCCGCCAGCGGAGCCCAGGCGGTTCTCTACCTTGGAGACCGGCTTTTAACGAGTTACACAAAAAATTAGCTGCACGATTCGGGTCTGCTACAAGCTTAAGGAAAGAAAAAAAGCCCCGAAATGAGGCTGGCGGGCTGCACGCACACCCAGGAGGGGGTCCCGAGCGCATCCCCATCCGCGGCGCACGAGCGCACGATGCTAAGGTAGGGAGGGGAGCAAGGACTGAGCCCAAAACTTCCCTAAATAAAGGCCAAAAAAACAAAAAACCCAACAGCCTGGCCGCTCACCAGCGCCTATTGTTTCCACGAGCTGTTTTCTCGCTGTAAGTTCTGACAAATTACAAGCGCCCTAATTAGAGCGTGCCGGAGCGAGAGCAGCTTCCCCGTGCTGCCCTCTGAAGATGTGTCAACCGTGATTTGGAGAGGTTATTTGGGGGAAAATTAAAAGCTCAGCTCGTCGGGGCCACCCAAGATTTGCTGTTTCCTATCAGGGAAACGATTAAGCTCCCAAAAGGGGGTTTTGAAGGAGAGCAAGTCCACCTTGCCCAAATCAAACAGCCCGGGCATCGCCTTGGCCCTAAATTGCTAAATTGTTTGGGGAAGAAGTGTTGGGGTAAAACCCTTCAAATCCAAGGCGTTTGGTTCTTTCCTAAAGGGGTTTCTTAAAAGAAAATAAATCTATTTATGAAAATAGAAGGCTTCAGGTAGTAAGGAGAAGGTTTGGAGCCTCCCAGCTGCAGCTCTCTGGTTGTCTAAGGGATGGATTTGAGATGTTTCGGGTAGCAGAGTGCTGTAGGATGCTTACGGGATGGGCAGTGGAGCTGTAGGACCCGCAGGCTGGCTTTGGGGTCAGCAGGGATAAACCCCAGGGCCAGAATTAGGAAAGCTCAAGCTCCAAACCTGCCCGATGCCCCTCAGCACTGAGATCACCCCGCAAAAAGCCCCTAAGGGCTTCACACCCGCAAATCCCAAACACCAGAGGGGTGCACGTCCTCCGTGCCCTGCTCGGCGGTGCCGACCCTACTGCAGAAGGTGCGGGTGCTGCCAGAACACGCCGAGATGCTGAGAGAGAGAGAGAGAGAGAGAGAGGGGGGAGCACAGTGGCCATCCATCCACGGGGACCTTACCTGCTACGGGACGGGAGCACAATCCTGGGGTTGGAGGGGGGAAAAAGCAGCGGGAGACCCCCGCGTGCTCTCCAGCCCCCGTGGTCGGGTCCGTTTTCAGCACGGGGGAAAAATGCCCCGCGGCCCCGGAGCTTGGGATCCGCGGGCACGAGCCCAGGCTGAAAACGTCCCCATTTTTTTTGGGGGGGTGTGTGAGGGGTGTGTGTGGTGCTGAAGGGGGGGTGTAGCAGCGGCCACAGCTCCCTGGGGGTTACGGGGCCGGCGTGGCCGAGCCCCGTAAGCCGAGGCAGCCGTCCCCGCGTGTAGAGGTAGAGAAAAGAGAGAGCTCACTTAATCCTTTCACGCCGGGAGCTGGTTTTTTTTTTTCCCCCGGCCAATGGACGCAGCAAAATACCGTCGGCAGCGCCGAGTTAACCACACCTCTGTCCTTTTTCCACCTAAATCACTTTGCTCATGCATCACCATCCAGCTTCCCAACCATCTTCCCGTCTCTTCGCGGCGCGCACGCTACGTTCGCTCCCTTCTTCAGCACGGAGTTGGGACAAGGAGACACATGGTCAGCTGGTGATGTTAACAAGCTCCTTGCTGCCCTGAGAAGCTGGATGGAAATGGGTGAAATTACCAGGGGGGTCATCAGCACGGACCGGAGCAGGACATAGCTTAAAAGTTACGAGGTTGCAGATCCCCCCCCCCCAATCCCGGCCACCCTCCTGCCAGCTCCGTTTCTTTTCTTTCGGGCATCTGCCACCCGGGGCTGAGCTGTTGTTAACCAGAAATGGGTTAACCAGAGGGTAATTAACCAGAAACCAGCATCCGAGAGGTGAAAGGAGGACAGAAGCAGTTAACTCGTGGCCGAGGACGGCACGGGAAGCACCCACGGGGTCGTGGTTTCCCCCCCCGAGAGCGCTCCGCTGTTCGGGCCGTGCCCCTCAGGGTTTTTGCATCCCTGCCACGGCACGAGGAAAGCCCTAAGCACGCCTAAAAGATCACCGAGGGGACGTGAAGACACATCCCAGCTACCAACTCGCACGGGTGACAGCTCCAGAGCTTCACCACGGGCTTCAGCACGAGCTCCCCGGGTACCCCGAGCTCCTCCGAGCTCCAGAGAAAACCCCAAACCTCCTGGGACCGGCGGGTGTCAGATCAAATCCGGGCTCGCAGTGCAATTTTGGAGAAGTGCCCCGTTTTGGGCAACTTGTTCCTTAATGCTTTTACTTATCTCCCTTGTGCTGCTCCAGGTTTCAGCCCTGCAGCACGTGAAAACCTCGCGCTGCAAACACGGGGCTGGGGGATCCCCACGAGCGCGTCTCCAAAGCAGGAGCTCGCTTTTTTTTGGTTTTCAGCTTAAACACCCCCAGGGATCCAGGATTTCCAGTTCCACCTGGAAGGGAAAGTCCTTTCCAGGAAGGAAAAGGGCTTCCAGTTCCACCCCAACCCCAACCTGGCAGCGCCACTCGCATAAAGGAACCGTAAGAGCCAAGCAAACCTAAAAAGTTTGCACGTTAAAAGCTGGTGAGAGATATTTGGCAGATCCACTCGGTAAAGAAGGGAAGGAAGAAGAATCTCAGCCTAATTTTCTACAGCAAGACCTTTCAGCTCATGTTTCGTTTGGTAAAGTCTCGCCTCCTCTCCCGGTACGATTTATGGCACAAATGATTACGCCCAAACAATTCTGTTCAAGAGCATCTGATTTTTCCGAAAAAATCAGAAATTAAGGTAAGATTTCCCTTGAGTCTTACACAAAACTCTACGTTTTATAAAATAATGTTTGCAGCCACGGTAGTGAACGGACACAGCTCTTTGCATAAAGCAGCCCTTTGGCTAGATGATGCGCTCTAAAATGTAAATTTGCTTAAAGAGCACTAATTAAAACCGGGCGGGTGCTTGATTAGGAGAAGGGCAGAACTCCTCCACCACTTTTTCCACCAAAGCTGCCCCGTTTGGAAGCTCTGCAGACCCAGCAGGGACTCAGCTCCGTCTCAGCTGGGTGCTCGGGGACGTGCAGAGGTCCCTCTCTTCTCCCTCCTCCTGTTTTGTTGGTGTGGACGCAGCCTCAGGGCTCTGCTGGATCCTCAATAAATGCTTTCACACTTCCAAGCAAGGCTCTCGCCCTCCTTGCTCTCCCCAAAATATAATCCTATCAGAACAGCAGATCCACCAGGAGTTTCCAAAGACCTAAAGAAACCCCCAGAAAATGCCCGAAGCGTTGAGCAACAGCTTACAGAACTCAATTTCACCCCAAATTTCATCAAAGATTGATGGCAGCTAAAGACCAAGTGGCCAAGAAGGCCACCTGCACTGCTCAGGGAGGAGAAAAAGCAACCAGCAGCCCCCCGACCCTGCTCTTACATCATTTGCTCCAGGAAGAACTTGATGGAAGCGAACCAGCGAGCAGATGGATTTTCTAGCAGCCCCTAAAAGCTTAGATTAACACCCCAAAACTGAGTATTTCTTGGTTTATATCCAAGCTACGCACATCTAGAGGTTATCCCAGTATTAAAAGTGGTATCAAGAGGCCAAAATGCTGCCAACAGATGGGTTTTTGTGGAGGCTCTGCACGTTGCAGGTGTGGAGCATGTGGTAACGGAACAGGAAACGCTGACGAGCTTCCCATAACTTAATTTAAGAGGTTGCTGAATGGGCATCGAGCTGGGCACTGGGCATTCCAACCAGAATTGTTTGTCACGCTGTCACTAGGTCCTTTTCCTGATCAGTTGGGAGCTGCCCTCCCCCTGAGCAGCCCCAAAACCACCCCAAAACCACCACGAGGTGTTTTTGTGGTGGCCAGCCTGCACCATCTTTGGTGTGCAACTCCAAAAACTCTGGACAACACCACCTGGACAACATCTGGACCAAAAACCACCTGGAAATCTGTTTGAAATCCCGGACGGGGGAGCTTGCAATGAAAGGATGCACACAGAAAGCACCCGAAAAGCCCCAAAGCAATCGTAGATGTCCAAGATTTACCAGCAGGACCACGTCTCAGCCCTGCTGCGCCGCGTTTAAGGCCAACAACTCCGCGTTGGCCTCAGCAGGGGCAGAGGTGGTGGGGCTGCGGGTACCCCGGGGTGCCTCTTACCTTCAGGTCTTTCCAGCTGTCGAGCAGCCTGGTGGCCAAGTCGCTCACGTCGACGATTTTGTCGGTTTGCTCCTGGCTCCTCTCGCTCTCCACGTCGGATACGCCCTCCTCTTCGTCCTGCGACGGCGTCTCCATCGTGATGGGCTCCTCCAGCTTCGCCCCGTTGCTCTCCTTCACCTCCACTTCAGGCTCGGCCTCCAGCTCCACAACTTGGGGTTTGCTGCTCTCCACCGGCACGTCACCAGCGGGTTTCATCTCCTGCTGTTGCTGCTGCTCCTCCGACGCCTCCGTCGGGGCTCCCTCCAGCTGGTCCAGGTCCTCCTTCCCTTCCTTCCCCTCCAGCTCGCTGGTTGTATCCGAGATGGCGCTGTCCATGCTGTTCTCACTTATAATTTTGAGCCTCCGAAACACCAGCTTTTTGGGGGTATCCGTGTCCCCTTCCACGCTCTGCTTGGCGGAAAGATCGGGCGTGTTGAGCGGTGTGTGAGCCCGTGACGTGTTCTCGCTGGAGTAGCCGTCGCCCTCGCTGAGCTGCGGGACAGCTGTCTTGGTCTGAGCCCAGCGTTGAATGATGGGGAGCACCTTGCTCTCCTCCAGCATGTTCTTGGTGGGGATAGGCAGCAGCTCCAGCGTCTTCATGATCTGATTGAAGAGAGAAAAATCAAGGTGAATGGGACTGCGACAGGTCACGAGGAGAGAGACGCAGCCCTCCTCAGGGCTAAACGCAGTGGTGAGCTTCTGAAGAGGGCAAATAAACCATGAGAGGAGAAAAAATAGGCAGTGGGTTGAAATTAAATCAAGTTCAATGAGCTCAGACAGCTACAGGTGGCCACAGCCACTTCTGGATGATCCACGCTGCTCCAGAAGCCAGCATCTGAAACCAGCACGCAGCCCGGCACGCTGGAGTAGAGGAAATCTCAGACTTTGGAGCACCACTGAGCCTTGGCAGTTATGCCAAGTCATCCTAGCTGCGTCTACCTAGAGCTCCCATCATTGTCCACATGAATTTAATAGCCCATAGAATAAAAAAAATAAAACCAATCCCATCGTGGGGCAAAACCTCTCCCGAAAACAGAGCCCAAATCCCCAGCAAATGTTTTGTTTTTTTTCTGAAGGAAGAGGCAGAAAGTCCTGTTGCAGCACTTCAATTTACTGATTTTTTTAAAACCAATCCTTCCGGAAGGAAGGACAGAGGATGGTTTTATGGCATTACGCTGATTTCTGCCATCTGATGGCCCAAAGGCCAACTCTTAAAACAATGACTGTAAAAAAATAAAAAATGAAGAGGAAAAAAAAAACAAAGTGTGATCTGACCCCTATGACAAGCCTGACTTGCAGCTCAGTAAAGAATGATCCAGATTTTAAAAGAGTGTATTTGATTTATAGAAAAACACCAAAGTTAATGGTGTAGTGACCAGATGCACGAGGAGTGGAGACAAAGCCCCAGCCCCAGCAAGTCAACGCTCTCGGTGTCCCTCTAAGTGCTCGCTGCCTTCTGCCGTGCCATCTTTCCAAAAATTTTGGGTTATGGGGCTGTCAGACATCGTTCCTCTTGGGGCCAGGGCGAGATGAGCGTGGCACGACCCAATCACTAAGGCGAAAAGAGAAAACCCGCGTGGAGCTCCGGGAGCAGGCTCAGAAAACAAAGGGGGGGTCAGCAGCAGGACAGGCACCCTGAAGCCCTGAGGCTCGGGCAGTTTCTGCTTTCTGGCTGGATTCGGGGCAGGGTGAGCCTCTCAAAACACCCAGCAAAGCGCTGGCAGAAGCCCCTTTAAGGAAGGAACTCCCAGCTGGTTTTTGCGTGCGATGCCGAGGCGCGTACAGAAAACAGAAACCTTCAAAGCTCCACTCGGGCCCGTCAAAGCAATACCTCAGATTCCCTCTGTCGTGCAGTATGGAAGGAATAAAGATCGCTGCCGCTGCTGTGCAAGTCTGGCTCATGTCACTAACTCCGAAATGTAAGGAAAACCACAGAGGCAAATTCTTTCCGTGTATTTACTCCCCCCTTAAAGCAGAAGTTTTAGGCCGTAGCTGCACGGATACCTGCAGTTTGTTTTCACGGAGGCTTGGCATGCGGCATGCCTATCAATAAAATCATCAGCTGCAATCAAAATAAACCCAAAGCAATTAGCAGGGCGGCTAGGAAAGCCTCAGACCCGAGGCAAGAAGGACTGACCTCCAGCTGCAGCTTCAGGTTGTTGGCGGTGCTCCCCCGGCCGTCGCCCAGCTCCGTCATCCAAATCCAGAGGAGGGAAAGCCCGTGGCACTCCAGGAAGGACTTCAGGCACGACTGCGAGTGCGTGTTCTGGATGGGTCAAAGTCACAGAGAGGCCACGGGAAGGGTCAGCGACACACGGGCAAAAAGAATTCGGGTTCCACATGCCAAACTCCTGTCAAACTCCTCGCTGCTGAAAAAGCCCGGAGCAGGGAGCCAGAGAGAGGCACCTGCCAAGCCCAGCACGCGTCGAATGTAATTCAAGGGGACGTGGCTGCTGCTCTGGGAGCAGTAACACATGCAGCAGGAGGTTTAGAACCACGATAAGACAGCTACAACGTCGTTTGCTTCTAGAAATGGGCATTTCACGACCCAGACACATCAGTTCACCAAGCACAAGGCAAGGGCTGCACCACACATCACCTACAAACCAAGCAGAACTGCTCGAGCTCCCTCTCAGCGTGCTGGCACAACTCAGACACCATTTTCTATTATCCCCCTCTTCCTCTAACGAGCTCTAAAACGAGCTCCCTGAACCAGCGATCCCTCCCCGCTCAGCTGGGAGCTTCCCACCTGTATGAGCTTGAGGCAGGTGAGCTTCTGCTCCAGCGTTTCGATGCGCACCATCAGCCGGGACAGGCTGAGAACTTGGTTCTTATCCGAGAGCCCCTCGCCGTTCTCCAGCAGGGCTTCCAGCTCCCCGTCCACCTGCCAGGAGGAAGAAAACGACGAGGAAATTAATTCTCCGACCATGCCAGGTGCATAAAACACCACCCTACCTACACGACGCCAAGGAGAATTCCTTCCCCTGGCTTCGAGAGCCCCTCCTGACCACTGCTCACATAGCGAAAGGGCGAAGTCTGGCTTTAATTTGCCCCAATTTGGTTGGGTTTCGTTTATCTGCTGCGTTGTGGTTTTCATTCCACGTTGTTTAGGGCTTAAATGCCACGCAGAGCTGCGCTGTTGCCACCAGCCTGTGAGATGCACACCTCTACGCCACGTGCACAACGCTCCGCAGGGGAAATTCCAGGTGGATGCCCCCAAAATAGTTCTGGTTGGAAATTTACCTGTTCGCGGAGGGAAAACAGATGTGCACGAGAAGATTATCCTCGTTTTAATTGCAGAGAAATTTACTTCTCCGAATTCCTAGCTCCTATTTCCATCCTTTACAACCAGAGGCACATTCCTCTCCGCGCAGACACCGAAACACCAACCTCCACAATGAGCCTACTGCTCGGTGGCACCGATTCGCCTTCCAAACCCACCTACAGATGATTTATTTCTTGCCTCCCTGACTCTCAGACGCAGCAAATGGAAACGAAGCTGGCCTTTTCGAAGGCAGCACCTCCCAAAAAAAGAGGTAATGTTATTTGTAGGAATAGGGCTTTGCTTCAAGCACAGAAAAATTCCATCTAATAGAGAGTAAGAGGAGTGCAAATCACTTCTTTGCACTCAAATTCGTTATTTAAATTCCTTTTGACCACTTCTCTGCAAACTTTCCTCCTCCACCTACCACACAAATCCATCGCTGCAACTCAACGTAGAGAGAAGGCTCACGTAACCACTTGGAGAGGATTATATGCATGAGGAGCTATAAAAAGGCTTTAAAAAGTCTGGATTGAGCTTACTTAATTTCATTCGCATCCATCTGCAAACACAACTGAAGCTGGAGTCAAAGCAAACACAAGGCACGTCCCTGCAAGCTCCTCGACGCTGACTTGCCTCTAGGCCAAAGCAATTAGAGGTTCCAATTTCACATCCTAGCCCGTGGATGGCAAACATCTGCACCATTTGAGCTGTCAAATTGCAGGTAACGTCCTACACAGTGAAGCCAGTGCTTTTTTGTCTTTGCCTGGAATTTAAAAATCACGCAACCCAAGGAATTGTGAAACCCAGGTGGAATTTAGCAGCCTCGTCCTGAAATGGGAAGCGGTGACCCGAAGACTTACAAAGAGGGCATCATGCCCTCAGCCAACCCTCTGTTGCTGCAATTCTTAAGGGAAAAACAAAAGAAAAGAAACAACAAACTCGCAGCCAGAGGAGAACGACACTCACCGAATCCTTCTTCCGGGAGCGTTCCTTTTTCATCTTCCCTCCAGCCGCTCGGATGCTGACCCTGTTCTCTCCCCCCAGGTAACCCCGGCAGTTGGCCGAGCCGCAGAAGCATTTCTGAGCTTCTTTGCTGTTCGTGGGCAGAAGCAAAATAACATTAAATAACGAATCGATGGCATTTCCAATCAGTTGCTTCATCTTACTCCTAAGTGCATCCCGCTACTGCGATGAGAAAAGGCCATTATTGCACTGCCCAGGCACTTCTCTCTCTTTCCTCTCTGTTGTTTTTCAAATACCCGCTAAGCAGCTACAAGAAAACACGGAAAGCCATCACATCCCTCTTTTTTCGGGTGTTTTTTTCTGTCTTGGAGTCTCCCTGCAACGCTGCTGCAAAGCAAGGCTGCCCAGACCACAAGGACAGGGCAGCGAGCGTGGTTTTTTCACCCGCTGCCTTCAGAAGAAAAGGGACAGAGACTTTCTGCATGCCAAGGCTTTTCGTTCTGGCCACTGAAAATTCAAACAAACCCCTCAATCCTCAAACAGCTGCTGTCATCCTGTCGTTTCCACAAGAAACCAAAGCCTGGTACAGTTCCAGGCTCTTCCTAGGTCAAGAACCAAGAACCAGAAAGGTGAAGGTGGGGGTGTTGGGTCTGAACCAAAATCACACATTCCTTGGGAAAAAGGCTTGCATTTTATTGCTCAAAACAAAATAAAGAACAGGCTGAAGGTTCACGGAAGTAGAAAGATTCAGGTGGAAGACTTTTTTTGCAGAGATTACAGCAATGGACAGCACAAGAGGTTTAAGTTGCTTTGTCTTCAGCCAATACATTTACAAAGCCTCTGTATTTTCTACTTGGCATGCCATAAATTTTAAACTATACGTCAAAACTGCTTGGGAGAGTGTGCAGGGTTTTATTTGTTTGTTTTGTTTGTGTTTTGTTTTTTTAGAAACAGAGTGGAGGAAGTTGGCTCTGCAGTACCAATGGTAAATGGAGAAGCCGAACTGCGGGGTCTCGTGTGAAGCAGAAGCTGAGATCAGGAAGGGTACGAACAAGATCAGAGCTAAAAAACTCCCTGGAGACAGAGCCCAGGTTTAACACCAAACCTAGCCAAATTAATACAGATACAAATAAAATTATGGCCCTACAGACTGTGTATTGAATAGTGACTTTCCCAGCTTTAGAGACAGCTCTGTGCTGACCCGCCTGGGTACAAGGCACTAATTTTGTGACGTGCAAATTCAGGCTGATGAATCCCACCTAGGGGCTCTAACGAGCTACCAGGCCAAATCCTGCCTCATCTTCATAGATCCGTGCCTGATTAATGCTTGGAACAGAACACGACGTGACAGCGTCTGACATTTTAGCATGAATCGATGTGTAACACAACTGAAAATGCATTTCTGAGCCTCTGCTTACAGGAAGAGCCGTGCTGTTGCAGAAAGCAGGATCCAGAAGGAAAAAGGAAGAGGCACTCATTAAACTGCTAAATTCGGTAAAGATGCCTAGGGATTATAAATTGGATCCACAATTAATCTCGTAATTGCAGGTCCTTCCACGACTGTCAGGTGCTGTTTTGTGCTGATCACTTTGAAGAGAGGGAAATATTTCACCTGGATGAGCAGTAACAGAAAATATTCAGCTCAAGTGCAGAGAAGGGAGCAAAGCCCAAGCTGCAGCCAGGCAGGAAGAGGAAACGTGCTATCTGCTAGGCTTTTACAGCCCCTGCAAGCTTTGCTAAGTTGTAAAACAGTAATGGGTGGGGAAGAAAGAAGAGACATTATTTAACAGCATGGCAAAGCCTAGAGCTTGGCCAATTAATAGACAGAAGAAAGAAACGGTCGGGTAATTATCTGGGAAGTTTCCACTGCAGGGAGATGGTATGAAGGGTAAGAAAGAGGCAATAAAGTGATACTGGAAAATAAATATTAAATAAAACAGAAAATTCCTCTTACAATCTCTTGTTTGTAATGGATGAAAATTTATCCAGGTGATTTTTTATCTAGTTGAATTCCAGCTCATTTACAACCGTTCTCCAACAGTTTTGGAGCAGGATTTCTTCACAGCATCAACACCCACAAAAACCCACTTGCAGCAGCTTAAGCAGAGAGAGGGGAGACCTACCCGTATCTCTGGAACTGGTAGTCAAACGTCAGCTCCGAACCCGACGGGACGAGTTTGGTGGTGAAAAATCCAACTCTGAGCTGCCCATTCACAGTCCACTAAGGCGAGGAGAAAACGAGATGACAACAATTACCGCAAAAGCCAGGCTTGGCTTCTTTTCCCTATTAAATTAGCAAGACTAATCCTTCACAAAGCAAGGGTGATAAGTTTTAAATCTGCTAAGTGAATCAGCTGCACTTGCCCGTTTCAAAGGTTTACATTTGCCTAATGAGAAGTTGAGAAGTTGGGAAGTTGAGAAGCCAGCAGCAGCAGCTTCGAAGCAGCAGTTTACCTTTTGTGTCTCACAGTTTGGTTCACAGCTGTGGTTCATAAAACGGGAGCAGTTTCCTTTCTGGGTAGCGTCTATTATCTAAAAAAGGAAAGAAACAACAAATAGAGCAGGACTGCCTCTCCTCCCCGTGCTCTAGGCAGAAATTTTGGGGAGTGTACCCAGGAACGAGGCATTTTTGTGCACAACACGAAGGAGAACTGCACAAGTCACCCGCCTTTCCTCCCTCAGCTATCAAAATTGTTTGATTTGGAGAGAATGGATTTCACAGGGATAACAAAAGCCCTCCCAGAAGAACACTTTGCAACCAGTCTGTGGTTCTGAGTTTTCATTCCGAATTAATACAGAGCAATTCAGTGTGGTTGGGAATCCTAAATTTTTAATATCGCTTTCTGACCCTCTGATACGTGGCACAACGAGTATCTGGGCTGGTGAAACCGAACGTTTTTGCCACGCAGATTGTGTTTTAATGGGAGATTTGCCTTCTGGATCACTGCACCCTCCCTAACTGGGGGAAATACATCCCTGTGCTCCCTTGGGATCACGGAACAATCCCGTGGCAGCTACCAAAATCGCTTACGTGGAGGGAAAAGAAAAGTATTTTTAGCTCCTTTACTGTAAAGCTACCAAGACCCAAAAAAAAAAATATCTTCAGAGGAGAGACAAGCAGAATAGGGTATTAAATTTCTATTTATACACCTCGCTCGCAGCAGGCCAGGGCCCACCGCCCAAGGTAAGCGGCGCTGCAGCTCCCTGCATTGCAGCTCCACAGCTCCGTGGGTCTAAAATAGCTGATAAGCTGGAGCAAAGATAAATAATTGAGGACTTCTGGCGTATAAATATTTCTATGACGGTAATTCTGCATGGAGGGAGTCCGCCAGCTCAAAGCGGCCCAGTTTAGCGTTACTTCTGTGGGCTGGGGGAGTGAGGAAATTTGGTTTCTTGGGTTTTCTGAGGTGGTTTGTGTTGGAAAAATAACAAAGTTCAGCTCTGAGCAGCTCTGGGGTGCTGGCGTGGTTTCTCCCAAAAGGGTTTTGCTCATGTGGAAGGGGTGTGCCCATAACCCCATCCCTTCCCACTGCCACAAGGACAGTTCCTCCTCTTCCACTCACCTATTTTAAGGACCCTGGAATACAGCCAAGCTACAAAACCTCTCTTAAACCAGGCTGGGATTAAAAAACGGGCAGTAAGACAGCCCAAGTGGCCTTCCCCTAAAAAAACACCTACAGCAGGCTCAGAGCATTGCTCTGCACACACACTGTGCTCACACCGAGCAGAGTTTTGGTGGGTTGACCGCTCACCTCGTCGTTTTTTAGGGCCATGAAGTAATAGTGGATGTTCTTGTTGCGGGCATACTCCTTCACACGCGCCTTGAATTCTTTGTGGTCCAGCACTTCCCCGCAGTACTCCAGCACAAAGGTGTTCCTGCAAAGCACACGAGGGAGAAAGCCTTAGGAAAGGTGAATCTGGAAGCAGGGATGGAGGAGAAGCACCAATTACCCTGACCCCAACACAGCAAAGGGCCAGCTCAACCCTCACCCGCTGCACTCCTTGCCATTTCCACGGCATGCTCCAGTCTGCTATAAAAATTTGTTAGGTTTTCCTGCTGCCTGTCCCAAGTTTCCTTGTTTAGTATCTGCCTGAACCCATCACCTCTTTCCTTGTGTCCATCCTATTTCCTTCCTGGCCTGGAGGATCAGGGAATGGTTTGGATGGGAAGGGACCTTTTGTGCAGAACCACGGTGGCCTCGCAGCCCTTCCCCTCCAGCCCTCGTTTATAAATTACGCCCACCTTCCCCCATCTCCCTGTTCACCAAAAAAAGCGGTTTTCCACCCAAAGAGACAGGGATGAAACAAAACCAACGCAAAGCAGAAACAAAAGCAAGGCTGCAGCCAGCAGCAGGCTCAGATCTCTGCACCGAGCGCTGAAGAACTGCGTCCAAGTCCCTTGACGAACACGAGCCAACTGCAGCAGCTCCTTTTGCTGCTCTTGTTTCGGTTCATTTCTTTCTTCTCTTACTCGAGGCGGCCTTCACGTGGTTGTTTTCATGTGGTTATTTCCTTCCCCTTGTTCCTCGAAGTCGTCGAGCCCAGCGTGCCGCAGGGTTCACCACCACATCTCCAGGACAACCTGCAGAGCTTGGGCTTCCAAAAGGTTTCCTAAAAACTTGGAGTAAAACTGGGCTCGATGTGTCCATATGGAAGCAGCACCTAAACCCGGGTGAAGGCTCTCTGGGTTAAATACACCTGCACAAGCAGAATTGTCTCCAGTGCATCTTAGATAACTTGGCATTCCCCTAAAGCAGTCAAATCTCCCTTCTGAATTAGCCTCGGGTGTTTGATGTAGCACTAAAAGACACCGCTGGAAGACCTACAGCATACCTAGTGTCAGAACCCATTGCTGGATTCCTCAACAGAAATCTTTCTCTTCCACAGAAGCAAAAAAAAAATAAATCAGTTTCCACGGAAACTCACTGAAATACCCTGAGTTAGAGAAAATCTTTGCACAATTAAATTCCAGGCAGATAGACTTCGAGCTCGCAGTCTCTCTCATGCACTTGAGACTGAGCAGACTCCCCGTGCCCATCCCCGCAGCCTTTTGAAATGTAAATCCCAGCGCCTGGTGAAACTCCCAGCAGCACAGCACTGCTTCCTCGCAGCAAGGCACGCCACCAATTTATCCTCCAAAGCCTTTTGTTGTTCATCTGCAGAGCTTCACAGCTGACTCCTGCAGGCCCCGCAAGGATCCGAGAGGGGACCCAGACTCGGATGACACGCACGACAAATGATGCTGTCTGAACCTGGGGTAAAAAAACCATCCAGATGTCCCGCAGCCTGTAAGAGCACCACTCCTTACGCAGCCACTCTCCCGTGGCAAAGCCTCTACACTCCCAAAAATCCCCTAGATTTGCCTCCTGTTTGTCCTGCTCCTCCCTGCTGCACCTTCGTGCTTCAGCCCCAAGCAGTTCCTTGAAACTACGCAGTCCTATTTCTTCTCTCGAGGACTTAAAGCTCTTTTTCTTATCGTGATTATGAGAAAAATTGGTGGGGCAGAAGGCTCCCGGCAACTCCTCGGTCTATCCTACCTGGTGAGAGGGCATTCCTGGCCCAGACCTGCTCCCTGCACATGCTGCACCTCAGCAGCAAAACTGTGCACCAAGGCATGGATCCAGGTGCAAAAATGCAAAAAAAAATCTGTGTTTAGCTGAATAATACAAGTCTAAACCAGACTTGGGTCTGCAGGCATCACTGATGTAGAACCAGCACTCAGAAGCACAGCAGTTGGCTAACGACAGGCTAACGGGGGAGGAAGGAGCCCCACAGGTTCTCCGTACAGTGCAGCCAGGAGGAGGAAGACTCCAGAAGAGGAAAAGCTTCACAGAGGTGGGAAGAGAAAAAGAACAGACTCTCTCCTCTGAAGCGATGGGACGGAGCCAAACGCGGAGAGGAGGGAACACAGATTAAACACGAGAGGAAGCTAGAGGCACGTCTGCCAGAAAGCCTGCTGAGAACAGGTTGGTGGACGAGGGGAAAACCCCAGTGGGTGATCTAATACTCGGTTAGGGTACGTACATGCAGGTAACTGCCGGGAACACACGACAGCGAGCAAGGACAGCACAGAAAACTGGAGGGAATTCAGCACATCTCCTAACAGCGGTGAAGCTAAGAAACTGCAAGCGCGTTATTTTCCACTCGCGAGGGAGTCAAACAGCACAGCTACGTCATTCCAAGAGCAAAGTCTTACGATGGGAGATCTTTGGCAGCTCTGAGTCCCCAACCTTTCTTCTCAGTGAGGATCACTTCAACATCTGCATGCTGTTTCTTCTGGAAGCGCCTGTTGGAACAGTAGTCGCCGTTTGGGCACCTGGAAGAACTAAGGGAAGGAAATGGAACAAATCAATTCCCAGCAGGACGACGGCGGCAACAGAAACAGCTCAGATGGGGAAGAGATACCGAGGAGCCATAATAAATGCAGCGTAAAACTTTCAAATGTGTTTTGCTATAAAAAGCATAACCATCTGACTGTCAACATGCAAATGCAGACAATTTATTTCTGGAAAGAAGATAAAAAAACATTTTCAGTCCAAATGCTACTGCACTCGCACGTCGTATAATCCAAATGGGCTGAAGTGGCCAATTCTCTCCACGTTTTTATGGGTTCTTCCCCTGAGATCTCCCCCTTCCCTACATCTGCTGCCTGGGCTAAATTAAAACCAAAGGGCAATGCTTCTGCCACGCAATTCCTTTCCTTCCACCCCAGCTGGTAATGATCCACATGCCAGGGTGCCAATCCCTTGCTGTGACCATCAAGCCCAACCACAAGCACCTAGCCCTGCCTCCTGCTCACGCCAAGCAAAGCTTCCTTGGCCTCCAAACCTCTTCCAGGAGATGAGAGGAGACAAGAGCAGAAGGCTGGTAAGGCTCTGGGGAGAGCAGGGACATCAAAGGAGAAGTGAAAGGAGATGAGGATCTCACACAGAGCTACATCTGCATTTCTCTCTCTCTCCCTTCAACCACGTTTATGACAGAGGAGAATTAAACCTCACGAGCAGAGGACTTTGCAGTCAGTTTTTAGCAGGAGGTTACTGAGGAAGGCACTGGCTTAGAAGATCTAAGGTCAGATCTAAACGCTGGTACGTGGGCTCTGATGCTCAATCCACGGCAGCCACTGGAAATAAGAGTGTGAAGACAACTTGCTGCCAACGACCAGAAAGGTTTGAACACTTTTAGGGGCTCCCCACTCATCCCACGTACAACGGTGGCCACTCAAGAAGCAGGACTCACCACTCGATCATGAGCAGGCGGTTGAGACAGTCTTCTCCACAAGCGACCTCCCCCTGAGCTCGTTCCTCCTTGGAGAGAGGAGGGCACTCGCACAGCATCCTCTTGATGTCCCGGTGAGATTTGTTCTTCTTCCTGCGGAAGACAAGTCATTGAAACACAGCTGAGATAGTTGTGTGCACCCATGTACGTACCTGCACACAGAGGCAGGACTAAAAACCTTTAATTTCATCATACAAGTAAAGAAGCCAATTTTCAGAAAAGTCAGCTCTAAATTTTACAGCTAAAAGACTTCTCACCACATAGCACACGTTATAAGGTTTAAATTAAGAGGATAAAAGGCTTTGATTGGCCTCTTTTGAAATCCTATATTCTGTAATCGGACGTAACGCTACGGAGACAATCTCCAGAGCTCCCTCCAAGCTCAGCTATCCTGCAATGCCCCGTTTGGCTTCGCCGATTCAAAGGCCAGGAGAAAACCTATGTTCTAAAACATTAACACATAAAACGTTAGTGAGCACGTGTATTGTTTTTAAAAAGAATTCTTTTAAAAAAGCAAATTGAAGGGTTTAGCTACTTAAACCTCTGCTTTACTGTCAAATAGGATGACTTAAAATATATATATATATGAAAACTGGAGTTACAGCAAAGGTAGGGCACCAAAGGCATCTACTGAGTGATATTTTAATTCCCATAAGATAATTAGCCCTTGCAAGGGAAATGCTTTGGAGTGAGGATCCCAGCAAGACAAAAAAAAAAAAGGCGTAAGAAAAAAAAAAAAAAACCTGGGCTGAAATAAACAGCAAGTTTTGTCTACACGTAAGTGGTCTATATTCAGGCTCTGAATTAAGAATGTGTTTTTTATATAAATGTGTTAAAGCATTTTGGCGAACAACACAGTTCAGAGCAGCCAAATGAAGCAACAAACACTGGAGTATCAAGACCCACTACAAAAAACACAGCGCGTAAATCCACACGCGTGGAGCTCCCCCGCACCGCTGCCGTGCCCTCGCTGCAGAAGGGTTTGGTGTTTATTTGGGGGTTTGAAAAACAGCCCTGCTTTATTCTGCCTCAGACTATGAGAGGGAGGCATCCCGAGGTGAGAAAGGAGCTTTAACAGGCATGTATGATGAGCAAGCCTTACCCCAAGCTGCCCAAGAAATAAAGACGGGTTACAAACCCATACGGAGCTCCATTAAAGAGGGATTGCAATTTTTGGGCAAGGCTGAAGGTTGTTGAGCTCTGAAGCAACACACTTACTGAAGCCCAAAGCTCATAAACAGATTTTTTTTTTTTCCAAGGGATCACATCCTGGTCAATATTCCCATGCAGAAGGACTCATCAATCAGCAGCTCACTTCTGGTATTTCACATTGCAGCTGTTAGAGCTAAAATAACTTGTTTGAGATGATAAATGATTACGTGCAAGCACCCAAAGCCTTTGAAAACACTCAATGTGTGTCCAGAACCTTTCCCGTGCCCAGATTTCCCTTTGTCTTGAGGGTTGTCCTCTGGGGACTCTGAAAAAATGAGATTTGACAGGCCTGGGGGTGATGCTGCTGCACTGCTCTGGGCTCTACTGCAGCCCCACCACTGGGGGGGGGGTCATATGAATGGTGGACAGCAGAAAACACAGAAAAAAAAAAAAAAGGAAGAAAAAAATCAAAAAAAAGCTATCACAGAATCAAATACAAGTTGAAATCTGCTACAGTCAAAGGAAAAAAATAAAATTAAAGAAAACTCAGTTACCTTTCCGTCAAGTACACGTTTTCCTCAATCAGGTCAAAGTAACAGGGCATCTTGCCTTGCTTGGCAAACTCCTTCCAGCGCTGCGGGTCTCTAAAGTCATCCATGATGCACAAGCGACCGACCATGGAGGAGTCCTGCGGTGCCGCCTCCGCTTGCTCCCCCTCTGCCTTTACCTTCTTCCTCTCCCTCGAGTCGCCATCGCTCTCAGAGTCACTCTCCAACTCCTGGCGCCTTTTTTTTGGCGGCCCTCGCTCCTTCACGTCGTTTTTTTCCAAAGCCTTCACCTCCTCCTTTTTCTCACCGGCGGAGCCCGGCTCCTTGGTGGAATTGCTGCTGATCTCGTGGGCTTGCACAGAACCTGCCTCTTTCTGCTCAGGAGCGTGGAATTTACTCGGGGAGCTGGGAAAACGAGCCTTGCACTCATCATCCCAGCGGTCATCCTCCTCGTACTCCTCGTGATCCTCCGTTAGGGAATCCGGCACTTGCCCTTGAATCCGTTCGTAATTAATTCCAGAAGGCCTGCTAGCAGACCTTGCGTCCCAATAACCGTTGCCTTGCCAGTAGTTCTGAGAGCCGCCGTAGGCTCCCGAACCTGGCTGGTAAACGTAGCCTGAGTAGACCCCGAAGCTGCTATCCGGCTGCTGGTAGGTGCTACTGGGCTTCTCCGGCTGGGAGAAATCCCAGCCTAAACCACCCAAATCCTCCGCTGTATGAAAACCGTCCACCTTGGAGAACTCCCCGAGGCCAGACTGATTAAGCCCACCCTTCCCCTGCCTGCTGTCGGGCTGGGAAGCGTTGGTTTGGTGTCGGGAGTTATCGGCGCTTTCCAAGCTCTCGGGCAGACAAAATGGCTGCTCCTCCTGCAGGCCACCAGGTCTACCCGCGGACACCAGCTCCTTCAGCCTCTCGTCCTGGTTGGGTTTGCCATCGGAATCCGCCGCTAAATCTGCCTGACTCGTGCTGTCAACGCCATCGCTCTGAGGCTGGCAAGCGTCTGGACGAAGCTCTTCGGGCTCCTTCCTGCTGAGCTCGGTGGAAGAGGCCGGGCTCTTCTCCATGCCCCGAGGGGAGCACCTGCTCTCTGCCTGCGGGCCATTCTTACTCGTCGTATTCTCCGGCCTCTCTTCGTAGTAAGGCCGGCTGGGCTCCGGCCTCTCATCGTCCCAGTGGTCCGAGTAACGCCGGTTGCCTTGGCTGCTCCGCGAGGAGCACGGGCTGCTCTCCTCCATGGCGATGGTGGAGTTCTTGGGGACGACCACAACCGACTGGAGCCGCTTCCGAGGCATGCCATCGTCAGAATCTGAATCCTCCGTCTCGCTGTCGTCGCTGCCCGCCTCGCTGTCGCTCTCGGCCGTGTCCGAGTAATCGTCATGGCGAGCGGGAACGAAGTCGGAGGCGCCGCCGCTGCTGTCACACGTCGGGGCCTGCGTTAGGGTTTCAGTTTCTTCAGCGGTGACCACAACGTCGCAAGATGGAAACAAAGCGTCTGGAAAAGCCGACGCCACCAAGGGCCCATTCCCGGCGTCCTCAATTGAGGTGCCGAGGCCTTGCTCTTTCAGGTCGTCAGACCCAAGTCCCTCGGTAGAAACCGCGCTTTCTTCCACCACGACCTCTCTGCTGCGGTGCTCCGGCGGCAATTCGGAGTAATACGAATGCTCGTCCTTGAACGACAGCTTGCCTTTCGCCGAAGGAAGGTCGACATGCCGGGTGTCCACCTCCAGCATCTCCTCAGCTTCCACATGGTGTGCTGGCCTCTCGCATTGGCTTGGCGGGGCCCTGTCCCACTTGGAGGGGACGTTGCCCTCGGGATGCTGCGCGACCATGGGATTGTCCAACCTGATTCGGGGGGAATAGCCATCCTGGGAGGAATCTCTGCTCGAGCTGTCCACAGCTAGGCTCGTTTTATGGGCATGGTTCATATGATACTGATCGTCTTCACAGGCCGACTTGGAATTTTGATCCTCTGGGCTTTCATAGTCGCACGTCACCGTCTGTGGTTCGACGTGCACGTCCAGAAACGCCTCAGAAGTAACTTTCAGATCTGCTGGTTCTGCTTCGATTTCAACCTCCGAATGGTACAAAGAAGGGGTGGCATCATCGGAAATGTAGCAAAAAACTGATTCTTTGGTTTTGTCGCATGGAGTCGCCTGATCATCCAGCTTCTTGATTAAAGTTTTAGAGTGATCTACATTCACCACTGGCAAAGGCATAGCTTCGCATTGCTGCTCTGGGACCGGAGCCTCCGTTTCCTTAAACAGGCTGCTACACTCGCTGGACTGCACACGAGAATCGCCTAGCTCATGCTCTTTAGAGGCATACGTGCTCTCAAATCCATTCGATGGCAATGGATACGACTTACTCGTCTTTACGACGGGTGACACTTCCGACCTACACAGGCTATCGTCAGAAGACGCTGTGACATCCTCTGGTTTGGAGGCACTGAGAGTTGCCAAGTCATCAGACCTACCCTCTGGGGACCCATTTATATTCATTTCCATAGGGAAACACGTTCTTAACTGCTCGTGCTTTACCTTTACTAAAGTCTCTTGCTCCTTAACACTGTCATGGCATTCATTTCCTGCAACTTCCTCGGACCTTGAATGAGGAAAACCAGCTTTTGATTCATCAGTCTTTTTAAAAGTGGGTGAATCATTTAACTGATTTAATGGAGAAAGTGTCTTTTCCCTTTCAAATCTTTTTGCAATGGACACTCGGATCTCATTGCTTTTTAGACAAGAGGTCTCTAAATCTAGAGAATTAGACTGCTGCTTTATTTCTTCAACCGATTCTGTACAACAGAAAGAACTCTTAAATTTATCAGGCTTTGGCGCAGGGGTCTTTGAAGGGGTGGACTTATAACGGGAGGAATTCACATTACTGTCAGGCTTAGAATGGGATGTCCCCTTTCGATACCCGAGCTCATTAAGGGGAGAGCACCTTTTGGTTACTTCACTTTCTGAAGTCCGTTTTGAATCTCTATCTGCTTTTGAAGAAGACTTTCCTCTCCTCTCCATGTCACCATGAGATGACTCTATTTTGCTGTCCCTGTCCGACTTAGAGTAAGAAGTCCTTGAATCTCTGTACGAAGAGGAGTGGGACGACGTGCGCCTCGAGTCGCTAGATCTGGAATGTGTCCTCCTGTACTCGTCTTCCGAATCAGAGCTCTCCCTCGCCCTCGAATCCGCGTACGAACGAGAGTATCTTGTCCTTTCTCTGTAAGGGGAGCTCCGGTGGTATCTGCGGTCGGACTCGTAGTAATGCGAGCGCTCCGACCTCGAGTACGAAGAGCTGGTTCGGGAGCCCCGATCGGACCGGGAACGAGAATGAGAGCGGCTTCGCCGTCTGTCCCTGTCTGACCTCGACCGGGAGGACGAGTACCGCGAATCTCGCTCCGACTTGGAATAACTAGAGTACTTCTCATCTCTGTCCGACTTGGAGCGCGAGGAGGACTTCACCAGTTCTTCTCCCCTGAGCGACGCAGAGCTTTTCCTGGGATCTCTCTCTTTTTCCGCGCTGGATATCTTCAGTTCATGCGAGCGCTGGCTGGAAGAAGTCCTCACAGAGTCTTCATCAGACTCGGAGCCCAGCAACGCGCCGTCGGACTGGGAGAACTTCCTCTTCGAACCCTGTTTCCTAGAGCACAGAGAAGCACCCTTGGAGCTGTCTGCCACCTCGTCGTCTTTCCCAATATGGGAATCTTCCTTCTGTGGAGTTATTTCCACCTGCTCGGCCGTGTGTACGGTTACGTGCTCTTCCAAACCGTGCGATACCGCATCCTGCTTGACGTCCAGCTCCAAAGCCTCCTTCGGCACCACGCGACACGGCTCCTTCGAAGCCGGGACTTCTGCTTCTACAGGCGGCGACAGCAGCAGCGTCGACATGAGCGTTACGGGCAGTTGTGGCAAGGCTGCTGCTGCGGGAACTGGCATGGATGCTGCTGGTGATGCTGTTGGAGGAGGTGGAGGCGGCGGTGGAGGTGTCGACGGGAAATCCGCGGCCGCTGCCACCGGTTCCGTTACCGGTGCCAGAGCCGACGGCGGCAACGTCGCTGCTGCAGCTGGTGGCGGTGGTTTGGTAGTGACGCTAAGTAAATGTTTCTTAAAATGGATCTTCCCCAGTTCTACCTTCGGTTTGGGAGGTGAGGACTCCTCAGCTGAACCAGCAGCATCCCCAAGGTCCATTTTAATTTTGGGGTTAAAGTCAGTCTGAAGGGGTACTGCTGGGGAGTTCTGAGTTTCATTTTGTTTCTCGTTTCCGAGACCGGTCAGAAATCTGTTCGGTAAGGTTTTCTTGGTTAAACTAAAGCTGAAAGACACTTTTTGTCTTCCCTGCTCCTCAAGGTTAACCTTTGTTTTGGTGCCTTTGGGCAAAAAGCGACTAGAAGCAACGCCTTTGAACACTGGGCCTTTGATAAAGCCAGCTTTCTGCACGGTTTCAGTCTTGCCCTGGAAAAGACAAAAAAATAAAAGGCTGTTAGAAGAAGGTTTTTTTTTTTAAAAAAAAACAACTCTGTTCTACAGGAGCACTGAGCAATTTTCTTCTACCTGGTGAATTTTTTATGATTATAAAATAGAAATTGATATCCTGGGCTGAAGTCTGGGACAGCGCAGCCACGCTGCTTTTCTGAGCCTGCCTCTCTTTTGATCAGAATCAATTATCTGCTCATTTTGAGTCTTGAACAGCATCTCCTCTGGGATTCAGGCTGAGGCTTTTTAACTGACTTATTAATAACCAAGCTGAAAGTTCTTTTTTAATTCTTATTAAAAAAAAAAAAGAAGGGGTTCGACGCACTAAGTTAATCGAAGAGAGAGCGCTACTTTATTTGTTCTGTTTCTATGGTCTCACACCACCAAACACCCTGCACTTTTAAGCCTTAGGTGTGTTTGCTTTCACACCCCGGCAGACTGCACCTGGATGCGTTTGGTTTCGGAGTGAGTCAGGCTACCAAGAGCTACAGCCACAGCTTCAGGCCCCGTCCTTTCCCACGTGCTGCTTTATCTCGGGCATTCATCCTTCCCGACAAGTCTCGGGCTAACAAACAGGTCAACACAGAGTAAGGCACCTCTCACCTTACAGAACGCAGTTATCAAAGCCCAAGATTAGCAGCTTTCAGAGCAAAAAGCAGAGCGTGTTTATTTGCCTTGGCATTTGTCCACCTATTTTAAAGCCACGGGCTTGTCTCCGCAGAAGCTCTATCGCTATCCACCGCAGCGGAATGAGAGCACGACCCCCAAAATGAATGCTGTCCCGCTGTGCTAAAGGGGTGCTCCTCTCCATCTCCTTCATCCCCATAAATCCATAACTGCATTATTCTAATTACACTGGGCGAGGAGCATGACTCCAACGCAAACACTTCTAGCAGTCGGAACACCGTACACGGCGAGGTTTCCCTCCCATAACTACTGCATGAACACATCGCTGGCAGCAGCAGAGGTTTCCTGCTGCCCACGGTGACTTAGGATGTGCTTAGTTATCCTTTAACTTCTGCAGAACAATGCACAGCTGCTCAGGCTAAAGGCACCGCGGTAAATTATTAAGGAGGGTGGTGGAACGGAAGCCCCATCCCATTTTGAAAAAAGGCACGTCCACGTGCTTGTCTTCCTCACCAACACTGCCCCACTCTCATCTCTAGAAAGGCCGCTGAAAATGCTGTTTTCAAAGGGATGAACACATTAGAAATTATCTATTTTTTGAACCCAGACAACAGACTAATCCACAAGTGCACACAGCCAAATTCACGAAGCATAAAGGACAAAACCAAGCGTTCAGCCCACTTGGTTGGAGTTTCTCCATGTCTCAACGCTACCGAGACTGTCCTCCTGTAGGATGCTGGGCTCAGCCTCCCTGAGAGCAAGGGGACATCATTTTGTGAGGTTGTTGGGTCACTTCTTCTCCTTCTGTGACCAGAAATTGACACCTTTCTACCCTGACCTGGGCGTATGCATCGGAAGAATGTAAGTGGAAGAAATCAGGTTCCTATCTTCACACGTATCTGGATGTCTAAGGGAAGGAGTCTCTACAAATCTGAATCCAAACTCTTATCATGGACTGGATTCACCTGTTATATCAATTATACACTAAATATATATATAAAATCACAGTAAATACAGTGCATCAGCATTCTGGAGTTGTCTTAGTAGAACTTTGCTGAAATTATTTACGTCCAAAATTCATTTATGGAAATCTACGCCAGTTGTTTTGATTACAACCTTCCTACCTCTAAGCACAACAGAGCTGAAACCTGAGCTCACAGACGAGTAACAGGGTTTGGACCCAGCCACCTTTGCACAAAACGCAGGACTGGAGGGAAGAAAAGGAGCTGCAGAGCTTCCTTCTGCTGCTTTTCGTATCTCTTCAGCAGAGATCACGCATCTCAGAACAAATGCTTCAACCTCACATGCTCACCCTTCCAGGGATATTTTTTTCTCCTTAAATAGCACCGAGTTTAAAAAACACGACTTACATAAATGTAAAATATATTCCACGGGTAGCTTTGGAAATTTAATAGGGAGCAATTACTGGCGGAATAGTGGGAAAGTTCTCCTGCCTTTCATGTTTTACAGACAGCAAACGCTCCCCCAGCACGCTGCCGTGGGCGTAGTGCAGTGGGGGAAGGCGGCAGGAGCTCGCTCTGAGTACTCCACGGAGATGAATGACTGCTGAGGAACGCCTGAAGCAGCACGAGGCAGTGCCCCTGCAGCTCTCCAGCCCGCTGGGGAGGCAGGAGCACGCACAGCACGTTCAGCCAGAGCAGACGTGGTCCTGAAGCATCAAAAATTATTTAGCGGCGGTCTTTCCCTCAGCTGGGGTGTCATAAAACGTTCCAGTCCCGGAAAGTTTCCTCCTTTCCCCGCACATTAATGCAGCAGAAGGCTTCGTTTTCCATGGATGAAGTCCTGAAATATTCATCTTGTCGTGGTGCAGAGAGCAGAACCTACCTGCAGCAGTGACTCAGAGGCACCACCGCGCTCCGCTGCCCGTGGCCACGAGCAAAGAGATGCAGAGGTGGCACTGAGGGCAATCCCTGCCCCTCCAGACCTCATCATTGACCTGAAAACACCCCAAAACACCGGGATAAAACAAGAAGATGTCCCTCGTCCCTGTCCAAGCAGGTGGGGTTGGGTTTTGCCCTTTGGTTTATCTGGCCCCAAGGCTCAGGAAATCCCTAACTCCGAACTACGCTGGGCTAAAGTCTGTTTGAGGAGTGCCATAAGAAAGGAATTCATTTTACTCACCTCATTTTCTTCTTCTCTATTGCAATCCAGCCGGGAAAACATGCAAAAGAAAACAGAGAAAGAAGGGGTGAGCATCAGGCAGAACCACAAAACTCACCGTTAGACCTCTGCCACCCCAAGCGTGGCCGCGCCAGCCTGCGCCCAGCCACCGGCGGCTTCGGAGGGCACCTCGGGGATCTGAACGTGGACAATTCTGCAAGGAAATTTGCTTTTTCGGAGCAAATCTCCCAAAACCAAGCATCCTGAAGGATGCTGACGGCTGGCAAGCCAGCCAGGATCCTGCCTCAACAGCCAAGCAGCTCCTGCACGAGCGAGGAGGACGAACCGCGCTGCTCCGGTCTCGCCGTGCCCGACACCTGGAGAGCCTCGGGAAATATTTTGGCCCCTAAATGGAAACCACACGAACGGATGCAGAGGTTTCAGGCACGTTTCTGCAGCGAAAGCACGGAAAAAACTGGGTATTTCCCCATTTGAGCAATCATCAACCGAGAATTAGGAGCAACCGGCTCGAAAGCCCTATCGCCAGCGGTAATTTAGGACAGAGGCTCGGGTCCGGCTGATAAAGCTTATTAACGGGGGATAAATCACCCCTACAGCAGCAATAACAGGGCTGGTTTTTATTGAGGAAACATGACCCGGCAGCTCGAGCAAGCCGTGGATACACAAAGGGCACGCAGGTGATTTAATGGGGTTGGGAACACCGGTAATTCAGCGCCGTGCCGACGGGGCGGACGGAAGGAAGCCTTTAGGAACAGCATTTTGGCAAAAAATCGCTGCCCAAAAGGAGCAAATCTTTTTTAGGATTGCAGAAAGCGACTTTTAGGCAAACCAGAACTTTTTTTTTTCCCTGTGTATCGCCAGGAAGGCAGCGGGGTTTCCGAGAGGAGCAGCGAGGAGGCAGCCGGGGCCGCAGCCTCTTCCTTTTTGCCCCAGCCTCCAACACAAAAATAGGGTTGCCAAAATTAGGCAAGGCGCCCGGAACGGTTTGCCAAAATTCCTCCCACGCCGGGCTGGGAGTCACACGGGTTTTCCACGATACGAGAGAGAGAGAGAGGAAGCGAAGCAGGATTGTCCCCGAGCCGGGGACACCGTCCCAGCACCCAGCTCTTCGCTATCCTCGGGCGTGTAAAAGGAAGAATTGTTAAAATTAGCAACGGGCTCGGGCTTTTACCAGCGTTTTTTTTTTAATTTCAAGAGGAAGGGCTCACGAAAACCCGAAATAAAACACAAGGGATGGGTCTACAAACACACCACGAACCCACAGCCCAACCTTGGCTTTGTGGGGTTTTGTGGGGCTTTGCTTATGCTAAAAAAGCCAGCAAAAAGAACACCCTCGGGCTCCTGGAGCCCAAATGACAAAAACTGGCAAAAAAGGGGGCTGAGCAGAGCCTCATCTCCCCCAAATCCTTTTTTTTTTTTATTTTCTGGAAGCCTGCAACTCTTTTTATCTCAGACCTGCAGGGCTAACGACTCTGCAAGAGGGGGAAAAAAAAAAAGCCTCAGCCCGGCATTATGCAGGAATTAGCACGGGTCCATCTGAAAGCCTACCTGGGCAGCAATTTTGCCTCCTTTTCTTAGGGAAAACCGAGCGCAAAAGCCAAAATCCCGGAGGAAATGGCAGCCTGGGGGACTGCCCAGCTCCCCGGGCACCTCGGCAAAAAAAAAAACACAAATTTGGGGAAAATCTCTGCAGATTTCAGCTACTGGGCTCGAAAGTGAGTGGGTTTGTCAAACTTACGGGTCTGGAGCTCTAGGACATTGCTTGCCTGGGGAATCTGGAAAAAAGGCAGGGATGTTCATGGGCAACCCCGCTCCGTCCCCCGAGGAGCCACGCAGAGGAAGGGACGCGGCACAGGGAGGTAGGAGGGGGGAGAAATCAAACGTTTGGCTCAAAAAGAAGCTGGAAAGCCGGGGAATTGCTCCCAAAACTGAATTAAAACCGCAGGTTGGGGGGAAATCCTGCCGAAATCCTGCTTAAATATCAGCTCCTGGCCCCCAAGCGCAAGGCTCGGAGGACACGGCCGCCCCCGAGGGAGGCGAGGAAGCTGGGAAAAGGCAGAATTAAAAAATTAAAATCCATCCCCCAGCAAGTCCTGCGCTCACTTACAGTCATCGCGGCTGCTGGCGGCTCCACCTCACCTGGGGCTGGGTGCTGGAAGAGGGGGAAAAGGGGAAAAAAAGGAAAAAAAAGCAACAAAAGGAAAAGCAAGGTGGCCCCTCCCCTGGGGGGCAGGTCCTGGGGGCTTCCACCCACCCTCCTCCTCCTCCTCCTCCTCTTCTTTGCCGGAGGAAGCAGGAGCACAAGGCTCTGGGTTTTTTTTTTTCCAAAGTTGGTGCTGCAAGCGTTGAGGATTTGCCTTCCGTCAGCTGCAAGGAGCTCGGATCTCGAGGCGAAACCTCCGTGGGGGCATTTTGAGCCCCAAGGCTTTAAGGCAGCTGTGTCCTGCTGCTCTCCATCCCAAAAAAAAACTCCTGGAATTGCTGTGGGAAGCTCTGGAGCACGGAGCACACGGCGGGTTTGCTTGGGCACGGCTCTTCCTCCCCTCCTCCTCCTCCTCTACAATTTCCCATCGATTTTTGCCTCCTGACCCGATTTCCCATCAATTTTTGCCTCCTGACCCACATTTTTCTTCAGCCCCAGGCTCTGCCCTCCGGACACGTTCCTCCTGGAGCCCTGGGGCTGATCCCAAAAGCGTAAAACGTGCCAGGAAGAGGCAGCAGCAGGAAGAGGAGCACCTTCTGGAGAGCCCAAACCACCTCCAGAGAGGCAGGGGAAGAGAAAAAATCGAATGGAACCGGATCCGGTCCAGCAAACGCCCTCCAAAACTCCCAAAAAATAAAACAGTTTTCTCCAAACTTCTCGGCGACAGCAGGGAAATGCAGCAGAGCCCTGGATGCTTGCTCAAAAAGCCCAGCTGAAGGCACGGTTACGTCCTCGTCCTCGCGCCGCGGCCACACGAAGCCCGCTCCGAGCCACTCCAAGGCAAGCGTCGAGCCACACGGGGAGAGAATTAAGCAAAAAAAAACAGCGAGGAAGCTCTCCGAAAGCCTCCTGATCCCAAAATCCAGGCATTCGGCCTCTTTTCTCAGCCGTCCCCTCGCCCCAGGACTTTGGGGTGCTCAGTTTATGTATTTGGTGTTCCTGCAGGGTCAGCACGGAGCAATTAATTACCCGCAGGTGATTAAAGCTCCCGGAATTGTTTGGAAATCCCAAAATCCTGCCCGGTAGCCTGCAGCCGCCACCGACGGCTCTGTTCTCCGGCCTTAATTGCTCCGTCCTTAATTACTCCATCCCGAACCGCTCCGAATTGGTGAAGGCACCGGTACCTCGACTGCTTGACGCCCCTTTTTTGGTGCTGGTGGTGGTTTTTTTCCCTTTTTCCTAACACCTCTGAAGTTGAACGCTGTGAATCCTTTGGAGCTGCTGCTTCTGGGCCGTAGGCACGAGGAGGGAGGAACGGCAGAGCACTGGGGGGGAAGCTGCGGAAGAACCTGGGGAAGAAGAGCCCGGAAAGCAATAAAAAGCCCCAAATTCGGGCTCCGAACCCAGAGCCCGGCCTGCCAGCTGAAACCAAACCCGAAAAATAACCCCGGTTAGAAACAGGGGTGGCGAGGCGGCCGAGCGCGGCCCTCCTGCTGCCCTGCTCCAGGCCCTCGCTCATCAGAGAGGCGTTTTGGGGTTTAAAAAGCCTTTTTCCTTAAAGAAGCTGACGTCCCCCCGCTGCTGACAATGCACCAGGGGGCCTGGGTTTGGGATTTTAGGCTCCGATCCCCGCCGTGTGCCTTTGCCTTGTGCCGAGGCGCTGGGAGGAACCGAGAGGGATCCTGGGGGCAGAAGCAGCAGGCAGAATCCGGATCCCTACAGAAAGCCAAAAAAAAAAGCCCCAAAGCAACAAAAAGCCCACGGCGCGAGCAGAAAACTGGAATTTGGGGCTGTTTGGATCCATCCACCTCAGTGTGGGACCTCACCAAGGTCCCACCACGGCGGGATCGTTTCGTTCAGAGCGCTTTTTTATAAAAGCTGTTGGAGAAACCACCCTGGCTTCTCCCCACAGCCCTGTTTTGCACACTCGGAGGCTGTTTCAGCAGGGGACCAGCACTCATTTCACTCTAAATTAGCCCAAAATGCAAAATACCCACACCGGGCTAGAACTCGGTGGCTGATAGTGGAGCTATTTGAAAGCAACGGGGTGGAAAGCTCGGGACAAGCAGGAGCACGGTGCCCACCTCCAGGGCTCGCTCCTTGTCCCACACAACCCTCCTGCAGCAGGTAAACACGTCCCAAAGAACCTCAACGACCACGGCCAGCAGTCCTAGCCCGGCCCAGCACCAAATCCTCCGTCTCTCCCTAATTTTATCAGGCTCAAACCGCAGGCATCATTCCCCGGCTGCTCCACGGGGGCGAGCGCACGGCTCGGGGCGCTCGCTCGGGAGGTTTGCTCTGCTGTCCTTGCTCCAAAGGGGCTGTTTCTAGCTTCAATTCTGCTCCAGCAGCAGCACGGGGCCGCTACGGGCCGGGTGTTTGCCTCCTCGCAGCCCCGAGCTGGCCGCCGGTCCCGGTTACGGAGCAGCCCCGAATCCTTTGGGGTGCAGGGGGGGGACGTCTACAAATGCAAAGACAGCGTCCAAAGCAACAAGAACAACAAAAATAATAATAATACAACGCGAAAAACACCACGGGCAGCTCTTCCACAGGCAGCAAGGAAAGCAGGACGATGTGGTGGAGGGGGTCAGGGGAAAGCCCCGTGACGGGAGGGCCACAATTCACCGGCCATGAGGAGCTCCCCCTCCTTTCGGAGCCCTTTCTGTCCGAAAACGGGGCAGGGACTCGCTCCCCTCACCTCCAAACAACCCCAGACAGCGGGGAGAGGACAAAAAGAGCTTTAGGGGCAGCACCCTGAGGCTCCCAAGCGCTGCCCCGCACACCCACAGCCAAAAAGGGACCAAAAATAAAAAAACCCTGGGACACCTCCACCACCAAACTAAACCCTGGGACCCTCCGCACGGCCCTAACCGGGGTCGGTAGGGAGCAGGGCAGCGCTGCCGGAGCCCTTCCCCTTTTTTCCCTTCCTCCCCCCGAGGGCTCCGCTCCGCTGCCGGCCTCCCCCCTCCGCCTCCCGGCCGCGGCGCTCACGCAAGACCGGGGATTCGCGGCCTACCCCGGCCTCCCCCCTTCACCGCTCCGAAGCGGGCCACGAAAAACACCGGGAACCCAACAACCACCGGCAGACGAAGCAGAAGAAGCCTTCACCCTCCTCCCTTCCTCCTCCCCGAGGTTTTTTTTTTTTTCCCTCTTTCCCCCACCGCTCCCGGGGCCCGCCGAGGCCTCAGGGCCGCGGGGCCGGGAAGCGGCGGCCCCAAAGGGGAGAAAGGGGGGGGCTCGGTGCTGCTCCCCCCCACACACCCGGTGCTGCCCTTGCTTACTCCGGGGTGGGGTGCTCCGGGTCGTAGAAGTCCCCCATGGTCGGGCTGAAGCCGTCGGGGCTGAGAGGAGAAAGAAGGGAGAAAATGGGGGGGGGGGGGGGGACGGGGAGGCCGCTGTCCGCCCCCCCTCCGAGCCCGGCCTGGGGGGGGGAGGCTCAGGCTCGGGCTCGGGTTCGGCTCCGCCGCCTCCTTTCCCCCCCCTCACATCGTCCGCAGGGCCCCGAGCTTCAGCGGCCTCCGTTGGGGCCCCGCCATCCGCTCGCAGCCCCTGGCCCTGGCCCTGCCCGCCCAGCACAGCGCCGAGTCCGCCCCGGCTCCTCCTCCTCCTCCTTCTCCTCTGCCACCACCACCGCCGCGACGTCGCTGGTGCTGGTGGTACTGGTGGTACTGGGGGTGATTTCGGTTCTTCTCGGAGCTCTGGGATGGGGAGAAGCGGGAGGAGCCCCCCCTAAATCCCCCTCCGGGAGCAGCGCGATTCCAGGGATTGGCACCGGGATGCTGGGGTGCCCAAGGAAAAACTGGAGCCCCCCAGGATCAGCGGGATCCCAGGGATTGGGACCGGGACGCTGGGGTCCCCAGGGATATCTGGGATCCCCCAAATTCAGCCCCGGGACACCGGCACCTCCCCAGGATCACCAGCACCCCCTGGGACAAGCAGCATCTTCCAGGATCGGTACTGGGACACTGGGACCACCAAGATCCCCCAAATCAGCCCTGGGACACCAGCACCCCCTGGGATCAGCATCAGGACGCTGGGACCCCCAAGGACGACCGGGAGCCTCTCCAGGATCATCAGGACCCCTGGGATCACCAGCAACCTGTGGGATCAGCACCAGGACAATGGGGTCCCCAAGGATATCTGGGATCCCCCAAATCAGCCCTGGGACACCAGCACCCCCTGAGACAAGCAGCATCTTCCAGGATCCGTACCGGGATGCTGGGACCCCCAAGGACGACCGGGACTCCCCCCCAGGATCATCAGGACCCCCAGGATCACCAGCACGCTGTGGGATTGGCACCAGGACACTGGGGTCTCCAAGGACATTTGGGATCCCCCAAATCAGCCCTGGACCACCAGCATCCCCTGGGATCAACATTGGGACAACTGGGGCCCCCCAGGATCATTGGGATCCCTGGGATCACCAGCACCCCCTGGGACCAGCAGCATCCCTTGGGATCAGTTCCAGGACACTGGGACTCCCAAGGACATCTGGAAGCCCCAAATTCAGAACCCAGGATGACCCCAGGATCGCACCCGGGACCGTGGCACCCCCAGACCCCAGCACCCGCCCAGACCCCCCTGCCCCATACCCACCCCATTCCTCCTGCTTGAAGGACGACACGTGGTCCTGCTGGCGGCCAGGCCACATTTCAGAGATAAACACCCCAAAATTACCCCAAAACGGTCTTGCCCTTTCAAAAATCCTTTTATTTCATTGATTTTACAAACCCTGGGGAGGGCTCCTGGAAAGACGAGGCTGCTGCAGCACCCCGAGACACCCTTTGGGGTGTGGTGCAAACCTCCCTGCATCATTCGGGGTGGGAGCCTCACAACATTCAGTGTCTAAAAATTGCGATGTCCTTATTTGTTTATTTTTTTCTCCCAGATTTGGGGCCACGGGATGAGCAGCTCACGGAGTTTTATTCCTTATCCTAAGCAGCGGAAACCCCGAGGAGGTGCTGCGAGCAGGAGGACCTCCGCCCAGCAGGCCCTCAAAGATGCCAGCAGCACAAACTCCTCGATTTTTCCAGCTGATCTCACCCTGGAGCAGAATCACCTCCCCGGAAAGCACCGGGAAAACGTGACCCTACACCAGGAGGGAGGGCAGAAGGAGCTGTGAAACCTCTCTGCCCTAAAACCTCGCCGTGCAGGGGCTGTCGGAGCGCCCCGCCTCGCTTCCCGTAACTCCAGCAGCACAAAAGCAAGCTGCTTGTTTCGATCTCCCACCGTTTATTTTGGAGAAAGCGATCACGGGGAGGAATTCGGGGTGCTTTCTGAGCTGCCTGCCAGCTTCCAGCCCGAGCTAGGTGACGAGCAGAGACCTCGGGGTTTTGCTCCTGGTGGCTACGATGTGCCCGGGCTTCTTGTGCATCTGCCCGAGGGACGACATGGTTCTGGCGTAGGTGTGCTGGTGAGAAAAAAACAAAAATTGATTAACAAAACCCTGCTTTCAGAGCAGAGCTACCAGTAAAAACCCAAATTCATGACATGGCCCTCGCCACCAGGAAGGGAGGAGAGGTGAGAAGTGCTGGGATCGCTTTAAAGCACAAGAAACCAGCACGGGATGGGGTCTCTACATCAGGCAGAGGGGAAAAACGTTTCCAGGAGCTTAGAATTAGCAGCAGAATTAGTCCAGCATCCCGGCAAACACGGGCAGGAGCTGGGCCCGGCTGAGCTCACCCTCTGGTCTCGCCTCATTTTCGCCTTGTAGAACGAGGCCGATTCCGGGCCGGCCGGCAGCTCCAGCTCCTGCAGCCGCTCAAATCTCTCCTGCTCGTCCTCCTCCTGCCGGGAGAAAAAAAAGAGACCCCAATCCATGAAAAAAAAACACATGTGGAGACGCAGAGCTCAGCTGGGATGGAAACATGAGTTTTGAAGACAGCAGCCAGCTATCTGGTGGTGTTTTCATGGCAGATTTGGGGATAGCTCTGGCTTCTTTTGGTTACTTTCCCTCAATGAGCAGCCTGGAGAAGGTGACAGTGAAAATCTGGGGTGATAGAAGGTAAAGGACTCGAGGCAAGAGCAAAGGTGAGCACCACGGAGCAGTGCATTAGGACAATAAATGAAGAATCAGCCTGGAGAAGGAAAAATGGCTCAGAGTTGGGATGAAACCCCCAGAGGAAGGTGCTGGTGCCCTCACGGACCCGGAATGGGGTCAGTGGTGGTGAGCGAGCTGCCTGGTGAAAGGAAAATGAGAAACCTGCACTGAGCAGCATTACGGGGTCGCTGTTGGTTCCCTGCCTGTAACGTCACCAGCCTGACACAGCTGCGAAGCGTCGCCCGAAGGCGTGCTTCATTTATCTTTGGGGTTTTAATTGATGCGATGACAAGGAACCCAGGGCTGGGAAGCATTAAGGGAGTTTGTGTGAACGCACTGAGTAACTGGGGTTAGTAAAAATGCCCGGGGATGGATTTCCTCCTCTTTTCCCCAAAGTGACATCCTGGGCCAGTGCAGGCAGGCTGAGTTCCCCTGCTGACCCCATTACCCAGTGGGGTTGGGGTCAGTTTTTGGTTGATGTTTTGGTTTTTTATTTTTTTTATTTGTTTTTTTTGCTGTTCTCTTTATAGGGTCAGTGTCTGCAACCTTCCAGCCCGGTACATCGCAGCATCCTGCTTAAAACCAAACTCTGCTTTTGGTTTTTCCTGCGTCACGTTTGTTGTTCGTAGCCCCAAGGGAATTCGCTCAGGAGGAGAGGAAGAACCTGTCCGCCACCAGCCTTGAAGCTCTTCACGTGCCTTCCTAGAAGGCAGGAAAGAAAATGCTGAACCGAGATTTACGGTCAAAACGATCAGACACAGAGAAATGAAAGGTCTCAGTTTCGGTTTTCTTTCTAGGGAGCTCCAGTCCCGCAGCGCACGTGGGTTAGAAACGGGGCCGTGCACCTAGGGCAGGGGTCAGGCAGCTCACGCCCTCCTTCCACTCCTTCCCAACCTGCCTGCAGGTGCTCTTTGCTCCTCTTTTCCCAACCCCAACGCTTCTGGGGCTGGGCAGCAGTGACGGAGACGTGGTGTGGCACAGAGGACTTGCCCCTGGCGGCCAGGAGGGGATTTCTCTCCTCGCCACTGCTCCCCTTCTTGGTGCCTACCCAACAGCATTAAGGCTCTGAGGCTGATATTTAACAAACCTGGAAAGGACTTCGGAGGGAAATAATGCAGAGAAGAAGCTCTGGTAAGTAAGAAACTCAAGAGAAACGCCCACTGTCAGGAAAAAGAAGAGCCGACGGATTCCCCCAAGCGGCGGTTGCTAACCAGAGGGCTGGCCACGCACCAGTTGCCACAACACGAAGCACAAAAGCCTGGCTGGAACCATCACAGATCCCAACTGCCAGCCTCCCGAGCACCCCGAGCACCTCTGGGCACCGTGCCTGCTCGTGAAAAGTCAGCAGACGCCCGGGTGCTGCGAGCACCGTGTCCTATTTTGGCCTCTTTGCAATAAAGCTGCGGTGGGAGCAAGCAGCCAGCTGCTCTCTGCATCCTGTCAGCCAGCGTTTTGCTGCCAGCCACTCCGCTCGGAGAAAAAAGGCAGAGCTGCCCCAAATGCCCTCCTCCTCCTCCTCCTTTTCCTCCTCCCAGGGGCTGAGCTGCGCCCTCACGGCGCGGCGAGACTCACCAGGCGCGTGACTCTGTCGATGGGAATCATTCCAGGCCTGATGTTGCCACCGGGCTTGAGAGCTTTCTGCACGTAGGTGGGGATGAGGAAGGATTCGCTGTACCAGATCTCAAACTCTGCAAGGCAAAATCGGGGCAGTGAAGGGGGCTGCAGCCACCAGAGGCGAGGCTGGGTTTCCTCGGGCTCCCTGCTCACGGATCACGCAGGCCATGGGTGCTCCGAGCTCTTCTCTTTCAATCTGCTGGAAAAGCTCGTTAATTAGGACAGGGGGGCAATAAAGACAGTTAATGAGGTCGGCAGACCCAGGAGGTGGCCAGGACAGTCCCCTGGGCTTGTGCACCCGAGAGGGGAACAGCCACGAGATGGCAGTGCTCCTGCGTCCCGCAGCCATCCTCCCCACCCGCTGGGAGCTTGGAGCAGGAGATTTGGAGCAGCCGGGACGTTTCGGGGTCACATTTCAATCCCAAATGCTAAAGGAGCACAGGATCTTTCCAGCCCGTAATAGCTCCTGATAACCCACAGCAGGTGCTGCAGGAAATTTGTCTTTATTAATGCTTCGTGGCACGGGAGCCAGGAACACAGGCACCGTGGATGCGATGAACATCACTGATTTTTTCACCCTGATTTCAGCTCCAAGACCTCTTTGCTCCAGGATGCCACAGGCAGCTGGCAGAAGCCAAAGCCAGAGCTAAGAGAAACCCGTGGCCAAGCTCCTGCACGGTCACAGTTGGGATGTGCCCAGGGGCACGAGCAGGGGACAGCGTGGCGTTATCTGCGAGAGAGAATCCGCAGAAGTTCAGGATTACGCCACAAAGAAACCACAAGAATCGTCAATAAAAAAAAGAGAAAGTCTGGAAGGCAGTAAGGGAAACCACAACAGAGCACGACAGGGGCTTGGCAGCACAGCTGGGAAGTGTTTCGGTGCCGAGCTGCCCTCACACACCCCAACTGAGCCCGAGGCTGCTCAGAAACTCATACCTGCGATGAGTTTGTTCCGACACTGGTCCACCAGGTGCTGGCAGTACTGGATCTCTGCCTTCAGGTCCTGCAGCTCAGCGTAAGCCGCCCGGTACTCCTCCTTCAGGTCCTTCATCTTCATGATGAGTAAAAACTCCTTCTCGTCGATTATGAGGTGTCCCGTCTCGTCGACGTACTCCCCTGGAGGGTAGGGAAAGGAACCAAAGGTTTTTTGTGCGGGTGGAGAGGGGCACGGAGCAGTCACTGTGCTTGGAACCACTCAAGGTTTCAGTCCCCCGTGAGATGGGACACGAAGGACACACACTTAGGGTATTGCTTAGGGCTTTCCTGGCTCCTGCTGAAAAAAAACCACCCTGGGCAGCTGTGGTGAGGGTTTGGGGGACAAAAGGCTGCTAAAAAAGACCACTAAAGCCAACGCTGCTTCTCTAGGATAAACATCTCGTGTTGTCAGCTTCCCTCAAATCAGTTTGTCCTTGTGGTTTCCAGCACCCACAGCTGGTAGATGTCATCAGAAAGAGGCCCAAAAAAAAAAAGCAAAAAGCAGTGAGTCTGTGAGAAGAGAAAGCCTCCCTCTGATACAGATTCAAGCTGATGCTGCTCATTGTGTAGCCAGCGACTTACCCTGCTGCCACCGCTCCTGCCTCTGGGCCTCCAGAGCCTTTTTGATGTCCTCCATCTCCTGCTTGATGAAGTTGATCCTCCGGGCTACTGTACCGCTCCTCTTCTTCCTGGCGAGGAGGATGCTTTTGTTCTCCTTAAAGATCCGGTTGATCTCACTTCCACACTCCTCCTTGAACTGCTCAAACGCTGCTGTTTTCGACGGAGGGGAGCTGCAACAAAAATTCAAAGAGTGAGGGCTCGTGCCGTGCTGGCTGCACCCTGGTGCCACCCCCACGACAGCCCCCGTGCCCCTTTTTCCCCTCTGCATTGCTCCCAGAAGGAAGGATTCCTTAGGAGACGCCTCGGAATTGAGTCTTCCTTGGAAAAAGGATCTCTAAGGGTTTGAATTTTCAGCAAAAATAGCTAATGGTGTTAAACCAAAATGATTTTGCTCTTTTCCTGCTGGATTCCCAGCACAGAGCGGCCACGTCTGCCAAAGAAAGCCCTTGGCACGTGTCAGTCCTGCTGGATTTGGGGGGAATACTGCAAGGCGAGCAGAGGGCACGCTGCTGAGCACATCGAGCCCGTGGTCTTGGTACCCTGAGCGTTTTTTACCCCGTCTACACCATCCAGGAGGAAATGCAATTCAGTGCTGCCCTCCTGTGCTAAGTTCTGGTCGCTGTACCAGCAGATAACTGGCACGCTGCTGCGTTTTGGGGCCCTCTCCACAATTCTCTCTTGCTATGGCATTTCCTGCCATGACCTCACGCGGATATTGACCCTTTTTCACGAGTGTTTGGGGTTTTGTGGCTGCTCACGAGGCATCTCTGCCCGAGGGGTGAGGAGTGCTGCGACTTTCACACGGGACCAGGTGGCGATGGAGTGAACTGGGATAGCTCAGTGGCTGAAGGTAAAACCTGCAGGCATGCCCGGAATGTAAATACAGGAATATTGGCTCTAGAATATACAGAGAGAGGGGAAAAAAAATCACATTTAAACGAGGAACTGACTCTTGGTCAGCAGAGATCACCTAACAGAGCAACTGGCAGAGCTCAGGGCAGGTGGGGAAGCCACCAGCATCTTTTGGTCCACTGGTGTCCATAAAAACCCTGCTGTGTCACCACCCAAGCAAGGAAGCTCTCTGAATCTCTCCTCTTTACCTTGAAAAAGGGAATTGTACTGGGGAAATGCAATGCACCCACTAAAAACTGGCAAATGAGTTATATTCCCTTCACAGGGACAGCTTACCTGGGCCGCTGGGAACCTTCTGCAGAGGCTGGCTTCGAGGGCTGCGCGTCGATATTGGCCGTATCCTCGCTCCTTGCTCTCTCCTTCACGTCCAAATCCTTGATGGGAATCGTTACCTGGCTTTTGGATAGTAAAGGAGCTTCCAGCTCTCTCCCAGAAACGTAGCTCCTAGTTCCTTCCTTCCTGAGATGATGGGAAAAAGAGGAGGCAGGGTAATTTCTTCCCAACAGGGAACTGGAATCAAAGCAAGGGTCTTTCTCTGCTCTGTTCCAAGCACTTTAAAGGAAACCTGCAGGTTTAACACGGCTCCTGATGGCAAAGAAAAGGGAGAGCCGCCTGCCTGCTTCACTCACTTGGAGTGCTCGCTGCCCTTCCCGGATTTCTTCTTCTTCCCATCAGGTTTGGGTGAAATCGGAGTCGTTCTGGTCCCCAGTTCCCGTCTCTCCTTTTTCCCCAAGAAGTGGCGATCCACATCGACCACTCCTGCCTGGAAAGAGGAGAAATAAAAGACAGAGCAGGAGGCGTGAGCTTTGTAGATGATCAAACCACGCTGTACAGCCCACAGCCCCTTCATCTTGTCACACAACCGAATCCCAAAATCTTTGTTCACTACCAAGGACTGCAGGGAAACACCTCTATAAAAATGAAGCACAAATTAAAATCCTTAAATTATCCTTCAATTAATACGCTGAGTATTTCAGCTACTCGGGGAGAGAATAGCTTGGGTCCAGGGTCACAAAACTAAGCTCAAGCTTTTACTGGAAATTTTCCCTCCCAATTTTAGGCAGTTCTGAGCCGTGAGTAATTCAGACAGCGCTCCCAGGGTTTGACTGGTAACATCCCAAATTAAAACACAAACAGCAACCTCCTACAGCACCACGGCATCAATGCAATGGAAAAGCATCCTCAGAATTCTTTCAGGGAAGGGGGACACGGAAGAGAATTACATTTCCTGCAGGACCTCTCAAATTGCCTCAACCATAACGCAGAAGGGGGCACTAAGCGTTAAAATCCGCTCATTTTAGGGTTTGGTTTTGGTTTCCAGGTCTTTAAATAAAGACTTGAATAGGCCTGCTAGAGCCCATCTGTTTTGCTGTTATGCAAATAATGTGCCTTTTCCCTTTCGCCTGTCTTCCGAAATATTCAAAGCATCTACAGTTAAACCACAGGACGAGTGCATGACTCTGCAGAGCCGATAATGATTATTTTTCTCTGCTTGACTGGGAAAAGCAAGGCGAGGAAACGACCACTGCAGAGAGAAAATATTTCACAGATGGAAACGAGCAAGGAAAAATAGGTTAGAACCACAGGTCGGAGTTCACATCTGAATTTCTGGTTTAGAGATGGGACGTTCACTTTGCTGCAGAAATTGTAAGGATTAAAAGGAGGAGCTCAACACAGGCAAGGGATCTGACCCTGCCTTTTACAGCCACCTGGCTGCCAGGCAGGTCACCTCCTTCTATTAATTTATATTTTCTTCATTACCGTGTTCTCAATTATTCTGTTCAGATAGCGGGCCTAATGCTCTGCTGCCAGGAATTAAACTCTCTGTTAATTGGTGCCCCTCTGCTCTGTGCGAGTTTCCTGGCACACTCACCGTGTTAGTATTTCTGAGCTTTAGATTTCAGCAGGGAGAAGTTCAGAACCCGAGGCAATTCGGGGTTCAGCAGCAAAGAAGTAATTCTGAAATGGGTTCTGGGCAAGGCCCGAGCACCGGGAATTACCTTCTGAGCAGCAGCAATAGTAGCAAAGTCATTTTTGTCGATCAGAGCATACTTGCTTCGTAATCTGGCTTCCACTTCGTGTTCCTGTTGCCTAGGGGAGAAAGCAGCCCTTTACCTTCGTGTTCCCAGAGGATTATTTCATATGGCAAACCTGCAATACCTGCCAACATCACGTCTCCAAAGAAAACATCTTTTATCTGAGATCTCACTTCCAAACACCCCATTCTGCTCTTTCCACTCTTCCCGTGGTGTTGGAACCTTTTCCATTCCCTTTCAGGCTTCACAGCTAAGGAAGTTTTTTGGTATCTGTTTAAATACTGAGCTTAACCTTTCAATGGTCCAGATCGAATAATATCACATCTGTTCAGTTATATCACTTTAATAACTAATCTTATTCTAATCTATTGATTATTAAATGGTGTGGTTTTTTTCTACTAAAAGAGAGCAGGTGAAGCACACTATAAGAGATTGAAGATTGTTAGAGAACCTGCAAGTTAAAAAAAAAAAAAAAAAAAGCCCAGCGCTTTGGCACAATAAAAGGAGGCACAAGTTAAAAAAATAATAATTATTGGGCAAGATTTTTACCATTTTGCTCCTGGGTCCCTGAAAAACCCTGACTGCCCGATCTGATGACACCCTCATTCCTCTTCGTCCTTTTGTGTTTCGCATCATGGAAACTGCCTGTCCTCATTTTTTCTTCCAGCCTGCCACTCACCTTCCCTCGTTCAGCCCAAAGCACAGCTTTCAGCACCCACCGTGACATTTTCCAACAGGCTCTTTCACACTTTCTCCCCTTTAAATATAAATACGTACACACTGATGGCCTTTAGATGCTGGCGTGGGGAGGGCAGCACGTATCACCTCATCCTACCGTTTAATTTTTCTTCAGACCTGCTTGTTGCCTGCCTTGCACTCAGGAGATACACAACGACTGAGGTTCCCATGCTCAGGGGTGGTTATTTGCTGAGCAGTGTTATTAACTTATCACCAAGAGCCTTTGCACATGACTTATGAGCACTGGAAGGTTAGAGGCAAGAGTCTTTTTGTGCAAAAGCCATCAGAAATTGTCCAGAACTCTGTTTTCGGTTACAAGTTGTTCCCTATCCTTAATAATTCTTCTCCACTTATGTCCTGGTAAGCGTGATATTACAGACAAAAGCTTGATGGGATTTCTAAACCTCACTGTGACATACATCAGTCCCGAATATCTTACCTTACGATCAGCTTGAACTGCTTAAATACCTCCTGGACTTGCCTGACATTCGTTATCTGAGGAAGAGATGCATACAGTGAAGACAAAAGTCAGCATTTCCAGGCTGTGGTCAGCTGTACTGATGCAAATATTTCAGATCACGAGGGTTTTGCTTTCCAGCTGGTGGCTATCAACACTCACGGGGAGTTACCTTTATCCTGTACTTGGCTGGAGGCTGACACCTTGCTCACTCTGAGGAGGTTTTTAGGGAGAGAGGAAGCTGCTAGGCCTAGATTTAGAGCCAGACCTAGACAGGCAAGCTCCACGGAGTGCACAGCCAGCCAGATAATTAATTTTTTACAATAATTTTATAAATTACACAGATGGCATCCACTGACTTTGTAGATTATGATGTCACTTTTATTTTCTTTACCCTCCAAGACTGTCTACTTAGAACTGCCAGAGCACTCTCTGCAGCCCTCTCAGCCACGATACCAAATCATTTGAGCTTTGTCACTGCCTCTGCTTAGAGACCAGGAGCAAAGACACAGACACAGGCAAACAAATAATGGGGGGGGGGGTAACTGAGCAGGAATCTGCCCTGAGGTCTCCCAAGGTGTAAGATACAGACCAAAGCGTGAAATGCACTCTCTCTGCTCTCAACTTTGCCTCTAAAAGATTCCTCAGTCCCTCCAAAGACATCGTTCCCCGTGTGAAACTCCTTAGTCCTCTGCCTTCCCTGCTCCGCACCCATCCACATCCCATTTTGCAGCTCAGATATAAAGCAGCTTCACAGAAACACTTAGAATCATTTAGGTTGGAAAAAAACCTTCGAGATCATTAAGTCCAACCATCTGCCTGGCCTACCAAGTCCCATCACCTCACAGACAGCACCCCAGGGCCTTTTCTGTGGGCACCCAGAGCCTTCCCCGAGCCTGTACTGCATGGGGTCGCCTTCTTGTTTGCCCCCACAGAAATATTTGTGCATGGGGGACTTCAGCTGGTTCTTTTGGCAATCATTTTGCTGTCGACTGGTACTTCCAGGCTGTAAAACTGTCCTAACAAACCTGTCCCTAAGAGATCGAACGTGTTTTGGCAACACACCTTGCAAAAGTTTTAGTATGATGTTGACAGGGCAAATTTTTGATGTTACTTATTTATAGAAGTAATGCACAAACCAATTCAAAGGGTTTCATGACAGAGGAAAAGTCTCCTCGAGCTTTGTAGTGGGTTTACACGGCAAGGTTTTACCCGAGTAAAACCATCACAGGCTTCCAAAAAAAGCAAAAATGGTATGAAAACAAGGATTTCGGGTTAAAGACAGCTCTTCAGAAGACATTTTCATTGATCCTGCCCTGGGATAAAACGGGATGGAAGCAGTATCCAAGTCCTTCTCTGCTTAAAACGCTATTTACCTCAATTTCATCGATGGCTCCTTGCAGGTATTTGTGGATCTGAGACTTAATCTCTGCTATCTGGACATCAGTCAGAGGGTCGTAAGTCACCAAAGCTCGATTTGCCTGAGAGAAAAGGTGAATAAGTATTGATAAATTAAAAAAAGCACAGCAAGTACTAGTCTGGGAAACACCTGGTGTGCCCAGGGAAGCTTTGAGCTTAATTTCTGATTGTAACTTCTCATCAGAGTTAATAGGACTTGGGAGCATGCTGAAAGGAGTGTGTTCCCTCTCGTGTTTCAACCAAACAAGAGGAGGGCCTCACAAGTCAAAAAAAAAGAAACCAGGCATCTACAGGAGGTGGTGACTCTGCAAAATGATGATTTTGGCAGGTGCTGTGTAAGATGTTGCAGCCAGTTCCTCACCAGGTTGTTGTGCATTGCCAGTTCTTGCTTCAGAAGAACGATCTCCTTCTCCAAAGCCCTCACTGTCTCCTAGCAGGAAAACAAAAAAAAGGTGAGCGAGTAACTAAATGCTGTTATTGAAAATAAAATAAGCACTGGCGATTCGGAATGTGTGTCCAGAAAGGTGGGAGTACCCAAATCTGGTGGGATCTGGTGAAAACAAACACCGAGCTGCTTTAGGAGCCTGTTGGAGCATCAAAGCACAACAGCTTCCTTAAACACGTGTTGGTTTCTCTTTCCCATCCACACCTCCCAACGAAAACGAAGGGACTGAAGAGGAAATGACAGCTTTTTGCACAGCTCCCAGCTTCTTCTGGAAGCTGTTGGAGGAAACTCCCCAGCTGCTTCGCTGCTCACCAGTGAGATCAGACCGTGAAGGGCTCTCACACACCCCATGTGTTATGGACCCAACAATTCTAAACTTCTTCTTGGGGCCACCAGTAATTCATTCAGCTTTGCCTGCTGCCAGCTCCCTTTCAGCTGTGGAAGCGCACTCAGGACATCTAAAACACCGCCATCGATTTCTTTAATTTTTTTTCTTTTTGCCTGGAATCGTGGCAGGAATATCATTGTACCAGCAGGAGCAGGAATAATGCTGCTCTCCACATACCTCCGGGTCACACGTCACATTGATGACTGGCTCTGTCGTGATCCATTTCATTCTGGTAGCAAAACGAAGAGAAGACAACTGAAAAACACGTGTTGTTTTTTTTGTTGTTAAACAGTAACTGAAAGAGATATCGGTGAGGATTTCATTTTCATAGTCCCTTACTATTAAATCAGATCAGATCCCAGCACAAAGAAAAGCCAAACCATTTAACTACACGGAGAATTATAGGGTTTATGATTCCAGGAGCGTATCCCCCAGTGCTCACTGGTTTCTGTGTGATGAGCCAGCTTCAGACCATCTCTTTGTGCTTTCTGTCCTGCACGTGGACAGCTCTTTGTGTGACAGAGCTGTGATCTCGAAAACACCCCCACACACACACACACAGTTCTGAGCAAAATAACACGTCCTAACACCTCCAAATCACGGATCGATGGCTTCCAGGCTTAGTTCCTGCAGTGTGATCTCTCGGGAATAAACCCCTGCAGCCTGAAAATCATCCCGTTTCCATCAATTTCATTACACAATTCACTATTCAAAACACACTTGTAGATCTGAACCAAAAATAACAATTCAGTGTCCAGTGTGCTTCGATCTCAAATTTTGGGGCCTTCTGTAAATCAGGCTGCTCACCACTCCGCATCACAAAGCAGACTGGCGAGATCAATCTGTTCTCTGAGCCTCTGAGATAAGATGAGCTCTATCCAATGTTTCTGAAGAATTAGGCAGGATGTTTCTCTGGGACTCCAGCCACAGCCCTCCAGAGAATACTCTTTGAAGGCAGTCAGGGCTGATGCAATTGCAGCAGCAGCAGGAACAAGACTGTAATTCTGCAGAAATCAGTTCAACTTACAGTCTCTTCTACGTGCAAAGCTTCCCCGCAGATATTTGCCACTAGGACAGTGTTGCATTTCCCTCCTGGAACAATAGAAAAGAAAAAAAAAAGGCAAAGAATATCATTTTGTTGCCGTTCTTCCCTTTTCTGGAAAATATTACGCTATGTGCTGACTGAAAAACAGAAAAAGCAGCAAAGAACGTGGCCAGTTGGGAAGTGCCCCTCTGAAGTTCCCATCCAGTGGAACAGAATGATTTATGAGTACATCAAACATCCCTCTGAGTTTTGATGACTTCGGTTCCTCCACACAAATGCCTGCAGCCTGTCTTCAGCTGCTTTCTCCTCAGCCTTTCCTGCACGTTCCGGACGCACCTCAGCTTCGGGTTTCTCATCTGGAGCCCGATGCTGAAGGAGCAGCAGCTGGAGAGGTTTGTAACGTGCTGCATTTTTGTGCTGCCTAGTTTTTTCAACTGTTCCAACTGAGGGAAGTTCAGCGAATTTCTATTGGCCTGAGCAGCCTGGCCTTTGTACTGTCTGTGCCTGCTGATGAGGAAAACCAGGCGTCCTTTGAACAAAAATTAGTTCCATGTGTTTAGAAGGGCTTGAACAGCCGATAGGCTCCCTGAAACACGATTTTCTACGGGTTTTCTTTGGGGCTGTTACCCACAGCTCTTACCCAGCGAGTCCTTGAGGACGTGAGTGAGCTTGCTCTGTCGGAAGGGGATGTGGTCCCTCCTCGGGTCAGCCAGGGCGATGACGATTTGCTCGAGGAACGACAGAGACTTGTTAATGTAGCTGGCTTCCTTCAGAACCTGCCCTTCAGACTGGAACCAAGACCCAAAGCGTGAGGACAGGGATCTAATCCAGATCAAACATTTCTCATCTAGATCTAGATTTGCACTGACACTCGGGGAATGAAGAGGAAAAGCACAAGTTCTTTGTCCCAAGAGCGAATGGCTCTGGCCTTTTCCTTTGTGGAGAACTGATAGCTGGATAAACTGAGGGTCAGATAAACCAACTGAACCTGGATCAGGTTGGGAGGCACACGCAGGATGGGACTCACATCCACGGGGACTTGGCAAAGGTACCCAGCAGCTGCCAACATCTGAGCACTCCCCCGTGCATTAATGTGACTTAGAATTTGTCACAGCCTCTCCTATTTATCACAGGCCGAATTCTGTTGTGGAAAACCCTCAAATTTCACCTCCAACGTGTTGATTACCAGCCTCTCCACCATGTTCATCAAATATTTCTTACCCCGGTCTTGCTCAGTCTCTCTGAGCCTGCCAGGTCGATGAGGTTGATCTTGGAATTAATGCATCTGACTTCTGAGAAAGCTCTGCAACGAGACTGAGGGGGGAAAGAGCATGGGCTGTACTTCGCTGTAGGCAAAAACGAAGAGTGAAAAACAGCCACACAAAGATCCTCAGTCATCTGAGCCCCCGGAATAACTGCTGGAGCTCTTACCTCGATGTAGATAGTAAAGATGCAATGGGATCTGGAGGAATTCTTATTCAGTGAGTGCTCTGCTATGACTCGGTTGGTCTCACCCTGTAAAGGGAGTCAGAATTGAAGACGAAATTTTAAAGCTTCTGCAAAAGGGAAATTAGAAATCCACACAGGTAAATAAACAGTGGTTCAATCTTCATTCTGCAGCCTGTTGTTCACGTGGTTAGAGCCTCCAGTGCAGGAGCGCGGGGTATTTGTGTCACTTTCTCACTTAAAAGGCATTTCACAGCACGGTTGGTTAATAATCATAATAATTGTGCCATAATTGTGCCTTTTACCACATATATTCTCTGTATTTCCACTTTCGAGTCTCATTTTCACCATCCTGCTACTCTTTAGGAAGAAAATGGGAGCTCCTGGGAGTCACAGGGGCTAGCTTAGGACACCAGTCCCATCAGTAAAAAGGCAAATCAAGGGTTTTAAGGACACCAGAGGGCTCCTGGTAAGGACACCCTTCCACCAACAATTGATTCATGTTTTCCTTACAAATTAAAGCACCCGCAGGTAAAAGAAGGATGCAGCCACAACCAAATAAACTTCCTTCACAAAGACAACCCACGGTGTGAGCCCTGCTGTAAAATCTGACAAACTCTGCCTGTGCTGTGATCACCCCATCTGCCAGAGATGTCAGTGGTAAAACTCTTTTCTTGGAGCTTTGACTTAGCAAGTCTGCTGAAGGGGCCGGTGAGGCAGCTGGTATTTCAGACAAGCCTTGTGAAATGAAGACAAAAATCTGTGGCTACAACTATTTTGGTGCTGCCTGGAATCCCCAGCGCTGCTGCTTTCCGTGGCCTCACCCCTAATTTATCTCCTCCATCACCTGAGTTGTTCTCACATCCCCTAAAACCTGGGTTTCTCCGCAGAGATCTTCCAGAATCTCTCTGCCACGGATTATTTCCTTGCAAGAGCACGGACTGCAAGGAGTTACCACTTCTCCCACACAGCAGAGAGAGAACAAAGAGGGCTGAAGCTCCCTCCGGCAGTCCTGGCCACCCGTTTCCTGCTGTCCTGCCTCTCCCCTCACCTAAACCACCGAGAGAATTGGAATATTTGCTTGGCTTGCCTCGAAAAGGAGATTGAGAGCATCCTCCTCGTGGCTGACGGAGTGTATAGACAAACCCTTGACGTAAACGCCCCGTGGGCAGTCCACCACAGCCATCTGCACGTCGCCGGCCCCGCTGTTTGTGGTGGTGGCCAGCAGGTCGCACAAGGTCTCGTTGTAGATCTCCAGGTAGGAGACCCGCACGGTGATGAAGGAATCAACGGAGCGCGCAATCGCTTTGAAGACCTGCAGAAAGAAAAAAGGATGGCGGTGGCAGGACTCGTTCACGAGCAGAACTGTTTATGGCTTTTCAGAGGAGCTGTTTGGGACTTGTAGAACAGCTCTGAGCTCATCTATGGCTAATTCTGAACCGTGGCTGAATTCTAATTCTAATTCTAATCCTAATTCTGAACAGGGCTAAGTCCATGTTTTTAGTAGGATTCCTCAGAATGATGTTTTTTGAAAGCCTTGAAGGTTTCTTCTTACATTCTTTTGGCATTTGGGAAGCAGCGAGCTACCCAACACGCTCCCGATGCTCTGAAATCCCACCACGAGCTCACCGTATGTTACAGGATCCTTTATTTCCTTAATGACCATCACTGATTTAAAATTTAAAAAAAAAGGAGCGGTGGAAACCAAATAAAACATACCCAGTGTTAAAACGCTTTTATGAGCAGCAGAAAGCTGATAGAAGTGATGCTTTTATTACTTCTTCTAGGCTCTTTTCCCATCAGGATGCTCAGTACCTGCTGGATAGCTCGGGGTATGATTCCTCGATGCTTGTACTCGGCCGTCGCTCCCGTCATCGTGTAGGTTTTACCAGCCCCTGTCTGCCCGTAGCACATGATCGTGCCTAGAAAAGAATCAAAATGAAATAAACCCAGGAGGGAATCTTTCAATCTCCCTCAGATCAACTCTCCCCTCACCATCAAAACAGTCAAAATAGGAAGAAATCACCGTTATAGCCCAGCAGGGCATCAGACACCAACTTCTCGGCCACGGTCTCATACGCCAGCTCCTGGGAGGTGTTGTGGAGGACCCCGTCCAGCCTGAAGGACCAGTCGGTCTGTCTGTTATTCACAATTCCTTTCCTGGCGTCTTTTTTGATGTAAATATCTATGCTCTGAACCCCCCAAAACAAGAAACAAAGGTTAATTTCAGCAGATGTGAAGAGTTCCAGCAGTCAGCATCTAAAAAAAAAACATCCACTGGAGAGCTGCAGGGAAGCAGAAGGTGGAACACAAAATATTGTGACTGCTTTTACTGCTCCTGCGGGTATTTTCTGGCGGCAGGAGGTCCAAAAAAAGGAAGAAAGGTTCGTCTGTTTGGCTTTCAGAGGTGGGATAGGGCAATTATTGGGTTGGTGTTAACACAAGGATTGTGGGGTGAAGTCAGGAACGCGTGGATGGGGAAGAGAAACGGCCTCCACCACAGCAGGACCCCTAAGGATGAGCTGGGATTCCTCAGAGATCAAGATCCCAGCCCTTTATAGGATTTTCTTTAGGGATTGCATCCCAAGAAGTGGGTTTGCCAAATGTACTGATAGAAAACTGTCAGCACAGAGGAACGAGGAGGAAGCCGTGAACCAAAAAGCACCAGAAAGCACCAAGGAATGGAGGAATTCTGTGTTTTTCTCAGCAAAACTGAAATCAAACGCCAAACCTTTCACGCCTGCTTTTTCCCTACCTTGTTGTCTGGCCCAAACTTGATCATGTCTTGAGCAAAATCGGCCGTTGGTTTGACTCGTGCAAACGTACGGACCCTCTTCTCTGCTGCCTCCATCCTGCAGGGAGAGGACCAAGAAAAAGCACCAGCTACGACCTCGGCTCACCCAAATCTCTGCTCCCGAGGCTCTGAGCGAGAGATTTGAGGCAAAACAAAACCAAAATGCCCCAAAAGCGAGGCAAAAGGCCTTGCAGGCTGCTGGGTGCCAGCAAATCCAGCACTCTGAGCAACCTGAACCTGTATTTCTCGTGTCTTTGTAACCCCTTTTTATACTGTTATCCCCTTTTTACACTGTTTTCCCCTTTTTATGCTGTTTTCCCCTTTTTATACTCTTTTCCCCTTTTTATACTCTTTTCCCCTGTTTATAAAGTCCCACCTGAGGCACACGGGTGAGTCCTTTTTAATCCCTGGAGCACACAGGTCCTGTATTTTCTGTTTCCTGTGCTCAGCAGGCGAGATCCAGCCCCAGCTTCTGCTTTCGGACAGGATTTTTGGTCTCTCTCGTGCATTAACCGCTTTTTTCCGGGCTCTCCATCACCTGAAATGTAAAGATATGCTCTGAACCAAGATTTCTGTTTGAATAAGAGGTGAGTGAGTGACTGACAAAGCCCCACGTGCCGTTTAACTGATTATAAATACACAAAGACCCAGGGAAACGTCGCGTTTAATGAACCCAAATGTGGCTCCTTGCCTCTTTCCCCAGATTCTCGCAGCAAAATCGTCCCCAGAGTCCAAAATCGGCAAACTCAGACAGTGGGAAAGGTGCAGCCCCCGTGGGAATTTGTGGGAATTCGGGTTTTTTATGGAGAAGGAGAGTGTTTTTCCCTACCCAAGGACTGGAGGAACTCGTGTCTTCTTGCTCCAAGGCCACAGCGAGAAGGAAAACAGAGAGAAAGGAGCAAGGGGAAAATTTGGGCAAAAAAAAACCCTAATCTGAGCCAGAGAGAGAACAAATTTAGGATAAGCAGAATTCTCCTCGCTGCAAAAAAGCCCGCTGCGCAGCGCCAGGGCAGCGATCACTGCTGGGATCACTTCGTAACACTGCAGGAGTGAGGGATAATCCGAACACCACAGGGAACAGGCACCAAAATCGGGCTGCTGGTTGGGTCACCCTCCCAGGACAGCCAAAGCCCTGCTAGTTTGGGGCTCCGTTAGGGGCTCCCCTGCTAATTTGGGGCTCCTTTTGGGGCTCTGTTTGGGGCTCCCCTGCTAATTTGGCTCCATTAAGGGCTCCCCTGCTAATGTGGGGCTCTGTTTGGGGCTCCCCTGCTAATGTGGGGCTCCTTTTGGGGCTCTGTTTGGGGCTCCCCTACTAACTTGGGGCTCCATTTGGGGCTCCCCTGCTAATTTGGCTCCGTTTGGGGCTTCCTGCTAATTTGGGGCTCCATTTGGGGCTCCCCTGCTAATTTGGGGCTCCATCTGGGGCTCCCCTGCTAATTTGGCTCCATTTGGGGCTCCCCTGCTAACTTGGGGCTCCATTTGGGGCTCCCCTGCTAATTTGGGGCTCCGTTTGGGGCTGCCCTGCTAACTTGGGGCTCCGTTTGGGGCTCCATTTGGGGCTCCCCTGCTAATCTGGGGCTCCTTTTGGGGCTCCCCTGCTAATTTGACCTCCTTTTGGGGTTCCCCTGCTAATGTGGGGCTCCGTTTGGGGCTCTGTTTGGGGTTCCCCTGCTAATTTGGCTCCTTTTGGGGCTCCCCTGCTAATTTGGCCCCATTTGGGGCTCCCCTGCTAACGTGAGGCTCCATTTGGGGCTCCCCTGTGCAGCAGCACGCCCACACCAAGATTAGGGCCTGAGGGAGGCGTGAGGTGGGGATTTGGGGTCGGGGGTGGCCCAGAAAGTTCCTGGGGACATCAGACGTGGGGGGGGGCGGCTTCACCTCTGCGCCTTGGGCCAGGTCCGGAGGTGGGAGGTGAGGCGGGGGCGGCGGAATTGGTCTGGAAGGAACCAAGGAAACCGTTAGGAACGTTCTAGAATTCAGCTGGGACCCCCAATCCCCCACCAAAAGCCCTCCCCCGGGCCCCCAGCACCTCCCTGAGCAGGGCACCCCCCCCTCTCCAGGTACCTGCTGGGGGCTGGAGGTGGCACTGGGGACACTGGGGACAAAGCCTGGGAGGGTGACAGGGCCCTGGGGGGGGTGACAAGGCCCAAATGGGGGGTGACAGGGCCTGGGGGGGGGGGTGACAGGGCCTGGGGGGGGGTGACAAAGCTTGGGGGGGGTGACAGGGCCCTGGGGGGGGTGACAAGGCCTTAGGGGGGGCGACAAGGCCTGGGGGGGTGACAGGGCCCCCCCCGTCCCCACCTCAGCGCCCCCTCAGCTCCGAGCAGGCCGCGGGGCCGTTGCCATGGCAACCGCCGCTTTCCCGCGCGGCGGCGGCGACGCCGGAAGTGCGAGGAGGGCGGAAGTGAAGGCGCGGCGGGGGGTGAGGGCGGAAGTCGGGCAGGTGGAGGCCGGGCGGGCGGCGCTACGGGGGCCGGGAAGGGACAAGGAGCGGGGGAGGCGAAGCGAGGGCTGAGGGGCGGCGGCTGAGGGAATTGAGGGGGGGGGTCCCGAGGGGGGGGGGGCAGCGGGAGGATGCTGGAGGCGGCCGAGGCCGAGCTGGACGCCGAGGACCTGGTGCATTTCTCGGTGGGCGACCTGCCCAGCCGCGGCTACGGCGTCATGGGCGAGATCCGGCGGCAGGGCAAGCTGTGCGACGTGACCCTCAAGGTGCTGGGGGGGGCTGGGGGGGGATCTGAGGGGGCTTGGGTGGGTTTAAGGGATTCTGAGGGGTCCTGGGGGGGACCTGAGGGGGTTTGGGGGGGATCTGAGGGGGTCTGAGGGGCCTTAGGGGGGATCTGAGGGGTCTTGGGGGGGTTCTGAGGGGGTTTGGGGGGGGGTCCTGGGGGGCTTGGGGGGAGTTAAGGGATTTTGAGGGGCCTCGAGGGGGGTTTAAGGGGTTTTGAGGGGGCCTGAGAGGGATCTGAGGGGGTTTGGAGGGGATCTGGGGGGGCTTGGGGGGGGTTAAGGGATTTTGAAGGGTCCTGGGGGGGGCCTGAGGGGGGGTTTAAGGGGTTTTGAGGGGGCCTGGGGGGGATCTGAGGGGGCCTGGGGGGCCTTGAGGGGGGTTGAAGGGTTTTGAAGGGGCTTGGAGGGGGTCTGAGGAGTCCTGGAGGGCCCTGGGAGGGGGTTAAGGGATTTTGGAGTGTCTTAGGGGGGACCTGAGGGGTCGTAGGGGGGATCTGAGGAGTCCTGGAGGGTCCTGGGGGGGTTTAAGGGATTTTGAAGGGTCCTAGGGGGGATCTGAGGGGGCTTGGGTGGGATCTGAGGGGGATCTGAGGGTGTCTAGGGGGTCATAGGGGGGATCTGAGGGGTTCTTGGGGGGATCTGAGGGGTCTGGGGGGCTTTAGGGGAGACCGGGGGGGGCCCTGAGGGGTCCTGGGGGGGAATCTGAGGGGTCCTGGGGATCTTAGGGGGGGATTTGAGGGGGTCTGAAGGGTCTTAGGGGGGATCTTAGGGGTCCTGAGGGGGTCCTGGAGGGGATCTGAAGAGTCCTGGGGGGGTCTGATGGGTCCTGGGGGAGATCTGAGGAGTCCTGGGGGGGTGTCTGAGGGGATCCTGGGGGATCTGAGGGGTCCTGGAGAGGTCCTGGGGGATCTGAGGGGTCCTGGGAGCTCCAAGAGGAGCCCTGGGGGGTCCTTGAGGTTGTGGGGGGACCCTGAGAGGTCCCTGGGGATGGAGGGGGTGGTCCTGAGGGGTCTTTGGAGGGGGCTATGAGAGGTATTTGGGGTTTTGGAGAGCTCTGAGGGGTCCCTAGGGTTGTAGGGAGAGAGCTGGGGGGTCCTTAGGGCTACAGGAGGGGTCCTGAGGGGTCGCTGGGGGCCTCCCTGACATTCACCCCGCAGTGGGATTGCTCAGGGAGGTGTCACCATCCGACTCAGCTCGAATTGCCCCTGCAGAGCAATCCCTGGGGAAAACGCTCCCTGGAACTGCCCATTTGCTGATTTTTATCGCAAATCCTGGCAAAACGAGGCACCTTGAGCCGCTAACTGCAGCGGGATCGGCGCTGCCTTGGCCCCGCTTGCTGTTCCCCTCCTGCTGTTAGGTTTTGTTCCTCCCTCTCCGGGAGGGCATGGAGCCTGGCGGCTCTGCAGAGGTTTAAAATTGGTTTTAAAATCGGTCTGGTTTGCTTAAAACGAGGCTTAGCTTTCTCCTCCGCCGGGATAATTTAGCAGAGATCCCCAAAACAGCCCACGCAAGCTCAAAATCAGGAGGCAGCGTTGGTATTCCGGCTTCTTTTCATTATTCCTCTTGGAAATTCATCCAGCAGGGGCTGGGATCCCTTCCCCTTTTTGCTCACGTTGCCCCTATTTATTCCGCCTCAGCTCAGGGAAATCCTTCAGCCCTGCTCCCGCCTGGAAACCAAAACTCAGCAGGCTGCAGCCGAGCCGTGCCTCTCCCCCGGGGCTGCACGGAGCCACCCGGAGCCTTCGTGTGCAGCTGGTTGGGGCGACAAGGTTTGAGAAATCCCCTCCGAGATAGCTTTATTGATTAAAAAATCAGCTTTTTACCAAGCTACCTACACTAGAAGAGCTCTGGCTAATTAGGAAGGTCTCAAAAAACAACTGCTAGCCTGGCAAATGGTCTTTCAAGCTGCAGAGGGGGGTTATTATTTATTTTATACACCATCCAAATCAGCCTGACAGGTGAGAATCCTGTTGGCTTCCCGTAAAGAGCCTGTTTGGACCAAATTTTCCGAAGCAGGCTGCTGGTTTGAAAGTCTCCAGGCTCCAGCAGATGCACAGGAGAGCTGCTGCCAAGCAGAGCAGAGGTGGAGGAGCCTCCCTTGGTCCCGCCGGGGCAGAGAAGTGGAATTCCAGGCGGCTCCTGCGGCTTCAGCAGTCCTTGAAAAGCTCGTCCCTGGCTGCCCCGTGGACGTGAGGGCCTGTTTTGGGGAGATCCCGAGCACAACGAGGCTGTCGCTTCGTTCGAGCAGCTGGCAGATGTGAAAATCAGATAATCTCGGGTGTACCCAAAGCCTCTCTGCTAAGGTCCTTACTTAAATCTTGTCACCCAGGAGGAAGGAGCTGCTTTGGATTATTGGAGCTCTTCGCTCACCTCTGTCCCCACGTCCCAGCCGCTCTCGCTGCTCTTCCCTTATATGAAGACGAATATTTTTAGAGCCTCACGCAGGCACTAAACCTGAAGCCTTCGCAGAACCCACGCGTTTCTGTGCCGAGCCTTTTCCTCGGTGCCCTCTGCCTGGCAAAAATCTCGCCACGATGCCTTGGATTCCCACTCTGAGGCCAAATCACGGCGTGTCAGGAAAGATGAACATTTCTTAAAAAAAAACACATCTCTTTGCAGCAGAGAGCTCGAGAGACTTCTCAGCTCTGCAGCGTAACGAGAACAATAGATGCCTTCATGCCACCTACACCACTTTGCTGCGGAGGGAGCTTCGGCGTGCCCTGCGACTTGCTGAGGTTTTTGGGGTGTGGGAGCGTGAGGGAGAGCGTGCATCCTATTAAGCAGCCCGAGGAAGGGAATTCTGTCACGTTCGTGGTGGGAAAAGATGCTCTGCGAGCAGCGGTGCTGCTCGTGCCTCTGGTAAACGGGTTCAAACAGGTTCTTGTGCCTTAAAAGAAGCCTTCAGGCTTCGGGAAGCCTTTTTTTTTGCTCGGGCTGGGGAAGGGGTGGGAGTGCTGCCCCAAGGAGCTGCCCTCCGGCCTCTTCCCAGCGCCCCTGCTGACGTGGAGTTCCTGGAGTATTTCTCTTCTTTGACGCTCGTGTAAACAGAGTTGTAACAGCTCTGCTGATCCGTGGTGGGGATGCGATTGCATCCGAGCAGTTTCGTTTGAGCCTGGAGATGGGCTGCAGCCCCTCGGAGTGCCACGTAAACGCGCCGATCTGTGCTTAACCCAACGGCAGCGCCTGGTTTCTGTAAAACCACAGCCACAAAATGGTTTGGTAGGGCAACCAAGAGCTTCAGCTGAAGGCTGACATCCCCAACTGAGGTTCTGGTGATGTGAGAGGGGCTGGACCCCGAAAGGCAGCCCAGGTTCTCAGCAGCTCATCCTATGGCATTAGGTGGGCGATTGAAACCTCAAGAAGGGAGCTGCTGCTGCAGGAGACCCCATCTCGCTCGCTTGGAGCAAATGCAGCTGTGTAGGAACGCAAAACCAAGAGGAAAATCGTTCCTTTGAGGCAGCTGGTGAATGTAGGAAGGGCAGTTGGTTCCCAGTGCCATGCTGCCGAGCGAGAGCTGCTCTGCAAAAATCAAAACAGGAACTGAGCAGGCCGTCCCTGTGCCTGCGTGAGGGCAAAAACGGGGTTACTCAACCCCACAAAGCTTTTTCTACTTCGTTTTTAGTGTTCTGCTGGTACTTCTGGAGCTGATGGGCAGGTCTGTGGTGGGTTTGGGGCAAATGGAAGCCCAGTGTGGAGCTGATGGCAAGAAGGGCACGAGCTGTGGTGGCAGACCTGCTGCAGACATAGGAAAGCACGTTGGTTCCCTCAGGAGGGAAGCAGATCGTTTAGCTCCAGAGACGAGGAGCATTTATTGAATCATAAGTGAGGCTGAACGGAGGGGATGTGTGCTGTCTGCTCATCCCCTCGAATATTTCTCCTCCTGGGTAGGAAAACCAGGGCTCGAGAAATTCAGCCCTTCCTGTGGGACTTGTGAAGCGGCGATGGTACGGCCATAACGCTGGCTTCTTGACCAGAGATCCCGATTTAGAAATCTCCCTTGGGGCCCTGTATCATTACGTGAGCAAGTTAAAAAAATAAAAAATAAATAAAATGGAAAAAAAGTGGAGGTTTAATCGTGCCCGGTACCAGGAGGCAGCCACCTCAGCTGGTGGCGGTGGCAGCGTGGAGCCGGCCCAGCTTCTTGCTGATGCAGCCCCTGTGGGCAGGGGCTGTGCCTGTCCCCCTCCTTTCCCCTGCTAGGCCAGCAGAAACCCATTCCCTTTTTCACCCAGCTCCTTTCGGTTTTATTTCCTCCATCTGCGAGGTCAGGCAGGGGCAGCGTGTGGGAAGCTTCGGGGCCTGTGCGAGGCCTGCGCGAGGCCTAGCCCCGTGTGGGGAGCCCAGGTCCCTCCTGCCGCAATTAAAACACACTCCTAATCAATTAAAACACACTGATTAGTTCAAACCCTGCCTTGTGCAGGACCATCCCTGGTTATCTTGCCAAAGGGGGCATTCCCCAAGGTGAAATCCTCCCCTTGAAGAAGGGTGGAACAAGCCCAGGAGGGCGCCTGGCTCTCAGAGCTGCCCGGTGCTGCCCACACAGGGTTTTCCTTCCCTCTAATGACACAGCCTAATTAACACGCCTGGAATCCTGCTGAATGGCTGCAGATGATTGCTTTTGTCATAACTGGGTGTGTTGTTTACACCACGGCCATTTTGGGGGACCAGGGATGTCCATCCCTGATGCTGTGCAGCCCTTGGAGATGGAGCACAGCTCCACAAAGACACTTGAAAATGTGCTCATGTCCCGTGAAATTGGGGTTTGAGCATGAAACACCTCTCGTGTGTGGCCTTTCTGCCTTTCCTAGGGAGAGGTGCAGGCAGTGGAGACAGAATTTGACGTCTGTCCATCAGAGAGGCGAGGCAAATCAAGGCTTGTGCTGCCAGCAGGACGCGGAGGTCTGGAGCCGCGGCCACGGACTTGTAAAAACGAAGGCTTGTAAGAAGGGTTGGCCTGGTTCAATTAGGATATTACCACTGATTGCCTGCATGCCATGGTCCTCCAGTGCTGCTCAGGGTGACAGCACGGGGCGTTTTGTCAAACTGGGGGCTTGCACCAGGGTTTAGGTGATGTCCAAGGCACAGATCTGTTTTAAAAATAAATTTAAGCCTGTGTCGCTTTTGTGCTTTATGGTTATTTTCCAAAGCAGAGGGTTTTTCTCCTCGTTGGCTAGCATGGTAGGCTTGTTTTGAATAAACTTAACACCAGTTGCAACAGCTGGTTAACTTTGGTTATAAGGTTAAATTTGGTTATAAATCGGGTCATATCTAGGGGATAGCAGCTTGCGTTTGAAGCAGGTATATCTGTAGCATTTAATACACATCCAGTCAGCTTTAATCCTACTTGTTATTTAAAAAAAAAGTGAAATGACATTTGAGTAGCTGTGATTTTTGGCAAGTTTGTGTCTGGGTGGAAGCAGAATTCAGCTCTGTTTTTCGTGCCCACTTCAGTAGTTGCTCAACCACATTCCGCGCTGCCTGGACGGGAAGGCTCACCCGAATACATCTTGTACTTATCTGGTAAAGCAAAGCAACGCGGCTGTGGGGCTGACTTCTTGCCAGGCACCACGACATCTTCCAACGTTTTAGAGATAAGACACTTTATTCTTTAATGTTTTGAGCCTGGCAAGTATGGGCAGCAAAAAGAGAGCTTCCCTGTGTCTGTCCTGTGCCCGCTGGGCTCTCATCCTGCCCCGTGCTCAGTGGTTCCCAGCGCCTTAGTCTTTTGCCTTAATTCCAAATGTTTTCAGCAAAAACCACGTGAAAGAAACACGTCTCAGGTGTTTACTCCTCTGGTTTTATCCAGCAGGTCGGACGTTTGGGACCCACAGGCAGGGAGATGGGCAGTAGAGGCAGGGCTGTGTTTTCAAGGTAACCATAAAACCCCAAACAGGCAAGGTTTTTGCTAACGTGCTGCCTAGACATGAAAGGGCAACGAAGCTTTTTGCAGAGAAGAGAAGGGCTGCTTGGATGGCCCGGAGAGCAGAGGACCTGCTGTGCCAGCTTGTTTGTCCCAGCCAAACAAAGCTGAAAAAGGAAAACTCCCGAAAGTGGGAAAACTGAGAAGTGCTGAAGCGGGAGAAAAGGGCAGTTTGGTACAAGCTCAGGTAGGAACTAGTGTGAGTCAGGTCAGCCTGGAAATTAGAGGGGAAAAGAAAAAACTGTGAACCAACGGAGAGGGGTAATAATCAGAGCTGCGCTACTGTGAGGAGGACAAAATCTTGCACAGCATCTGGAGCTTGTGCACGCAGCTGAACAATGATTTACATCAGCACGGGGCGCCGTGGTTGTGGTCTTTGTGAGCAGTTTGGGGTTGACCCTGCTTCATCCCGCCCAGGTGAGCTGCCACGGTGGCTTAAAAGGAGGCTGGAAAACCAGATTCAAAAGTCTGATTTTAAAAGACACCGTCAGCTGTCTCACCTTGAAAAATTGTCCACAAAAACCCTGGAAATTGTCTTTCAGCCCTCGGTTACTGCTGGACAGGCAGAGCTGTGCTGCAGCGATTCATCCAGATGGTTTGGTTGGTGGTGGATGGTGCTGATCTTCTCCTTCCCTTTTTTTTAATTCTCCTTTAGGTTGGGGACCACAAGTTCAGCGCTCACCGGATCGTGCTGGCGGCTTCTATCCCGTACTTCCATGCCATGTTCACCAACGACATGATGGAGTGCAAGCAGGATGAGATTGTCATGCAAGGGATGGACCCCAGGTAACTTCCCGGGCACCTCAGCGGGTTTGATCCTGACAGAGTGAGTGCTTTGTAGGGCTTGGCATTGTACCTGCAAGGCTTGAAGCCTGTCCTCTCCGTGAATTGCACCAGGAGGGATTTCTCTCAGCCGTGTCCTGTGCTCAGCTGATGGAATTGGCTTGAAATCATTTATTTTTTGCCTTTTCTGCCTTTTGTTCAGCGCGCTCGAGGCTCTGATCAACTTTGCCTACAACGGTCACCTGGCCATAGACCAGCAGAACGTCCAGTCGCTGCTGATGGGGGCGAGCTTCCTCCAGCTGCAGAACATCAAGGATGCTTGCTGCACCTTCCTCAGAGAGAGGTAAGGGGCTCACCCTCTGCAGCAGAAGGGTTTTAATTACCTCTGCCTGCCCCGGAGGAGGCAGCACGATGAGGCTCATTGCTCCTCTTACCTATAAATTTGTGGCTTGCAAGGTTCTGGGGACAGCGTAAGGCTTTGGCCAGCCAGGGGAATTAAAACCTAAAGCAAAACTGGATCAACATTTCCCTTTTTAGAGTTAGAATCACCGAATTGTAGAATATCCTGAGCTGGAAGGGACCCACGAGGATCATAAACTCCTGGCACCACGCAGGTGTACCCAAAAATTCAGACCCTAGCCCAGCACGATGATGTGTGTGCCCCTAACAAACCCATCACAGCACGTCCCCTGCCTGCTGCTGCCCGTAGCAAAGGGGAGGATCGGACTCAGTGAGGCATTGGATGGGAATCTCTGGCAGCGTTAAATTGCTTCCAGTTTTTCCAGTCCCCTGGCTGGTGTTTGCCTCCAGTTTCATTCCAGCAGCGTGATCTGGAAAGCGAAAAGCCGGGTTATTCCTTGGGAACATCCCGCACGCAGCTTCAGGCAGCGCCAGGAACCTGACCTGCTTCCCTTGCTCCCCAGCCTGGTTCCCCTCAGCTGCTCTGTGTGTCCGTGGTGGACATTAAACACAAATCCCAAACGAATGCAACGTCTCATCCAGCTGTTATTTCACTTCCAAACAGAGGTGTCCTAGAATTTCGGTTTGTGGAGAAAAAAGCGTATTTCCTCCGTGTACAAAATGCTTCAATTTACAGTCCCAGGTGAATCCTGAGTTTCTGCAGGTTTAAAATCAAGTTATATAAGATCAGAGTGTTAAATTTTCCTGCCAAAACATTTTATTTGGGGCGCTGGATGTGACGCCAAGCTGGGAGGAGGTGGGTTGTGTTGCTTCAGGAGTCCCAGCGAGCTGTGGGTGGTTATATTTATATTTATAATAATTTATGATATATTTATACCTGGACTAAGCAAGGTGAGTTGTTTTCTCTGAGGTTTGGCTGCTGCAGTTAGCCCAAATCCACCAGGAGCCACAGGATGCCTGAAATTCATTCCTGGGTGTCCCTGAAGGACATTTTTGGCACTGAGCAGCTCTTTGCAGTGGCTGTGCTGGGATGAGCTGGGATCTGCAGCGCTGCTCCTCGCTGCCCAACCTCGCTGCAGAGGCAGCTTTGGTGAAAAAGCTTCCTTGTGGCAGGAAATGGCTTCGGGGAGGTGCAGCAGGTGCTGTTCTGTGGTGCTCAGGAAAGATGTGTTGTTTTCTGGGTTATTTGTGCTGTGTCCTTGCTCCCAGCTGTGTCCAACACCGGAATTACAAAGGTGCCAGGAGCCCAGAGAAGTGGGAGAGAGGGATTGCTTTGCGAGCCTCACGTTTCCCCTCAACTGACAACTTCTCTTAGTGCAGAGGCTCCTTGGCAGGTCCAAGGGGAGATTTCAAGTCATGGTTTCCATCCTTTGGCTCCAAATCTCCTTGCAGGTGCCTTCATTCTGAGCTGCAACCTTTTATTCTAAACCCTTCTTGGCAGAGGACACAGCTCCGCGTCTCCTCTGGTGCTTCGCTGAGCCCGTTTGCAATTCCATCCATCCTCCCGTTAAATTAAATTCAATTTTAATTTAATTTAATCTCCTTTCCCCAGGCTTCACCCCAAGAACTGCCTGGGCGTGCGGCAGTTTGCGGAGACCATGATGTGCGCCGTGCTCTACGACGCCGCCAACAGCTTCATCCACCAGCACTTCGTGGAGGTGTCCATGTCCGAGGAATTCCTGGCGCTGCCCTTCGAAGACATCCTGGAGCTCGTTTCCAGGGACGAGCTCAACGTGAAATCCGAGGAGCAGGTACCTGCGTGGCTGTTATCCTCCTCGGGGGGGTTTCTGGATGCTTGGTGGAGGGATGGAATAAAAATAAATATCCCATTCCCGGGCTGAGCGGAGCTGGGAAGCTGCCCTGGAGTGTGGGAGCCCTGAGAGGAGGGCAGAGCTGTGCTGCCTGGCTTCTTGTCTGTGCTGGGAGAGTTTTTTTTTGCTCTGGGAAATGCCTGCTAGGGTTTCTTGGAGCGTAGGCTTCGCAGAATGTTGCATCGAGGTGTTTTGGTTCGCTGCTGACAGAGGAGGAGCTGCAGCTATGCCCTGCTGCTTCAGCTGAGGGTGAAGAGCTCTTACAGAGCTCCTGCTCCAGCCCAGAAGGTTCTGGAGGTGCGAGGAGTCTCCCAAGATTTTCTAACGAACGAATTTGGCATCAAAAAGCGCCTCTGGACAGGCGTGTTCCCAGAAAGCAGGGCTGAGCCGCTTCAGGACGTGTCGGCAGCCTCGCCAACCTGTCGGTGCGGGGCTGGCAGCCTGCAGGAGGAGCAGAACCTGTCCTTGAGCCAGAAAAAGCCGTCCTGCCCTTTCCGAGGAGGTGACTAACGAAAAAGCAGCTCTGCCACTGCCTCCCTGCAGGGAGATGAGCTCCCCGTGGTCCCGGGGAAGAAGCTTTTTTTGTGCTGAAAGCTTCAGGAGAGGTGACGTGGGAGGCTCCAGATCTGCTCCATCGGGGAAAAACTTCATAATTCTGTTCTGGGCTGCTGTGGGCTTTTCTCCACGGCCCCAGGTTGCAGTACAAGACACCCAGAGGGTGGTGAGGTTTGGTTCAGAGGCCAGCTGAGCTGAACCTGTGGCCTCTCTCTCCGGGGACCACAGAGGGAGCTGAGAGAGCCCAGATCGGCTGTAGGCATCCATCGCGTGCTTAGCTAAGGCTGGAAAAACTGTCTCCATCAAAACCGCCTGCTGGTTTTCAGAGAGCAGCACCGTGCTCTCTTCTTTCTTCACAGGTTTACTGGTTTTTAACACTTTAAAAAAAAAAATAATTGCATTTTGCCTGACAAAACTCTTCCCAGCTCAAATCTTCCTGCAAATGACAACCCGCAGCAGTAGGAACTCGGGAGGGGAAGGGGGGAAAAAGCCAAAAACAAGCCCAAAATAAAATCCACCTTCCCCCACCTCTCTTTGGGCAGGTGTTTGAAGCTGCCTTAGCCTGGATCCGCTACGACCGGGAGCAGAGGGAGCCCTTCCTGCCCGAGCTGCTGGCCAAAATCCGCCTGCCCCTGTGCCGGCCGCAGTTCCTCGCCGACCGCGTGCAGCAGGACGACCTCGTGCGCTGCTGCCACAAGTGCAGGTGAGGCTTGGCGTGGGGTTTGAGCCCACGGGGAGGTAGCTGGAGCACGATGTGGCTGTCCTGGAGAGGGAAATTCATCCTCTTTGTGGATAGAGTGAAAAACTCCCCGGTTTTAACCTGCCAGCAGGGCATTCTGTCCAGACAAACGATAGCTGGGAAGTCAGTGGCTTAAATCCCCATCTGACTTCAGTCAGCTCTCATCACGGGGGAAGCCAGCAGCGACCAAATGAAATATTTCTCTTGGATTTCAGGGATCTGGTTGACGAGGCAAAAGATTATCACCTCATGCCAGAGCGCCGGCCGCACCTCCCGGCGTTCAAGACCCGTCCCCGGTGCTGTACGTCGATCGCGGGACTGATTTATGCCGTCGGGGGACTGAACTCAGCAGGTACCTTGCACATCCACTCCCAGACGAGGAGAGCTCTGTGGGTTTGCTGGTTAGGGCTGTGGGATTAGGAACTGAAGTGCTCCAGGTGGCTGTGCCTGTGGTTTAACATCTGCCCGCTAGAAATTCGGTGTAGGTCAGGCTTATTTAGGACGGCTCTTGTGTAAATCAGAGAATCCTCTCATATAACAATGCAGAACCTGGAGATGTGAAGCTGAATTGGTTAGGGTTGCTGCGTCAGAGCACAAAAAAGGGACAGAAAATGTTAATGAGATAATCTGTCAGTCTCAGATAACCTCGTTAACCTGGGAAACTTGATTTTAAAGCTGCTCGCTGATGAAGGATCCCATCAGTGGGTCCGTGCTGGGCTCTGCCTTGTGGGATTTCCCACTCTGCCTTCACCCCATGGGTGATTTCCAGGGAAGTTAACGTTCCCAGAAAGCAGAAGCACCACCAGCTGGGATGGAGCAGGTCTCTGCTGCCCCATTGAGGCTATAAAAGGCCCCACTTCCGCAGGCTGGGACTTGGCAGCCCTAATTGCAGCGGGGACGTGCAAGGTTTAAAACCCTCTACAAACCCTTTGCGTCGCAGGGTGCACTTCACAAAGAGCCTGCTTTGAAAAATTAATGTGAACGAGTAGAGATGTGGCTGGGAAATGCCTCTGGATTAATTTTGGGGGAGCAGAGGAGCTGCAATAGGATTTGTGAGAGCCTGGCTGCTTTCCCAGAGCCAGCCCCCTCCTGTTGGGGTCTCAGCAGCCACGATTTGCACCTCCGCTGGGCGACGGCGCAGCAGAGCCCGAGGACTGGGTCTCCCCCTTTTAATTTGAGTAGCAAATTTTTACGCAGGCGACTCGCTGAACGTGGTGGAAGTCTTTGACCCCATCGCCAACCGCTGGGAGAAGTGCCAGCCCATGACCACGGCTCGGAGCCGGGTGGGTGTAGCCGTGGTCAACGGGCTGCTCTACGCCATCGGCGGCTACGACGGGCAGCTGAGGCTGAGCACGGTAGAGGTTTACAACCCCGAGATGGATTCCTGGTCCAAAGTGGAAAGCATGAACAGCAAGAGAAGGTACGGGCTGTGAGAAAGGGGAGCTGGAGGGGTGAAAATGGGGTTTGGGGAAGGCTGGCGTGCCAAGGGAGAGAGGTTCCTGCGTGGAGAAGCAGCAAAAAAAAAACACACAGGGAGGAGAGGAGCAGTGTGGGAGCAGGTGAGATTCCCCTAACCATTTTTGGGGCGTTTGTGCTGAAATCTGGGCTCTGCTTTCTGGTCAGAGGGGAAAACTGTCAGCAGCTCTATAAGCTTTTATAAAAACCTCAAAGTGACACCTGTGCAGCACAGCACGGATCCACAGGAAAGCTTTTAATACCTGGCTAGGTTAAAAGCAGCTGAGCAGTAGCTGAGCTGTAATCTCCAGAGGTCTCTGAGCTCTTGGAGCACGAGGGAGTGAAACCAAACCAAAAGAGCGGAGATGTTCTGCTCATCAGGTCTGTAAAGGCTTCATCTGGAGTCCCAAAGGATGGGTTTAGAGCCCCATTTCTTCAGATTTTGATTCTAGATGTGGGTAAAGCACTGGTGAGCGCAGTGTGGGGATTCCTCCTTTTGCTGCCAGGTGTCAGGGTGCGCCTGATTTCCATCTCTGCCTCGTGCTGCCTCTTCTTCCCCTCGCAGAAAGCACAGGAGGATCGCAGCTGGAGAGGAGAGGAGTGTTTTTACAGCCCTCGGAGCGACACATCCAGCCAAACAGAAGGTGTTTGTGTCCTGGCCAGCCTCGGGATTGCTCAGTGCCTGGCTTTGGGAGCACAGCCCCTGTTATTTTGGTCAGCCCGTCCTCCCCAGCACAACACCGTGGCTTTTGCCGTGGCTGGACGTCCTCCTTGGCTTCCAGGGCTTTTTGCTGTGGTTTTCTTTCCCCCTCGTGGCTGCTCCCTGGGAGCTTTGCAGCACTTTTTGACCAGCGTGGTTTGCCTGCTTTGGTTTCTGTGGTCCGGGATGTTTTCTTGTTTGAGCTGCTGCTCTCACCCTCCTGCAGGGGAGCACAGAAACGAGCCCCCCGGGGCCCTTCTGGTTCTTATCCAGAGCTTTGGGGCTGGCTCGGAGGCAGAGTTCATCGAAATTCCTGGAATCCTTTCCAGGGAGATCGCCCACGGGGTTCATTTGTGGCAGGAAAGCTCCCTTTTTCCCCAGCAGCGAGGTTCCTGGGAGCTTTTCTCACGGCGAGAGGCAGTCCCTCTTCCACGGCGGGGCTGCTCAGCCTCAAAGGCAAGCAAATTGGGGGTCAGAAGCCCTCATGCACAGGAAAATCTGCCTAAATCTGCCCAAATCTGTTACTGCACAAACCCCTTGGCTCTTGCTGTGGTGCTGGGGCTCTGCTGTTGTCGCCAAACTTCTCCAGGAGTTTTTTTGTGACTTCATTTCCAAGGTCTTTACGGGCAGCCAGAACCACTGGGATTTTGCCCCGTGCCTGAATTACTCCTCGGGGTTTGGTTTTAATTCCTCCAGTCAGGAAAAGGGGGAAAAGGGGGTGTGCTGGTGATTTGTGTCAGGTTAAAGAGGGGTTTAACCACTACATCTGGTGTCCTGCTGCCTTCAGATCCATCCTGGTTGGGATGGGGACACCGCAGGCATCAAAATACCCCCTTAGCTGATCCCTCAGCCCTCCAGGTGCCTCGTGCGGGCTGTTCCCCGTGCTGAAATCACCCCGATCATTCATGGTGTGGGACCAATACACCCGGGAGGCAGCAAACGAGGCAGGCCGTGCAGATTTGCTGTGTTTTAGGCTGCGTGGCCCCCACCTAAAGCCACCCCCCGGGGTTCTGCTCGTTGCAGCGCGATGGGAACCGTGGTGCTGGACGGCCAGATCTACGTGTGCGGCGGGTACGACGGGAACTCCTCCCTCAACTCCGTGGAGTCCTATTCTCCAGAAACCAACAAGTAAGAGCTCTCTGCGCCCTGCAGCTTCTCCTCCTGCTGCTGCCAGCGACGTGGCACCGCTGGGAGATGAAAAAAACACATGGTGAGGGGTGTGAGGAGGTGGTTGAGTCCTCCCCGCAGGACTTGGCCTTGATGCAGGGAGGTGAAAGCAAAGATTTCAGTAAAAATAAAAATAAAACAGGCAGTGGAAGAAGAATTACCAAAAGCAGGTCCTGGAAAAGCTGACAGAGGTGCAATAATCTGGTGGCTGCGCGTGGAGAGCCCCTCCTGAGCTGTCTTTTCTCTCTCCCAGGTGGACGGTGGTGACCCCCATGAGCTCCAACCGCAGCGCCGCCGGGGTGACGGTCTTCGAGGGCAGGATCTACGTGTCGGGAGGGCACGACGGGCTGCAGATCTTCAACAGTGTAAGTCGCTTCCCAAAGGCTTCGTGCCGAAATCCATCTGCTGCAGGCAGCTGGGAGGTGAAGCTTCAGGTCGGGAGGGCTCCGTGCCCTCTCCCCACGAAACCAAAAATGCCTCGAGCATTTACACCGTCAGATTTTGGCCTTTCCAGAGCCTTTTTTCCAGCTCGGGAAGAAAGGAGCAAGCCAGGTACCCGCAGAAAATGGAGCTAAAGTGTCTCCTGTTCCCCACAAAATGGGACAAAAGCATCGAGTGCGTGCATTTTGTTGTCTCCCTGCTTCCTTTATTTTTTTTTAACTACTTTTATCCTGGCGTCCCTTGAGCTCTGGAGACCCAGATGCCAGGCGCTTCCCCTCTGCCTGTTTGGTGGCTTCATTTTCGGAAAGATTTTCTTAGAAATGAGCTTCGCAGCAGGGGGAGCTGCTGGTGCAAGGCTCTGCACGTTCCCCAGAGCAGGATTTCGTGGGGCACAGGGAAGGCTCCTTCAGTGTCAGGATTGGATTTGGCGTTGATGCGCTGCTCTCAGGAAGCAAGTTGTAATTCAGGGGTTTGCAGGGAGCAGCAATTTGCACTTCCACCTCGCTCAGGGGTGGGTTTTTGTCTGCAGCAGGCACCCCAGAGCCAAAAAATGACAGCTCTGCTCGTCTGGGCTCAGCCCTGAGCTGGCCACGTGTGGAGTTCCTGCGGAAGGGGTCCCTCTGATGGTCCCTGCAGAAGGATAAGGGGTGCAAAATGTTGGTGTTCTGCTTTTTGGGTCGTTTTGTTTTGCCTTGAGGGCACGCAGCCCTTCTGCAGCCACGCAGAGGAGGTGCTGGGCTCTTCAAAATGTGGAGGAGTTCCCTGCACAGGAGGAGGGCACGAAGCTGGGGTGCAGGACAGGGAGCTGGGGGCTCGGAGTGCACCAGGAGAGGTCGAGGTGTGGCCGTGGGGAATTGCAGCCACTAAAACCCACCTGGGAGCCTCGGAAACGTCTTCAAAAGCAGATGAGAGGGAGGGGAGGTTTAGGGGGGGAGTTTTTTTGTGGTCTGTGCAGCAACACCTCATTACAGACATTACAAAACCCAAAGGGGTGAAACCAAGGAACGAGAACTGGGAGCATCCCGACCCGCTGGGGGTTGCACAACAAAAACCGTCGCGGGGCTTCTGGAGGGTGCTGGATTTTTCGCGGGGGCTGCTTCCTGAACTCTTTGCCTTTGCGTTTCGTTTCCTGAACTCTTTCCCTTTGTGTTTTGTGCCTGCAGGTGGAGTACTACAACCAGCACACGGCCACCTGGCACCCGGTGGCCAGCATGCTGAACAAACGCTGCCGCCACGGCGCCGCCTCGCTGGGCAGCAAGATGTTCGTCTGCGGGGGCTACGACGGCTCGGGTTTCCTCAGCATGGCCGAGGTGTACAGCTCGGTGGCGGATCAGTGGTACCTGATCGTCCCCATGAACACCCGTCGCAGCCGGGTGTCCCTGGTGGCCAACTGCGGCCGCCTCTACGCCGTGGGGGGCTACGACGGCCAGTCCAACCTCAGCTCGGTGGAGATGTACGACCCGGAGACGAACCGCTGGACGTTCATGGCTCCCATGGTGTGCCACGAGGGAGGGGTGGGGGTGGGCTGCATCCCCCTCCTCACCATCTGAAGGAGGTTTGGGGGAGGTTTTGGGGGCTGCCACTCCTCAGGGATTGCCGCCTGAGAGCAGGCTTCCCGAGGGGGGTAGGCAAAGAGAAGCGCGGTTCCAGGTGCTCCAGTGTCATTCACAGCCACACACAAGGTGACAAAACCATCCCCTGCCCCCTCGGCTTTTGGACTGAGGCTCCGGAAAGATCAAATTTTATTTTATTTTGGGGGGAATTAACGGTGTGGGCACGCAGGGAGCCGCCCGCCGCCCTCCCCAGCGCTCCTGCGGCCGCGTGGCTGAGCAAATCCTTCCTCTCTCCTTGCTTGTTTTACAAATAGCACTGAGCCACGTCGGCCCGAGACTTTGGGAAGCGAAGCTGCGGGTTTGGGGGGGAGCAGCTCTGATTGTGACACAGCAACGGCCACTTTGAGGACTCGGGGAATGCCCACGCACCTCTGCCAGCACCAAAACGGCCCTAAAACAGCCCTGACATCCCGAGGGGTTTGATCTTCAGCGGTGTTTGGCGTTGTCAGCTGCTGCTGGGCACCCCTGGACCTCACCCAGTTTATCAAAACAACCCAACCCAGCAGCTCGGGTCCTCGGGAGCGCATCCAGGCTCTGTTCCTTGAGGTGCTCCTTGCGCAAGGCGCCGCTCGCCGCTCCCGGGGCTTTCTTCAGCTCGATGGGGAAAACCTCTCCGCAAGAGCCGCACGATGGAGAAAGGAGGAAGAGGAGAAAAGGGGGGCGGTTAAACCAGCCCCCAGCTTCGGAGGAGGAATGCCAAACGAAAATGACACTAAGCAACGGTCCCGGGGTTGCCCCAGCGGTGACGGGGAGCCCAGGTGGTGATCAGAAAGAAGCCCCTGAAAGATCGGCGTCCCCTCGTCTGTCGAGATGAAGAAAATAAGAAAATAAACCTTTTCCCTCCTGGTTTGCAGCTGGGATTTCCCAAAAAGCAGCCAGGAGGGGTGCAGGATGGAGCCCCCCAAACACTAACCCCACCGAGGGGCAGCCACGGAGGCTCGCATCCGTCTTGTGCCCAAGTTTTGGGGTTTTGGGGAGGTTTGGGGCGCCCCCCAGCTCCCCCAGCCGAGCCCCTGCTTCTCCTCCATCCCCTCTTGGGATTTTTGGACTCGGGGTGTAAATGTGGATGTCTGTATATTCGGGTACTGTGGATATTTTAGGTCGAGCTGTCGAGCACTCCTCTGTCTCCCTGCACCCACGGACGGCTTCACTTGGGGATTCTGGGGGGGGGGATTCCCGTGCTGCTAAGACACTTTAAAAAAAGAAAAAAAAAGAAAAACACACACAAAAAAGGAAAAATATACAAAAAAAAACACCTTGGGATCGGAGTTGCTTTCCAGGCTGCGCGTTGCAGAGCGGTGGGTGAGGGAACCGAGGCTCTCACGGGTGAGGAGGCGCCGCCGGCCCCGTGTGGGGCTCGTTCTTTGGGGTTTTTTTTGCTTTGCTGAACCAAAGAGAAAGGGGAGAGGACGAGGATTTCCAGCTTTGGGGGAGGAAAACTGGAAAAAGCCCGGATTTGGGGACACGTGGCTCGTGGTAGGGGGCAAACTGGGAGAGCGCGGTGCCAGCTCTGCCCTGCCCTGCTCGGTGCCATCCCCTGCCCCGTGGAAAATTAAAATATTTGACTTCGAAAAACCCATTAAAGATGTGTTCCTGCAGATGTTGTCGTGTGCTGGAGCCGGAGAGAGAGATGCGAGCAGCAATTCCCGGGCTGGGGCTCACCATGGGGCTCTGAGCCATTCCGGTAGGGGCCCGCCACCCTTTTTGGGATAAAACCAGCAAAAACCAGCAAAAACGCAGCGCCGGAAGGTTTCCAGGAGCTGCCAGGTTCGGGGATTTGCCGGGGCGGCCACCCCGAGCTGGCTCTCCAAGAAAAACACTGGCAACCCGATCCCTTCCCGTGCGTGGCGCCGTGCTGGAAGCCTCCCTCCTCGCTCCTCTCCCCTCATTCCTCGTTTTCGGACAACCCCAATGGAAACCCCACTGCTGGGCGTGCTGCTCCTGGTGCTCCCAGTTCTCCCAGTGCTCCCAGTGCCACCGGCACCCCGCGAGCTGGCCCGAGCCGTGCTGGAGGCGCACGGGCAGGATGCAGGCAGCGGGATGAAGCTGCTGAAGCTGCAGGGAGTCAGCAGGACGGTAGGGGCCGAGCTCGGGAACCCTCCCCCCCCCCTTTTAATGCTTTTTTGGGGTTAAGGGGACGCCGTCCCTATTGAACCCCCCCCCTCCTGCAGGAGTTCGACTGGGGCACGCACTTCACCATCAACCTCACCGCCCGCCAGACGGCCTGCCCCAAAAACCCTGCGGTGTCCCGAAATGCTGGCTGTAGGGCCCGGCCGGGCCAGGTAGGTGTGGGGTGACCCCAAAAACCCCAAGGAGGGAGCATAAAAGCTCTGCCCTGTCTCGGGACAAGAACCCAGCACAGGGTCCGGGCGCTCTTTTGGGGCCGTTTGCTTCCTCCCCGTGCCGGAGCTGGGAATTTGGTCCCTCAGGGGTTGGCCTCGCTCGGCTTCCCCGCTGCCCCTAAATAGGGTGGGGGCTTTCTGGGAGCCCCCTTCCCTCCGTTTCTCCCCCCTGACCCCTCCAGGTCCAGCACTGTGTTGCCCAAATCTCCGTCTTTGCCTTCCTGCCCGACGTGCCACTGTCGATGCTGGAGTGCGGCCGGCAGCCGGTGAGACCCCCCCCCCACATCCCCTTTTTCCCCAAATATTTCGGGGCTGAAGTCCCCGTGGGGGCAATAACCCCCTTTTAGGGTTGAAGCCCACCCTGATTTCTTATCCTTCAGCCCAGCGGCTCGGGGCAGCCCCGCTCCAAAGGTCGGCGCAGCCCAGGGACCCCGCGAGCCTTCGGCCTCAGGGCCCCGGCGCCATCCTAAATCCTCGGGAGCGAATCCACCCTGCAGGAGAGGACCCACAGCCCCCATCCCATGAACCCCATCCCGCATGGAGCTGAAATAAGGATGTTTCGGGGCCCCTCGTTCACCTCGTTGACAATAAAAAGCATTTTATGGTGTTGGACAACTTCCTCGTGGCTCATGCTTGGCCTTTGCCCATGTTTGTTGCCCTTTCGGGGCCGTTCCTCCTCCTCCTCCTCCTCCTGGCTCCGTGCCCGCCGGGTCACACAAAAACCGAACACCCAAAGCCAGAACCCGGAAAAAATAAAAAATAAAAAAAAATAGTAAAATCTGCACAGAACCACCCCAAAACCCAGCCTCTGTGCGTGTGGGGCCCGGTGCCTGACCCCCAGCCTGCCCCGGGCACTGTCCCCACGCGGCCTCCCCTCGGCTCCTCCCGGCCCCACAACCCAAAGACCCCCGGCTGCTCCTCGGGGCTCCTGCCCCACAGACCCTGCATTGACCCCGCTGCCTTCCTTTGGCCTCCATTCCCCTCCTTTGGCCTCCTTTGGCCTCCATTGGCCTTGATGGGCCTCCATGGGCCTCCATAGGCCTTCTTTGGCCTCCATTGGCCTCCATTTTCCTCCTTTGGCTTCCTTTGGCCTCCTATGGCCTCTTTTGGCCTCCATTCCCCTCCATTGGCCTCCATTGGACTCCTTTGGCCTCCATCAAACTCTTTTAGCCTCCATTGGCCTCACTTGGGCTCCATTACCCTTTTTTGCCCTCCATTGGCCTCCTTTGGCCTCCTTTTGCCTCCTTTGGCCTCCATTGGCCTCCATTCCCCTCCATTGCCCTCCTTTGCCCTCCATTGGCCTCCGTTGGCCTCCATTTCCCTCCTTTTACCTCCTTTGCCCCCCTTCACCCTCCATCTCCCTCCTCTGCCTCCCTCCACCCCCCTTTGCCCTCCTTCCCCCTCTCCTCCCCCCCCCCCCCCTTGCTGCCTCCAGGGCCCGTGGCCCCGTGCTTGCCCCGCGGCAGAGCCGTGGCAGATTTACGGCCTCCCGGCACTTCCCAGCCTCGACGCCCACCTTCGGGGCCGTTTCGGGGCCGCCCTGCGCCGCCGCTCCCCTGCGCCTGTTTGCTCAGGGGCGGCGGCCTCCCCCTCTGCGGAAAACCCCGGCCGTGCCCCAAAAAAAAAAAAACAGCACGGGGGGGCTCATAAAAGGGGGCTCAGCTCCCAAAACCGGGCACGAGGAGGAGGCTGAGGGCAGGATGAGGCCGTGCTGCCTGCTCCTGCTGCTGCTCCTGGCGCCCGCCGCGGCCGTCTCGCCACAACCGGACACGTCCCCGGTGCCGGGGCTGGAGGGAACCCCGACAGCCGAGATTCCCGGCTCCGTCCCTATAGGATCCGAGGGATCGGTGGCTCCGGGGCAGGATGGATCCCGGCCACCATCCCAGCCATGGCGTTGGCCCTCGGGCTCCCTTCAGGCCGTGCTGGAGGCCCTGCGGCTGCTCCACCGCGGCTCCAAGGCTCCCTGCGCCCTGCGGCTGCGGGTGACGGGACCCGAACGGGGCTGGGTGAGTGCCAAAAGGGGGTCCGGGGGTGACCCCACAGAGGGTCCCGTCCCCGTTTATGAGGGTCTGGTTTCCCCCACAGCCCCAGCGGGAGCTGACTTTCCTCGTGCAGGACGCCTGGTGCCAGCCCGCGGGGACGCCGCCGGCCGCCTGCCCGAGCTGCCACACCAGGGTGAGGACACGAGGGGACACCAGGGGGGGGGACATCACGGGGGGGGTCCCGGTCAGCCCTAGGGGTGACCCCGCTACTTCTTCCCACAGTTCGGTCGCAACTGGGGGGCCTGGATCCGGGAGCGCTGGGCCAGCTTCAGGCAGCGCCTACGGGACCGCGGCCGCCACTGGACCTGGGTCCGGCGGAGCCACAACGACCCCAGAGGGTCCTGAGGAGCCCCCGATGTTGTGGGGGCTTCACGGACCCCCAACCCTATTAACATCCCTATTAATGTCCCAATTAACGTCCCAATAAACGTCCCTTGCACCCGCTGTGTCCGTGTCCGTCCCTCGCACCCCTTCGTGTCCCTGCTGCACCCCACAGCCCCCCCCCGAGTGCTGCTGTCCCCACGGGGATGTCCCCGGGGTGTCCCCAACGGGTCCCTTCCCCATATTCCTGCCCCTCAAGGGCCGCTGTCCCCATGTCCCCAGGGTGTCCCCAGGGTGTCCCCAGGGTGTCCCCATGTCCCCAAGCCGGCACGGAGCAGGGCAGGGCACGGCCACGTCCCCACCACCACCACCCCCCCCGTCACCCCTCGCCCCTCGCCCCGCTGCCTCCCCCTCCCCAAAACCCCAACGGCCGCCTCGTGGCTGCCCCCGTGGGGCCCCGAAATTTCCGCCCAGGCCGCGTTGCACAAGGCCGGGGCCGCTAAAAGGCGGCGGGGGCTGCGGGGCGGCACGGGGCGAGGATGGCGAGCTGCTGGGTGCTGCTGCTGCTGGGCCTGGGGGGGGCCTGCGCCCTGCCCGCCCCGGCCCCCCTCGCCTACAGCCAGGCGCTGGCCCAGGCCGTGGACTCCTTCAACCAGCGCCCCGAGGTGCACAACGCCTTCAGGCTGCTCAGCGCCGACCCCGAGCCCGCCCCGGTGAGCACGGCCAGGGGACAGCGAGGGGACGGCGAGGGGACAGCCTGGGGACACACTGGGGACCGCCTGGGGACACTGGGGGGACGTCCTGGGGACACCCTTGGGGATATTTTTGGGATATCACTGGGATAATCTGGTTGTATCAAGGGGGATGATTTGGGGACCTCTTGGGGACACTTTGGGATACATGGGGGACACCCTTAGGACACCTTGGGGACACCCTGGGGACACTGGGGGGACGTCCTGGGGACACCCATGGGGATATTTTGGGGATATCACTGGGACAACCTGGTTGTATCAAGGGGGGTGATGCGGGGACCCATTGGAGACACTTTGGATTCTTTGGGGACACCTTGGGGACCCCTTGGGGACACTTTGGGATACCTTGGGGACACCCTGGGGACACTCTGGGGACATTGGGGTGACGTCCTGGGGACACCCTTGGGGATATTTTGGGGATATCGTGGGGACAACCTGGGTATATCAAGAGGGATGATGAGGGGACCCATTGGAGACACTTTGGATTCCTTGGGGACACCCTGGGGATACCTTGGGGACACCTTTGGGACACCCTGGGGACAGTCTGGGGACAGTCTGGGGACATTGGGGTGACATCCTGGGGACACCTGTGGGGATATTTTGGGGATATCATGGGGACAAACTGGGTATATCAAGGGGGATGATGCAAGGACCCGTTGGGGACACTTCGGGATACCTTGGGGATATCTTGGAGACATCAAGGGGACACCCTGGGGACACTTTGGGGACACCTTGGGGACACTGGGGTGAGGTTCTGGGGACACCTGTGGGGATATATTTGGGATATCATTGGGACAACCTGGGTGTATCAAGGGGGATGATGCAGGGACCCATTGGAGACACTTTGGATTCCTTGGGGACACCCTGGGGATACCTTGGGGACACCTTGGGGGCATCCTGGGGACATCTTTGGGACATCTTTGGGACATTGGGGTGACGTCCTGGGGACACCCTTGGGGTATTTTGGGGCTATCATGGGGACAACCTGGGTATATCAAGAGGGATGATGCGGGCACCCCCTGGGGACACTTTGGGATCCCTTGGGGACCCCTTGTGCCCATCGAAGGGACTTCTTGGGGACACCTTGGGGACACGGAGGGGACCCCTGGCGATGGGTTTGGGGGGAGGTTTTCATCCCGGGGGGGTCCCCGTTGTGCCCGTTCCCCGCAGGGCATCGATCTGGGCACTCTGCGGGCGCTCAACTTCACCCTGATGGAGACCGACTGCGCCCCGGGCTCACGGGTCCCCACCGACGACTGCGACTTCAAGGAGAACGGGGTGAGTCCGGGGGGGTCCCGGGGGGGGGACACAACCCCACTGGGGGCCTGGGGACACGTGGGGTGACCCCATGCGTGTCCCCAGGCCATCAAGGAGTGCTCGGGGCCGGTGACGTTCCAGCAGGGCACCCCCGACATCGACCTGCGCTGCTCCGACGCCTCCTCCGATGTGAGTTTTTTGGGGGGGGGTCTCGGGGGCACCCATGGGTGGGGATGGGGTGGGGGCTGAGCCCTGCTCCTTCCCCGTGTACCCGCGGTGGCCCCGTCCCCAAAATTTTCGGGGATGTGGTGCCACAACCCCACAGCACCATCCTACGGGGGACGGAGGGAGGGTCCTGGGCGCGTGCGGGGCTCAGATTTGGGGTCCTACGTTTGGGGTCCCAGATTTGGGATCCCAGGCTTGGTCTCCAAGATTTTGGGTTCCAGATTTGGGGTCCCCGATTTGGGGTTCCAGATTTGGGATCCCACATTTGGGGTCCCACATTTGGGATCCCAGATTTGGAATCCCAGATTTGGGGTCCTACGTTTGGGGTCCCACATTTGGGGTTCCAGATTTGGGATCCCAGATTTGGGCTCCCACATTTGGGGTTCCAGATATGAGGTCCCACATTTGGGGTCCCACATTTGGAGTTCCAGATTTGGGATCCCAGATTTGAGGTTCCAGATTTGGGGTCCCACATTTGGGGTTCCAGATATGAGGTCCCACATTTGGGGTCCCAGATTTGAGGTCCCACATTTGGGGTCCCCGATTTGGGCTCCCAGATTTGGGCTCCCAGATTTGGACTCCCAGATTTGGGATCCCAGATTTGGGGTCCCAGATTTGAGGTCCCAGATTTGGGGTCCCCGATTTGGACTCCCAGATTTGGGCTCCCGGATTTGGGGTCCCACATTTGAGGTCCCAGATTTGGGCTCCCACATTTGGGCTCCCAGATTTGGGCTCCCGGATTTGTGCTCCCAGATTTGGGCTCCCAGTTTTGGGGTCCCAGTTTTGGGGTCCTGCTGACACCCGACCTTCTCCCCTCTCCCCGCAGCCGGTGCTCGTCCAGCGGGGCCGATTCGGCCGCTTCCTGGGCAAGATCCGACATCTTCGGCCCCGGGTCCGCATCCGCGTGAAAGCCGACGCCACCGTCAGCTTCGGCTGAGCAAATAAACGGGGCCGAGCACGACCCCAAAGCCTGACCCCGGCTCTCTCCTTGCCTCCCGTCCCCACAGACGTCCCCAAGTCCCCAGGGGGAAACAGGCACGGGGTGGGGGGGTCCCCGGGGGCATTTCCCAGCTGGGTTTTTCGCCCCTGTCCCCTGCAAAGCGTCCTATGGGGACCCCATCCCCGACCCCATAACGGGCATTGCTGAGCCCCCCCGACCCCACAAGTGGTTCTCATCCCATCCCCGTGCTGTTTTGTCCCCAAATCACAGGGGTTGTGCCCCCAAAGAGCCCCCCCAGCCCAGGATGTCCCCAAATGCCCCCCGGGTTTGATCAGCACGGGGCCATCAGCGGGGTTTGGGATGGGGCTGTGGGGATACGCGGGGACCCCGTGCCCTAAGAGATGAAGCTGTGGTGCCGTCCCCATGTCCCCCGTGTCCCCCGAAATGTCCCCACAGCCTCACACAGCCCCCCACTTCAAAACCTGCCCCCCCCGTGCCCCGTCCATCCCGTGGCTGTCCCCAATTCCTATGGGACGTGGCTGTCCCCACCCCATACCGGGGCACGTGCCCCATATCCACAAGTCCCCATGCTCCAAACATGCCCATGGGTGCACTAGGGGGGGGGCACCATCATTTTGGGACCCCCACCGGACAGACCCCGCTCCCCCCGCACCACTACCCCCCAAAACCGCCCCCATCCCCGTCACTCCGTGCCCCCCGCGCCCCAAAAGCGCACAGAGGGGACACGGCACGGCCGGGAAGCAGCTTTATTTGGGGGGGGGGGACACCAAAAGGGGGGGACAGCGGCGTCGGGGGGCTGCGGGGGGGGCTCATCTCCTCTTCCAGGCCCTGTAGATCTTGATGGCCAGCGGCACCAGCTGCCAAAAGCGCTTGACCTGGCGGGGCTGCGGGGACAAAACGGTGTCACCAAGGGGGGGGGACACACCCCGAGGGTCCCCACGCGCCCCCCTCCCTCCAAGAAAGGTCCCCCCCCGGAGAGCCACCGGCACAGGGGGGTCCCCAACATCCTTGGGGCCACCCCACAGCCTGTGCGTCCCCTCCCCTTGCCACCAGCACTGGGGGGGTCCTGAGTGTCCCGAGCATCCTTGGGGACACCCCATAATGTTCCCCCCCTTGTGGTGTCCCCCCCCCACTCACCTCCATCGTGGAGTCCACGCAGGTGACATCGAGCGCGGGGCGGCCGCTCTGCAGCACCACGGGGCCGGAGCAATCCTTGATCACCTGCGGGTAGGGGGGGGGGGGGGTGACAATGATAAGGGGGTCTCGCGGCCCCCCCCATGGGGTTGTCACCTCTGTCCCCGTCCCCAAAGACCCCAAAGGACCCCCCCAACTCACCCCGTCCTCCTTGAAGTCGCAGGAGTCGGGGCGGGCGCCGGTGCGCACGGGGCAGCGCGTCTCCATGATGGTGAAGTTGAGGGTCCGCAGGGAGCTGAGCTGGACATCCTGCGGGGACACGGGGGGGTGACACGGTGACAGCACCCCCCCCGGTCGCTCCAAGGTGTCCCCAAAATGTCCCCTCAATGTCCCCTCAATGTCCCCTTGATATCTCCCCAGTATCCCCCCAGTTGCTCCAAGCAGTCCCATTGCTGTCCCCAGGGTGTCCCCAAAATGCCCCCCCAGTGTCCCCTTCATGTCCCTAAGATGTCCCCCCAGTTGCTCCAAGGAGTCCCATTGATGTCCCCAAAATGTCCCCAAAATGCCCCTTTAGTGTCCCCTTCACATCCCCTTGATATCCCCCAGTGTCCCCCCAGTTTACCCGAAGTGTCCCATTGATGTCCCCAGGGTGTCCCCAAAATGTCCCCTCAATGTCCCCTTGATATCTCCCCAGTATCCCCCCAGTTGCGCCAAGCAGTCCCACTGGTGTCCCCAGGGTGTCCCCAAAATGTCCCCTCAATGTCCCCCCAGTGTCCCCTCAATGTCCCTTTGATATCCGCCCGGTGTCCCCCCAGTTTATCCAAGGTGTCCCACTGATGTCCCCAGGGTGTCCCCAAAACGCCCCCCCAGTGCCCCCTTCACATCCCTAAGATGTCCCCCCAGTTTCTCCAAAGTGTCCCATTGATGTCCCCAAAATGTCCCCAAAATGTCCCCAAAATGCCCTCCCAGTGTCCCCTTCACATCCCCTTGGTATCCCCCCAGTGTCCACCCAGTTTACCCAAAGTGTCTCATCGGTGTCCCCAAGGTATCCCCAAAATGTCCCCAAAATGTCCCCTCAGTGCCCCCCCAGTGTCCCCTCAATGTCCCCTTGGTATCCCCCCAGTATCCCCCCAGTTGCTCCAAGCAGTCCCATTGCTGTCCCCAGGGTGTCCCCAAAATGCCCCCCAGTACCCCCCAATACCCCCAGTGTCCCCTCAATGTCCCCAGGGTGTCCTCGGAGTGTCCCCTGCCCCGTCCCCCTGGTGCACCCTCTGTGTCCCCAAGGTGTCCCCAAGAAGTCCCTTCGATGGCCACAAGGTGTCCCCAAAAGATCCCTTAGTGTCCGTTTCATGTCCCCAAGGTGTCCCCAAGGTGTCCCCAGGGTGTCCCCAGGGTGTCCCCAGGGTGTCCCCAAGGTGTCCCAAAGTGTCCCCAAGATGTCCCCTCATCATCCCCCTTGATATACCCAGGTTGTCCCCATGATATCCCCAAAATACCCCCACAGGTGTCCCCAGGACGTCCCCCCAATGTCCCCAGAGTGTCCCCAGGGTGTTTCCAGGGTGTCTCCAAGATATCCCAAAGTGTCCCCAAGATGTCCCCTCATCTCCCCCCTTGATACACCCAGGTTGTCCCCATGATAGCCCAAAAATATCCCCACGTGTGTCCCCAGGACATCACCCCAGTGTCCCCAAGGTGTCCCCAGGGTGTCCCCAAAGTGTCCTAAGGGTGTCCCCAAGCTGTCCCCTCATCATACCCCTTGATACACCCAGATTGTCCCTATGATATCCCAAAAATATCCCCAAGGGTGTCCCCAGGACATCCCCCCAATGTCCCCAGGGTGTCCCTAGGGTGTCCCCAGGGTGTCCCCACGGTGTCCCCAAGGAATCCAAAGTGTCCCCAAGGGGTCCCCAAATCATCCCCCTTGATACAACCAGGTTGTCCCCACGATAGCCCCAAAATATCCCCAAGGGTGTCCCCAGGATGTCCTCCCAATGTCCCCAGGGTGTCCCCAGGGTATCCCAAAGTGTTCCTAAGGGGTCCCTGCATCATCCCCCTTGATATACCCAGGTTGTCCCCATGATATCCCAAAGATACCCCCAAGGGTGTCCCCAGGACGTCCCCCCAATGTCCCCAGAGTGTCCCCAGGGTGTCCCCAGGGTGTCCCCAAAGTGTCCTAAGGGTGTCCCCAAGATGTCCCCTCTTCATCCCCCTTGATACACCCAGGTTGTCCCCCTGATATCCCAAACATATCCCCATGGGTGTCCCCAGGACGTCCCCCCAATGTCCCCAGGGTGTCCCCAAGGTATCCCATAGTGTCCCCTTGGTGTCCCCAGGGTGTCCCCAAAGTGTCCTAAGGGTGTCCCCAAGATGTCCCCTCATCATCCCCATTGATACACCCAGGTTATCCCCATGATATCCCAAAAATATCCCCAAGGGTGTCCCCAGGCTGTCCCCCCAATGTCCCCAGGCTGTCCCCTCGCTGCCCCCTCGCTGTCCCCTCGCTGTCCCCTCGCCGTCCCCTCGCTGTCCCCTGGCCGTGCTCACCGGGGCGGGCTCGGGGTCGGCGCTGAGCAGCCTGAAGGCGTTGTGCACCTCGGGGCGCTGGTTGAAGGAGTCCACGGCCTGGGCCAGCGCCTGGCTGTAGGCGAGGGGGGCCGGGGCGGGCAGGGCGCAGGCCCCCCCCAGGCCCAGCAGCAGCAGCACCCAGCAGCTCGCCATCCTCGCCCCGTGCCGCCCCGCAGCCCCCGCCGCCTTTTAGCGGCCCCGGCCTTGTGCAACGCGGCCTGGGCGGAAATTTCGGGGCCCCACGGGGGCAGCCACAAGGCGGCCGTTGGGGTTTTGGGGAGGGGGAGGCGGTGGGGACCCGTTGGGGACACCCCGGGGACATCCCCGTGGGGACAGCAGCACTTGGGGGGGGCCTGTGGGGTGCAGCAGGGACACGAAGGGGTGCAAGGGACAGACACGGACACAGCGGGTGCAAGGGACGTTTATTGGGACATTAATTGGGACATTAATAGGGACATTAATAGGGACATTAATTAATCAGAACGTTAATAGGGACTTGGGGCTGTGACACCCACACAGCACCGGCTCCTGCCAGGGCTCCTCAACCTGAGGTGGCATCAGCCCCATGGTGGCACCGGGACCCCACTGTGGCCTCATTTCCCCCCTCAGCCTCCTCCTTGTGCCTGGTTTTGGGAGCTGAGCCCCCTTTTATGAGCCCCCCGTGCTGGTTTTTTTTTTGGGGGCACGGCCGGGGTTTTCCGCAGAGGGGGAGGCCGCCGGCCTTGAGCAAACAGGCGCAGGGGAGCGGCGGCGCAGGGCGGCCCCGAAACGGCCCCGAAGGTGGGCGTCGAGGCTGGGAAGTGCCGGGAGGCCGTAAATCTGCCACGGCTCTGCCGCGGGGCAAGCACGGGGCCATGGGCCCTGGAGGCAGCAGGGGGGGGGAGGAGAGGGGGAAGGAGGGCAAAGGGGGGTGGAGGGAGGCAGAGGAGGGAGATGGAGGGTGAAGGGGGGCAAAGGAGGTAAAAGGAGGGAAATGGAGGCCAAAGGAGGCCAATGGAGGGCAAAGGAGGGCAATGGAGGGGGATGGAGGCCAACAGAGGCCAAAGGAGGGCAAAGGAGACTAAAGGAGGCCAATGGAGACCAAAGGAGGGCAAAAAAAGGGTAATGGAGCCCAAGTGAGGCCAATGGAGGCTAAAAGAGGCCAATGGAGGGCAAAGGAGGCCAAAAGAGGCCAAAAGAGGCCAAAGGAGGCCAAAGGAGGAAAATGGAGGCCAATGGAGGCCAAAGGAGGAAAATGGAGGCCAAAGGAGGCCCATGGAGGCCAATGGAGGCCAAAGGAGGCCAAAGGAGGCCAAAGGAAGGCCCCGGGGTCAATGCAGGGTCTGTGGGGCAGGAGCCCCGAGGAGCAGCCGGGGGTCTTTGGGTTGTGGGGGCCGGGAGGAGCCGAGGGGAGGCCGCGTGGGGACAGTGCCCGGGGCAGGCTGGGGGTCAGGCACCGGGCCCCGCACACACAGAGGCTGGGTTTTGGGGTGGTTCTGTGCAGATTGGACTATTTTTATTTATTTTTTTTCTTTTCCGGGTTCTGGCTTTGGGTGTTCGGTGTTTGTGTGACCTGGCAGGCACGGAGCCAGGAGGAGGAGGAGGAGGAGGAACGGCCCCGAAAGGGCAACAAACACGGGCAAAGGCCAAGCATGAGCCATGAGGAAGTTTTCCAACACCATAAATGCTTTTTTTTATTACCGATGAGGTTAAAAAGGGCCGGATTTCCCCCAACAGAGCCGCCCCCCCCCCCCCCCCCCCCTCCCTGACCCAGCACAAGGGCAGGGGCCGAGCCCTGCGCACAAAATGGCGGCGCCCAGCTGCCGTACACCGGAAGCCGCTCTCCTGTCTCTCTGTATCTGAACCAATCAGAGCGCTGCGCGCCGCGCGGCGAGCCAATAAGACTCAGCGTCGCTGCCGTGACGTCATCAGTGCGCGCCTGCCCACGGGGCGTGCTGTACGGCAGGAGCGCCGGGGCGCGGTAGGGCACGGAGAAGAAGGGGGGGGGGGCGCGTTTTGGGGCCACTTTTTTAAAATTAATTAATTTTAATTTTTTTTTTTCGCAGCCTCGCGATGCAGCGCTGAGCCCCGGCTTCTCTCTCAGCATGGCGGCGCGGCTGGTGGGGCGCTGCTGCTGGCGCCACCTCGCCGCCATCTCCCTGGGGCCCGGCCCTGCCTCAGGCCTCCGCCACCCCCCCAGGGCCTCCTCGCTTCACGCCCCGGGAGCCGCCGCCGCCGCCGAGGGCTCGGCCCTGAAGGAAAAAACTGAGGAGAACCCCGGGGCGCAGGGACCCAAGGCGCTGAGGGAGCTCCTGGAGGCGGCCCAGGGGCCTCGGGAGCTGCTGGAGCTGAGCGAGGAGCCGGGGCTGAGCAGCAACCAGGCCTCGCTGCTCATCGGCCGCCTGTCCCGCCTGGCCGCTCAGCAGCAGCTGGAGCCGCAGGGCTTGCTGCAGGACCCTCGCTTCAAGCAGCTCCTCGGCGTGATGGACTCGCAGGTGGGTGCCCGGACACGTAGCGCAGCCCTCAAGGTGCTTCCTCCCTCCTCTTTCCACTTTTATGGGTGTTTTTTTTCCCGTTTCCCGCTCGTTTTTGGTTGTTTCTGCGAGCTGAAGGTGCCACCTGGTCAAAAGTTTGGTGGTTGAGGCGTTTCGGAGCCCAACAGCACCGGGTTCGGCTCAAAAGAGGGGTCCCCACATCACCAGGACATGTCCTTAAAAATAGGGATCCCCCATTATCCCCCCACATCAGCAGAATATTTCCTTAAAAACAGGGATCCCCCATTGCTGGCAGGGCCGAGCTGTGCAAGGAGAGCGAGAAGATGGCAGCACGGCCTCGCTGCCCAGAGGGGTGGCTGTGAAGGCAATTAGCTGGGAGTTAACGAAGCAAAATCTCTCTGTGCACGGCTGTCTTTCTCCAAAAAGCTGCTGCGGTCGTGGCTAACGCAGTGTGGGATGTAAGAAGGGGATCTGCAGGTGCTCAGGGGCTCCTATGCAGGCTAAAATGACATAAAATAAACTAAAAATGACATAAAATAAACTAAAATCGCAGAATCAGGGAGCTGTAGGGGTTGGAAGGGACCTCCAACCCGCTGCTGAAGCAGGCGGTCATTAACCACACTGCAACACCTCGACCAGCCAAAGATCCCAAATCTTAGGGCTTGGGTGCAGGGAAAAGGCTCTGAGGTGCCCAGGGGCCAGCAGCTTGACTCTCAGCTTCATCCTCCTTCATCTTTTCAGCCCCAAAAAGTTGAAGAGCACCGTTTTAGGACTTTAGATAAAGAGTTGGAGGGGAAGTTGAAGGTTTTATTTGCTCAGAGCCACCTGGTGCAAGCGCCCTGAGCACCAGCTCCCTCCATAACCACAGGGCAATGCCATCTTTTTGCCCCAGCTCTCTCTGATTGATGTTTTTTGTGTTTCTTTTGTCTCCCCAGATCTCCCAGGTGTGGAACAACGCCCTGGTGAACGTCCTGAAGAGCCTCTACTCGCTGGGGCTGCCGAGCAGCAGCCGGGAGTTGCAGTCGGTGGAGCACGAGGTGCTGTGGAGGCTGCGCCGCCTCACCTTCCGCCAGATCGCCTCCCTGGCCGAATTCCTGGCCTCCAGACCCCAAAAAGACAACAAACTGCTGGCCGAGGTGGTCAGGAAGCTGGAGCTGCGCTGGACGGAGCTGGAGGGCACCCGCAGCGTGGTGACGCTGATAGCCAAGGTCGGCCACGTCTCCCCCGCCCTGATGGACCGCCTGGAGGACAAGGTGGGGGCTCCGGGAGCTCTCAGTTTGCTCCCTTCCCTTCAAATCAGCATTTTTGGGGAAAAAACCAGCCTCAGCTCTGTAATAACGCCCTGCTGCGTGCCCATGGGCAGCTCTCGGAGCAGCTCAGGTGCTCAGGAGCAGCGTTTCCAACCCCCAGGAGCCACGCAGGAGGGGAGTTGGCAGGTGGGAGCTGCCTGAAGGCTGATGTGCTGCTCTGTGAGGCTGGAATCACCTTGTTTTGTGACAGAATCCCTTATTTTGTGCCAGAATCCCCTTATTTTGTGCTAGAATCCCTTATTTTGTCCTAGAACCACCTTATTTTGTGCCAGAATCCCTTATTTTGTGCTGGAATCCCTTCATTTTGTACTGGAATCCCCTTATTTTGTGCTGGAATCCCTCATTTTGTGCTAGAACCACCTTATTTTGTGCCAGAATCCCTTATTTTGTGCCAGAATCCCTTATTTTGTGCCAGAACCACCTCATTTTGTGCCAGAATCCCTCATTTTGTGCCAGAATCCCTCATTTTGTGCCAGAATCCCTCATTTTGTGCCAGAATCCCTTATTTTGTGCCAGAACCCCCTTATTTTGTGCCGGAACCCCCCTTATTTTGTGCTAGAACCACCTCATTTTGTGCCGGCATCCCTTCATTTTGTGCCATAATCCCCTCATTTTGTGTTAGAACCACCTTATTTTGTGCAGGAATCCCTTACTTTGTGCTAGAACCACCTAACTTTGTGCCAGAATCCCCTCATTTTGTGTTAGAACCACATAATTTTGTTCCGGAATCCCTTATTTTGTGTTAGAATCCCCTCATTTTGTGCCGGAATCCCCTCATTTTGTGCCGGAATCCCCTCATTTTGTGCTGGAATCCCTTATTTTGTGTTAGAACCAGCTTATTTTTTGCTAGAATCCCCTCATTTTGTGCCGGAATCCCCTCATTTTGTGCCGGAATCCCCTCATTTTGTGCTGGAATCCCTTATTTTGTGTTAGAACCAGCTTATTTTTTGCTAGAATCCCCTCATTTTGTGCCGGAATCCCCTCATTTTGTGCCAGAACCACCTTATTTTGTGCTAGAATCCCTTATTTTGTCCTAGAACCACCTTATTTTGTGCCGGAATCCCTTATTTTGTGCCGGAATCCCTCATTTTGTGCCAGAACCACCTCAACCAGCGACACCTGGCCAGCGGCACCTCACCCCCCCTCATCCACAGCTCCCTGCCTGCCTCCCCCTGACATCCCAACGTGTTTTTTTTTCAGGCCCTGGAGCTGGCGGAGCACTTCAGCCCCGAAGATATCCGCAAGATCACCCTGGCCCTGGCCTACCAGAACCGCCGCTGCGTGCCCCTGCTGCGCGCCCTGTCCTACCACCTCCTGCAGAAACACACCGAGCTCGACCTCGCCACCCTGACCGACCTGATTTTTGCTTATGGTGAGCCCCTCGGCCGCGCTGGGACCCGGCGAGCTCCTCTAGGGTGCTCGAGTTGCGCTCTGAGATCCTCGGGGTGAGCTGGGACGGAGCAGGGAGGCTGGCAGCGGGGTGCCAGCCAGCACAAGCCACCTCTTTTCCAGCCCCACACGCTGACAGCACGACATTTCCCTGCCCTTCAGCTCTTCCTAGGGCTCCCATCACATTTTTTTTTCGCTGAGGGAGACCTCCTGTGGCAATTCAGGCGTGCACGCTCGGCTCCGTGCTGCTGCCTCACCCCAGAGCCCGTTTGGGCACGGCCTGGGTGTGGTGTGGTCAGAATTACAGCTTGGTTTTCCTTCCAGCCTGCAGGAAAAGGGAAATGCAGCACCATAGCCTTCATGGGTCGGGTTTATCCTAAAAAAATTAAGGATTACCCCATAAGAAACAACCTTAGAGGGGGCTCACTCCCCTCCTGGATGCCCCCAACCCCTTCCTGGCCCTATAAAATCAGCCTCGTGGCACCCCGCCAGCTCCCGTGCCAGCTCCGTGTCAGCGGCTGCCGCTTTTTCTTTTTTCTTTCTTCTTTTTGCCCCTTTAAAGGAAAACTGAATTTCCACCAGCCCCAGGTCTTCCAGAAGCTCGCCACCGACCTGCAGCCCCACGTGGCCAGCATGACGCCGGGCGAGGTGACGCGCTGCATCAGGTCCTTCGCCCTCCTCAAGTGGCTCAGCCTCCCCCTCTTCGAGGCCATCGCTCAGGTGAGGAGGCGCAAGAAAACACCCCCAGGAGCTCAGCTTTCCCCTAAAAAAAATTTAAAAAAACCCTAAATGAGTCCTGAGGGATCCTGTGCTTGCATTTTCCTGCCCTGCCGTGGGGCTGGGTGTATCCCTGGTGGTGTTTTGAGTCTTTTTCCTGTCCCTGCTCGCTCCAATTTTGTTTTTTTTTGTCTCCCGTGTCCCCCAGTACGCCCTGGACAACGCCAAGCAGCTCTCGGTCGCCCACCTGTGCAGCATCATCCTCTCCTTCGCCCGCCTCAACTTCCAGCCCAGCGGCAGCGAGGATTTCTTTAACATGGTACGAGCTTCCTCCTTCCCCTCCGTGACACATCCCGAGCCAAAAAATGGGTGTGGGGAGGCTCCAGGGCCTGTGGGGAATGGGAATCGGGACCCCACAGCTCAGGACAGGCAGCTGAAAAACCCTCCTTGAGCTGCTCTAACGGGACCAGAGAGCCCACCCAAGGAGGAACAGCCCCAAAAATCCCAATCCTGAGGGTTAGAGAAGCCTTCAAAGCTCATTTAGTGCGACCACCCCTCTGATTAATTTAATTTTTGAGGCATTGCAGGGAAAAAAAAAACACAAGGCTGCCGCGGAGCGGTCCCAAAGCCTCGAGCAGCAAACAGAGGGGTTTGGGGTGCCGTGGGAGCCTCATGGTGCTTTTTCTGTGGGTTTTTTGTGTTTTTTAGGTCCACGAGGAGCTTCGGGACCAGCTGGACGGGCTGGAGCCCCAGCTTCTGAGCGACCTGGTGTGGTCGCTGTGCGTGCTGCAGCAAGCCAAGCCCCACTACCTGCAGCGAGCCCTGGCGCCCGATTTCTGCGCCCCGCATCCAAGTGTGAGACCCCCCCCAGGGCGCCGTCCCTACAAATTTACACACTCGAGAAGCCAAGATTTGGTGGTTTTTTCACCCCAAATCTGCCCTCCCATGGGAGGCGCAGCCCCGTCAAATTCGGTCCCTGCCTCCTCCTCCGTGGCGGGGACTGGCCAGCCGGCTGCTACAGCGAGCTCTGTCGCCCATGGGCCCCTCGTCCCCTTTTCCCGTGGGACTTTGGGGACAAAACCGTGCCACAGACACCCCCACCGTGCCCTTGGGGCTGCTCGTTTTGGGGCTTTTCACCCTAATTTCTGCTTTTTTTTCCCCCTCCCCGCCAGCCGATCCGTCCCCCAAAGCCCAAAACCTGCGGGTGAAGCTGCTGCACATCAACGCCACGGCCAGGTTGGAGATCCCCGAGTACCAGGGCCCGTTCCTGACCCCAAATCTGTTGGGAACTGTGGGGTAAGCGGGGGAAGGAGGCAGCCAGCTGCAGGGCAGCCTGCGGGAAGCCCTAACGGGGGTGCTGGGCGGACCAGGACAGGGCACGATTTCGACGCCCCCCACAATCTACGGCTGGCAGATCGGTGAGCACGCCCTCTCCTCGCACCACCAGGAGGGAGAGGATTCGATTTTGGGGCTTAATCCTTCATTTTGGGGTCATCCCTTCTCCTCGTGCAGCCTCCAACCTCTCCTGAGGCATTTTTGGGTGGGAAGGGAGCTGTGGGGCGGCAGCTCGGTGTCCCTAAAAGCCTCTTTTTGGGTTTTTTGCTCCCTGCAAGACGCTGAGGTGGTGGGAACGCCGAGAACAAACCCCTCCCCATAAAGGATTTCGCCGCCCCCACCTCCTCCACGCCGAAGGGACGAAGCCGCTGCCGCAGGAGCCAGGAGGTTGGGCTGGGAGCCAAAATCCAGCTCGGGGCCGAGCTCCCTCCTTCCCCCTGCCCTATTGACATCCCCTTTTCCCTTTGTAGGGTCGCCTCTTCCTCAGGTGGGAGTTCCCAAATTTCAGCAATAGGGGCAAGGAGCTGCTGGGTCGCTACGCCATGGCCCGGCGCCACGTGCAGGCGGCCGGCTTCCTGCTGGTGGACGTGAGTAGCCCCAAATTTGCTTTTCACCTCTTTTCAAGGGGGATTGATTTGGGACCTCTTGGGGACACTTTGGGATACATGGGGGACACCTTAGGACACCTTGGGGACACCCTGGGGACACTGGGGGGGGACGTCCTGGGGACACCCATGGGGATATTTTGGGGATATCACTGGGACAACCTGGTTGTATCAAGGGGGGGATGCGGGGACCCATTGGAGACACTTTGGATTCTTTGGGGACACCTTGGGGGACCCCTTGGGGACACTTGGGATACCTTGGGGACACCCTGGGGACACTCTGGGGACATTGGGGGGAGTCCTGGGGACACCCTTGGAGATATTTTTGGGATATCGTGGGGACAACCTGGTTGTATCAAGGGGGGTGATGCGGGGGGACCCATTGGAGACACTTTGGATTCCTTGGGGACACCCTGGGGATACCTTGGGGACACCTTGGGGACATCCTGGGGACATCTTGGGACATCTTTGGGACATTGGGGGGACGTCCTGGGGACACCCTTGGGGGTATTTTGGGGCTATCATGGGGACAACCTGGGTATATCAAGAGGGATGATGCGGGCACCCCCTGGGGACACTTTGGGATCCCTTGGGGACCCCTTGTGCCCATCGAAGGGACTTCTTGGGGACACCTTGGGGACACGGAGGGGACCCCTGGCGATGGGTTTGGGGGGGTTTTCATCCCGGGGGTGTCCCCGTTGTGTCCGTTCCCCGCAGGGCATTGACTGGGCACTCTGCGGGCACTCAACTTCACCCTGATGGAGACCGACTGCGCCCGGGCTCACGGGTCCCCACCGACGACTGCGACTTCAAGGAGAACGGGGTGAGTCCGGGGGGGTCCGGGGGGGGGACACAACCCCACTGGGGGCCTGGGGACACGTGGGGTGACCCCATACGTGTCCCCAGGCCATCAAGGAGTGCTCGGGGCCGGTGACGTTCCAGCAGGGCACCCCCGACATCGACCTGCGCTGCTCCGACGCCTCCTCCGATGTGAGTTTTGGGGGGGGGGTCTCGAGGGCACCCATGGGTGGGGATGGGGTGGGGGCTGAGCCCTGCTCCTTCCCCGTGTACCCGCGGTGGCCCCGTCCCCAAAATTTTGGGGGATGAGGTGCCACGACCCCACAGCACCATCCTAGGGGGGACGGAGGGAGGGTCCTGGGCGCGTGCGGGGCTCAGATTTGGGCTCCCAGATTTGGGGGTCCCAGATATGGGGTCCACATTTGGGATTCCAGATTTGGGGTTCCAGATTTGGGATCCCACATTTGGGATCCCAGACTTGGGCTCCGAGATTTGGGGTTCCAGATTTGGGGTCCCACATTTGGGATCCCGGATTTGGGCTCCCAGATTTGGGCTCACAGATTTGGGGTTCCAGATTGAGGTCCCACATTTGTGGGTCCCACATTTGGGGTTCCAGATATGGGCCCAGAGTTGGGGTCCCCATTTGGGGTACCACATTTGGGATCCCAGATTTGGGCTCCCAGATTTGTGCTCCCGGATTTGGGCTCCCAGATTTGGGCTCCCACATTTGGGGGTCCCACATTTGGGCTCCCCGATTTGGGGTCCCCGATTTGGGGTCCTGCTGACACCCGACCTTCTCCCCTCTCCCCGCAGCCGGTGCTCGTCCAGCGGGGCCGATTCGGCCGCTTCCTGGGCAAGATCCGACATCTTCGGCCCCGGGTCCGCATCCGCGTGAAAGCCGACGCCACCGTCAGCTTCGGCTGAGCAAATAAACGGGGCGAGCGCGACCCCAAAGCCTGACCCCGGCTCTCTCCTTGCCTCCCGTCCCCACAGACGTCCCCAAGTCCCCAGGGGGAAACAGGCATGGGGTGGGGGGGTCCCCGGGGGCATTTCCCAGCCGGGTTTTTTCGCCCCCGTCCCCTGCAAAGCGTCCTATGGGGACCCCATCCCCGACCCCATAACGGGCATTGCTGAGCCCCCCGACCCCACAAGTGGTTCCCATCCCATCCCGTGCTGTTTTGTCCCCAAATCACAGGGGTTGTGCCCCCAAAGTCCCCCCCCCAGCCCAGGATGTCCCCAAATGCCCGGGGGGGGATCAGCATCAGCACCGGGGCCATCAGCGGGGTTTGGGATGGGGTTGTGGGGATGCGCGGGGACCCCGTGCCCTAAGAGATGAAGCTGTGGTGCCGTCCCCATGTCCCCCGTGTCCCCTGAAATGTCCCCACAGCCTCACACAGCCCCCCACTTCAAAACCTGCCCCCCCCGTGCCCCATCCATCCCATGGCTGTCCCAATTCCTATGGGACGTGGCTGTCCCCACCCCATACCGGGGACGTGCCCCATATCCACAAGTCCCCAGCTCAAAACGTGCCCATGGGTGCACTGGGGGGGGGGGGCACCATCATTTTGGGACCCCCACCGGACAGACCCCGCTCCCCCCACACCGCTGCCCCCCAAAACCTGCCCCCATCCCCGTCATCACCCGTGCCCCCGCGCCCCAAAAGCGCACAGAGGGGACACGGCACGGCCGGGAAGCAGCTTTATTTGGGGGGGGGGGACACCAAAAGGGGGGGACAGCGGCGTCGGGGGGCTGCGGGGGGGCCTCATCTCCTCTTCCAGGCCCTGTAGATCTTGATGGCCAGCGGCACCAGCTGCCAAAAGCGCTTGACCTGGCGGGGCTGTGGGGACAAAACGGTGTCACCAAGGGGGGGGACACACCCCGAGGGTCCCCACGCGCCCCCCTCCCTCCAAGAAAGGTCCCCCCCCGGAGAGCCACCGGCACAGGGGGGTCCCCAACATCCCTGGGGCCACCCCACAGCCTGTGCGTCCCCTCCCCTCGCCACCAGCACTGGGGGGGTCCGAGTGTCCCGAGCATCCTTGGGGACACCCCATAATGTCCCCCCCCTTGTGGTGCCCCCCCCCCACTCACCTCCATCGTGGAGTCCACGCAGGTGACATCGAGCGCGGGGCGGCCGCTCTGCAGCACCACGGGGCCGGAGCAATCCTTGATCAGCTGCGGGTAGGGAGGGGGGGGGGTGACAATGATAAGGGGGTCTCGCGGCCCCCCCCATGGGGTTGTCACCTCTGTCCCCGTCCCCAAAGACCCCAAAGGACCCCCCCAACTCACCCCGTCCTCCTTGAAGTCGCAGGAGTCGGGGCGGGCGCCGGTGCGCGCGCGGGGCAGCGCGTCTCCATGATGGTGAAGTTGAGGGTCCGCAGGGAGCTGAGCTGGACATCCTGCGGGGGACACGGGGGGGTGACACGGTGACAGCACCCCCCCAGTCGCTCCAAGGTGTCCCCAAAATGTCCCCAAAATGTCCTCTCAGTGTCCCCTTCAGTCCCCTTGATATCTCCCGGGTGTCCCCCCAGTTGCTCCAAGTGTCCCATTGCTGTCCCCAGGATGTCCCCAAAATGCCCCCCCAGTGTCCCCTTCATGTCCCTAAGATGTCCCCCAGTTGCTCCAAGGAGTCCCATTGATGTCCCCAGGGTCCCCAAAATGCCCCCCCCGTGTCCCCTTCACATCCCCTTGATATCCCCCAGTGTCCCCTCAGTTTCCCAAAGTGTCCCATTGGGTGTCCCCCAAAATGTCCCCCCAGTGTCCCCTTGATATCCCCCCGTGTCCCCCCAGTTTTCCAAAGTGTCCCACTGGTGTCCCCAGGGTGTCCCCAAAATGTCCCCAAAATGTCCCCTCAATGCTCCCCCAGTGTCCCTCCAATGTCCCCTTGGTATCTCCCCCAGTATCCCCCCAGTTGCTCCAAGCAAGTCGTCCCATTGGTGTCCCCAGGGTGTCCCCAAAATGTCCACAAAATGTCCCCTCAATGCCCCCCCAGTGTCCCCCCCAGTTGCTCCAAGGAGTCCCATTGGTGTCCCCAGGGTGTCCCCAAAACGCCCCCCAGTGTCCCCTTCATGTCCCTAAGATGTCCCCCCAGTTGCTCCAAGGAGTCCCATTGATGTCCCCAGGGTGTCCCAAAAATGTCCCCTCAATGCCCTCCCAGTGTCCCCTCCATCCCCCTGATATCCCCTGGTGTCCCCCCAGTTTCTCCAAATTGTCCCATGGTGTCCCCAAAATGCCCCCCCTGTACTCCCCAATACCCCCAGTGTCCCCTCATGTCCCCAGGGTGTCCCCAACGACCCCATGATGTCCCACGATACCCCAGGGTGTCCTCGGAGTGTCCCTGCCCGTCCCCCTGGTGCACCCTCTGTGTCCCCAAGGTGTCCCCAAGAAGTCCCTTCGATGGCCACAAGGTGTCCCCAAGAGATCCTTAGTGTCCGTTTCATGTCCCCAAGGTGTCCCCAAGGTGTCCCCAGGGTGTCCCCAGGGTGTCCCCAGGGTGTCCAAAGTGTCCCCAAGGGCTCCCTGCATCATCCCACTTGATATACCCAGGTTGTCCCCACAATATCCCCAAAATACCCCATGGGTGTCCCCAGGACATCCCCCCAATGTCCCCAGAGTGTCCCCAGGGTGTTTCCAGGGTGTCCCCAAGATATCCCAAAGTGTCCCCAAGATGTCCCCTCATCATCCCCCTTGATACACCCAGGTTGTCCCATGATATCCCAAAAATATCCCCAAGTGTGTCCCCAGGACAGTCCCCAGTGTCCCCAAGGTGTCCCCAGGGTGTCCCCAAAGTGTCCTAAGGTGTCCCCAAGATGTCCCCTCATCATACCCCTTGATATACCCAGGTTGTCCCCATGATATCCCAAACATATCCCCATGGGTGTCCCCAGGACGTCCCCCCAATGTCCCCAGGGTGTCCCAAAGGTGTTCCTAAGGGTGTCCCCAAGATGTCCCCTCATCATCCCCATTGATACACCCAGGTTATCCCCATGATATCCCAAAAATATCCCCAAGGGTGTCCCCAGGCTGTCCCCCCAATGTCCCCAGGACGTCCCCTCGCCGTCCCCCGCCCGTCCCCTCGCTGTCCCCTGGCCGTGCTCACCGGGGCGGGCTCGGGGTCGGCGCTGAGCAGCCTGAAGGCGTTGTGCACCTCGGGGCGCTGGTTGAAGGAGTCCACGGCCTGGGCCAGCGCCTGGCTGTAGGCGAGGGGGGCCGGGGCGGGCAGGGCGCAGGCCCCCCCCAGGCCCAGCAGCAGCAGCACCCAGCAGCTCGCCATCCTCGCCCCGTGCCGCCCCGCAGCCCCCGCCGCCTTTTAGCGGCCCCGGCCTTGTGCAACGCGGCCTGGGCGGAAATTTCGGGGCCCCACGGGGGCAGCCACAAGGCGGCCGTTGGGGTTTTGGGGAGGGGGAGGCGGTGGGGACCCGTTGGGGACACCCGGGGACATCCCCGTGGGGACAGCAGCACTGGGGGGGGCCTGTGGGGTGCAGCAGGGACACGAAGGGGTGCAAGGGACAGACACGGACACAGCGGGTGCAAGGGACGTTTATTGGGACATTAATTGGGACATTAATAGGGACATTAATAGGGACATTAATTAATCAGAACGTTAATAGGGACTTGGGGCTGTGACACCCACACAGCACCGGCTCCTGCCAGGGCTCCTCAACCTGAGGTGGCATCAGCCCCATGGTGGCACCGGGACCCCACTGTGGCCTCATTCCCCCCTCAGCCTCCTCCTTGTGCCTGGTTTTGGGAGCTGAGCCCCCTTTTATGAGCCCCCGTGCTGGTTTTTTTTTTGGGGGCACGGCCGGGGTTTTCCGCAGAGGGGGAGGCCGCCGGCCTTGAGCAAACAGGCGCAGGGGAGCGGCGGCGCAGGGCGGCCCCGAAACGGCCCGAAGGTGGGCGTCGAGGCTGGGAAGTGCCGGGAGGCCGTAAATCTGCCACGGCTCTGCCGCGGGGCAAGCACGGGGCCATGGGCCCTGGAGGCAGCAGGGGGGGGGAGGAGAGGGGGAAGGAGGGCAAAGGGGGGGGAGGGAGGCAGAGGAGGGAGATGGAGGGGAGGAGTGAAGGGGGGCAAAGGAGGTAAAAGGAGGGAAATGGAGGCCAAAGGAGGCCAATGGAGGGCAAAGGAGGGCAATGGAGGGGGATGGAGGCCAACAGAGGCCAAAGGAGGGCAAAGGAGACTAAAGGAGGCCAATGGAGACCAAAGGAGGGCAAAAAAGGGTAATGGAGCCCAAGTGAGGCCAATGGAGGCTAAAAGAGGCCAATGGAGGGCAAAGGAGGCCAAAAGAGGCCAAAAGAGGCCAAGGAGGCCAAAGGAGGAAAATGGAGGCCAATGGAGGCCAAAGGAGGAAAATGGAGGCCAAAGGAGGCCATGGAGGCCAATGGAGGCCAAAGGAGGCCAAAGGAGGCCAAAGGAAGGCCCCGGGGTCAATGCAGGGTCTGTGGGGCAGGAGCCCGAGGAGCAGCCGGGGGTCTTTGGGTTGTGGGGGCCGGGAGGAGCCGAGGGGAGGCCGCGTGGGGACAGTGCCCGGGCAGGCTGGGGGTCAGGCACCGGGCCCCGCACACACAGAGGCTGGGTTTTGGGGTGGTTCTGTGCAGATTGGACTATTTTATTTATTTTTTTTCTTTTCCGGGTTCTGGCTTGGGTGTTCGGTGTTTGTGTGACCTGGCAGGCACGGAGCCAGGAGGAGGAGGAGGAGGAGGAACGGCCCCGAAAGGGCAACAAACACGGGCAAAGGCCAAGCATGAGCCATGAGGAAGTTTTCCAACACCATAAAATGCTTTTTTTATTACCGATGAGGTTAAAAAGGGCCGGATTTCCCCAACAGAGCCGCCCCCCCCCCCCCCCCTCCCTGACCCAGCACAAGGGCAGGGGCCGAGCCCTGCGCACAAAATGGCGGCGCCCAGCTGCCGTACACCGGAAGCCGCTCTCCTGTCTCTCTGTATCTGAACCAATCAGAGCGCTGCGCGCCGCGCGGCGAGCCAATAAGACTCAGCGTCGCTGCCGTGACGTCATCAGTGCGCGCCTGCCCACGGGGCGTGCTGTACGGCAGGAGCGCCGGGGCGCGGTAGGGCACGGAGAAGAAGGGGGGGGGGGCGCGTTTTGGGGCCACTTTTTTAAAATTAATTAATTTTAATTTTTTTTTTTCGCAGCCTCGCGATGCAGCGCTGAGCCCCGGCTTCTCTCTCAGCATGGCGGCGCGGCTGGTGGGGCGCTGCTGCTGGCGCCACCTCGCCGCCATCTCCCTGGGGCCGGCCCTGCCTCAGGCCTCCGCCACCCCCCCAGGGCCTCCTCGCTTCACGCCCCGGGAGCCGCCGCCGCCGCCGAGGGCTCGGCCCTGAAGGAAAAAACTGAGGAGAACCCCGGGGCGCAGGGACCCAAGGCGCTGAGGGAGCTCCTGGAGGCGGCCCAGGGGCCTCGGGAGCTGCTGGAGCTGAGCGAGGAGCCGGGGCTGAGCAGCAACCAGGCCTCGCTGCTCATCGGCCGCCTGTCCCGCCTGGCCGCTCAGCAGCAGCTGGAGCCGCAGGGCTTGCTGCAGGACCCTCGCTTCAAGCAGCTCCTCGGCGTGATGGACTCGCAGGTGGGTGCCCGGACACGTAGCGCAGCCCTCAAGGTGCTTCCTCCCTCCTCTTTCCACTTTTATGGGTGTTTTTTTCCCGTTTCCCGCTCGTTTTTGGTTGTTTCTGCGAGCTGAAGGTGCCACCTGGTCAAAAGTTTGGTGGTTGAGGCGTTTCGGAGCCCAACAGCACCGGGTTCGGCTCAAAAGAGGGGTCCCCACATCACCAGGACATGTCCTTAAAAATAGGGATCCCCCATTATCCCCCCACATCAGCAGAATATTTCCTTAAAAACAGGGATCCCCCATTGCTGGCAGGGCCGAGCTGTGCAAGGAGAGCGAGAGATGAGCGAGAAGATGGCAGCACGCCTCGCTGCCCAGAGGGGTGGCTGTGAAGGCAATTAGCTGGGAGTTAACGAAGCAAAATCTCTCTGTGCACGGCTGTCTTTCTCCAAAAAGCTGCTGCGGTCGTGGCTAACGCAGTGTGGGATGTAAGAAGGGGATCTGCAGGTGCTCAGGGGCTCCTATGCAGGCTAAAATGACATAAAATAAACTAAAAATGACATAAAATAAACTAAAATCGCAGAATCAGGGAGCTGTAGGGGTTGGAAGGGACCTCCAACCCGCTGCTGAAGCAGGCGGTCATTAACCACACTGCAACACCTCGACCAGCCAAAGATCCCAAATCTTAGGGCTTGGGTGCAGGGAAAAGGCTCTGAGGTGCCCAGGGGCCAGCAGCTTGACTCTCAGCTTCATCCTCCTTCATCTTTTCAGCCCCAAAAGTTGAAGAGCACCGTTTTAGGACTTTAGATAAAGAGTTGGAGGGGAAGTTGAAGGTTTTATTTGCTCAGAGCCACCTGGTGCAAGCGCCCTGAGCACCAGCTCCCTCCATAACCACAGGGCAATGCCATCTTTTTGCCCCAGCTCTCTCTGATTGATGTTTTTTGTGTTTCTTTTGTCTCCCCAGATCTCCCAGGTGTGGAACAACGCCCTGGTGAACGTCCTGAAGAGCCTCTACTCGCTGGGGCTGCCGAGCAGCAGCCGGGAGTTGCAGTCGGTGGAGCACGAGGTGCTGTGGAGGCTGCGCCGCCTCACCTTCCGCCAGATCGCCTCCCTGGCCGAATTCTGGCCTCCAGACCCCAAAAAGACAACAAACTGCTGGCCGAGGTGGTCAGGAAGCTGGAGCTGCGCTGGACGGAGCTGGAGGGCACCCGCAGCGTGGTGACGCTGATAGCCAAGGTCGGCCACGTCTCCCCCGCCCTGATGGACCGCCTGGAGGACAAGGTGGGGGCTCCGGGAGCTCTCAGTTTGCTCCCTTCCCTTCAAATCAGCATTTTGGGGAAAAAAACCAGCCTCAGCTCTGTAATAACGCCCTGCTGCGTGCCCATGGGCAGCTCTCGGAGCAGCTCAGGTGCTCAGGAGCAGCGTTTCCAACCCCAGGAGCCACGCAGGAGGGGAGTTGGCAGGTGGGAGCTGCCTGAAGGCTGATGTGCTGCTCTGTGAGGCTGGAATCACCTTGTTTTGTGACAGAATCCCTTATTTTGTGCCAGAATCCCCTTATTTTGTGCTAGAATCCCTTATTTTGTCCTAGAACCACCTTATTTTTGTGCCAGAATCCCTTATTTTGTGCTGGAATCCCTTCATTTTGTACTGGAATCCCCTTATTTTGTGCTGGAATCCCTCATTTTGTGCTAGAACCACCTTATTTTGTGCCAGAATCCCTTATTTTGTGCCAGAATCCCTTATTTTGTGCCAGCAGAACCACCTCATTTTGTGCCAGAATCCCTCATTTTGTGCCAGAATCCCTCATTTTGTGCCAGAATCCCTCATTTTGTGCCAGAATCCCTTATTTTGTGCCAGAACCCCCTTATTTTGTGCCGGAACCCCCTTATTTGTGCTAGAACCACCTCATTTTGTGCCGGCATCCCTTCATTTTGTGCCATAATCCCTCATTTTGTGTTAGAACCACCTTATTTTGTGCAGGAATCCCTTACTTTGTGCTAGAACCACCTAACTTTGTGCCAGAATCCCCTCATTTTGTGTTAGAACCACATAATTTTGTTCCGGAATCCCTTATTTTGTGTTAGAATCCCCTCATTTTGTGCCGGAATCCCTCATTTTGTGCCGGAATCCCCTCATTTTGTGCTGGAATCCCTTATTTTGTGTTAGAACCAGCTTATTTTTTGCTAGAATCCCCTCATTTTGTGCCGGAATCCCCTCATTTTGTGCCGGAATCCCCTCATTTTGTGCTGGAATCCCTTATTTTGTGTTAGAACCAGCTTATTTTTGCTAGAATCCCCTCATTTTGTGCCGGAATCCCTCATTTTGTGCCAGAACCACCTTATTTTGTGCTAGAATCCCTTATTTTGTCCTAGAACCACCTTATTTTGTGCCGGAATCCCTTATTTTGTGCCGGAATCCCTCATTTTGTGCCAGAACCACCTCAACCAGCGACACCTGGCCAGCGGCACCTCACCCCCCTCATCCACAGCTCCCTGCCTGCCTCCCCCTGACATCCCAACGTGTTTTTTTTTTCAGGCCCTGGAGCTGGCGGAGCACTTCAGCCCCGAAGATATCCGCAAGATCACCCTGGCCCTGGCCTACCAGAACCGCCGCTGCGTGCCCCTGCTGCGCGCCCTGTCCTACCACCTCCTGCAGAAACACACCGAGCTCGACCTCGCCACCCTGACCGACCTGATTTTTGCTTATGGTGAGCCCCTCGGCCGCGCTGGGACCCGGCGAGCTCCTGTAGGGTGCTCGAGTTGCGCTCTGAGATCCTCGGGGTGAGCTGGGACGGAGCAGGGAGGCTGGCAGCGGGGTGCCAGCCAGCACAGCCACCTCGTTTCCAGCCCCACACGCTGACAGCACGACATTTCCCTGCCCTTCAGCTCTTCCTCACAAAACCGAACACCAAAGCCAGAACCCGGAAAAAATAAAAAATAAAAAAAAATAGTAAATCTGCACAGAACCACCCCCAAAACCCAGCCTCTGTGCGTGTGGGGCCCGGTGCCTGACCCCCAGCCTGCCCCGGGCACTGTCCCCACGCGGCCTCCCCTCGCTCCTCCCGGCCCCACAACCCAAGACCCCCGGCTGCTCCTCGGGGCTCCTGCCCCACAGACCCTGCATTGACCCCGCTGCCTTCCTTTGGCCTCCATTCCCCTCCTTTGGCCTCCTTTGGCCTCCATTGGCCTTGATGGGCCTCCATGGGCCTCCATAGGCCTTCTTTGGCCTCCATTGGCCTCCATTTTCCTCCTTTGGCTTCCTTTGGCCTCCTATGGCCTCTTTTGGCCTCCATTCCCCTCCATTGGCCTCCATTGGACCTTTGGCCTCCATCAAACTCTTTTAGCCTCCATTGGCCTCACTTGGGCTCCATTACCCTTTTTTGCCCTCCATTGGCCTCCTTTGGCCTCCTTTGCCTCCTTTGGCCTCCTTGGCCTCCATTCCCCTCCATTGCCCTCCTTTGCCCTCCATTGGCCTCCGTTGGCCTCCATTTCCCCCTTTTACTCCTTTGCCCCCCTTCACCCTCCATCTCCCTCCTCTGCCTCCCTCCACCCCCCCTTTGCCCTCCTTCCCCCTCTCCTCCCCCCCCCCCCCTTGCTGCCTCCAGGGCCCGTGGCCCCGTGCTTGCCCTGCGGCAGAGCCGTGGCAGATTTACGGCCTCCCGGCACTTCCCAGCCTCGACGCCCACCTTCGGGGCCGTTTCGGGGCCGCCCTGCGCCGCCGCTCCCCTGCGCCTGTTTGCTCAGGGGCGGCGGCCTCCCCTCTGCGGAAAACCCCCCGTGCCCCAAAAAAAAAAAAACAGCACGGGGGGGCTCATAAAAGGGGGCTCAGCTCCCAAAACCGGGCACGAGGAGGAGGCTGAGGGCAGGATGAGGCCGTGCTGCCTGCTCCTGCTGCTGCTGCTTCCTGGCGCCCGCCGCGGCCGTCTCGCCACAACCGGACACGTCCCCGGTGCCGGGGCTGGAGGGAACCCCGACAGCCGAGATTCCCGGCTCCGTCCCTATAGGATCCGAGGGATCGGTGGCTCCGGGGCAGGATGGATCCCGGCCACCATCCCAGCCATGGCGTTGGCCCTCGGGCTCCCTTCAGGCCGTGCTGGAGGCCCTGCGGCTGCTCCACCGCGGCTCCAAGGCTCCCTGCGCCCTGAGGCGGCTGCGGGGTGACGGGACCCGAACGGGGCTGGGTGAGTGCCAAAAAGGGGGTCCGGGGGTGACCCCACAGAGGGTCCCGTCCCCGTTTATGAGGGTCTGGTTTCCCCCACAGCCCCAGCGGGAGCTGACTTTCCTCGTGCAGGACGCCTGGTGCCAGCCCGCGGGGACGCCGCCGGCCGCCTGCCCGAGCTGCCACACCAGGGTGAGGACACGAGGGGACAACCAGGGGGGGGGGGACATCACGGGGGGGGTCCCGGTCAGCCCTAGGGGTGACCCCGCTGCTTCTTCCCACAGTTCGGTCGCAACTGGGGGGCCTGGATCCGGGAGCGCTGGGCCAGCTTCAGGCAGCGCCTACGGGACCGCGGCCGCCACTGGACTGGGTCCGGCGGAGCCACAACGACCCCAGAGGGTCCTGAGGAGCCCCCGATGTTGTGGGGGCTTCACGGACCCCCAACCCTATTACCATCCCTATTAATGTCCCAATTAACGTCCCAATAAACGTCCCTTGCAACCCGCTGTGTCCGTGTCGTCCCTCGCACCCCTTCGTGTCCCTGCTGCACCCCACAGCCCCCCCCCGAGTGCTGCTGTCCCCACGGGGATTGTCCCCGGGGTGTCCCCCAACGGGTCCCTTCCCCATATTCCTGCCCCTCAAGGGCCGCTGTCCCCATGTCCCCAGGGTGTCCCCAGGGTGTCCCCAGGGTGTCCCCATGTCCCCAAGCCGGCACGGAGCAGGGCAGGGCACGGCCACGTCCCCACCACCACCACCCCCCCCGTCACCCCTCGCCCCTCGCCCCGCTGCCTCCCCCTCCCCAAAACCCAACGGCCGCCTCGTGGCTGCCCCCGTGGGGCCCCGAAATTTCCGCCCAGGCCGCGTTGCACAAGGCCGGGGCCGCTAAAAGGCGGCGGGGGCTGCGGGGCGGCACGGGGCGAGGATGGCGAGCTGCTGGGTGCTGCTGCTGCTGGGCCTGGGGGGGGCCTGCGCCCTGCCCGCCCCGGCCCCCCTCGCCTACAGCCAGGCGCTGGCCCAGGCCGTGGACTCCTTCAACCAGCGCCCCGAGGTGCACAACGCCTTCAGGCTGCTCAGCGCCGACCCCGAGCCCGCCCCGGTGAGCACGGCCAGGGGACAGCGAGGGGACGGCGAGGGGACAGCCTGGGGACACACTGGGGACCGCCTGGGGACACTGGGGGGGACGTCCTGGGACACCCTTGGGGATATTTTTGGGATATCACTGGGATAATCTGGTTGTATCAAGGGGGATGATTTGGGGACCTCTTGGGGACACTTTGGGATACATGGGGGACACCCTTAGGACACCTTGGGGACACCCTGGGGACACTGGGGGGACGTCCTGGGGACACCCATGGGGATATTTTGGGGATATCACTGGGACAACCTGGTTGTATCAAGGGGGGTGATGCGGGGACCCATTGGAGACACTTTGGATTCTTTGGGGACACCTTGGGGACCCCTTGGGGACACTTGGGATACCTTGGGGACACCCTGGGGACACTCTGGGGACATTGGGGGGACGTCCTGGGGACACCCTTGGAGATATTTTTGGGATATCGTGGGGACAACCTGGTTGTATCAAGGGGGGTGATGCGGGGACCCATTGGAGACACTTTGGATTCCTTGGGGACACCCTGGGGATACCTTGGGGACACCTTGGGGACATCCTGGGGACATCTTGGGACATCTTTGGGACATTGGGGGGACGTCCTGGGGACACCCTTGGGGGTATTTTGGGGCTATCATGGGGACAACCTGGGTATATCAAGAGGGATGATGCGGGCACCCCCTGGGGACACTTTGGGATCCCTTGGGGACCCCTTGTGCCCATCGAAGGGACTTCTTGGGGACACCTTGGGGACACAGAGGGGACCCCTGGCGATGGGTTTGGGGGGTTTTCATCCCGGGGGTGTCCCCATTGTGTCCGTTCCCCGCAGGGCATTGACCTGGGCACTCTGCGGGCACTCAACTTCACCCTGATGGAGACCGACTGCGCCCCGGGCTCACGGGTCCCCACCGACGACTGCGACTTCAAGGAGAACGGGGGTGAGTCCGGGGGGGTCCCGGGGGGGGGACACAACCCCACTGGGGGCCTGGGGACACGTGGGGTGACCCCATACGTGTCCCAGGCCATCAAGGAGTGCTCGGGGCCGGTGACGTTCCAGCAGGGCACCCCCGACATCGACCTCTGCGCTGCTCCGACGCCTCCTCCGATGTGAGTTTTTGGGGGGGGGGGTCTCGAGGGCACCCATGGGTGGGGATGGGGTGGGGGCTGAGCCCTGCTCCTTCCCCGTGTACCCGCGGTGGCCCCGTCCCCAAAATTTTGGGGGATGAGGTGCCACGACCCCACAGCACCATCCTAGGGGGGACGGAGGGAGGGTCCTGGGCGCGTGCGGGGCTCAGATTTGGGGCTCCCAGATTTGGGGTCCCAGATATGGGGTCCCACATTTGGGATTCCAGATTTGGGGTTCCAGATTTGGGATCCCACATTTGGGATCCCAGACTTGGGCTCCGAGATTTGGGGTTCCAGATTTGGGGTCCCACATTTGGGATCCCGGATTTGGGCTCCCAGATTTGGGCTCACAGATTTGGGGTTCCAGATTTGAGGTCCCACATTTGTGGTCCCACATTTGGGGTTCCAGATATGGGCTCCCAGAGTTGGGGTCCCCATTTGGGGTACCACATTTGGGATCCCAGATTTGGGCTCCCAGATTTGTGCTCCCGGATTTGGGCTCCCAGATTTGGGCTCCCACATTTGGGGTCCCACATTTGGGCTCCCCGATTTGGGGTCCCCGATTTGGGGTCCTGCTGACACCCGACCTTCTCCCCTCTCCCCGCAGCCGGTGCTCGTCCAGCGGGGCCGATTCGGCCGCTTCCTGGGCAAGATCCGACATCTTCGGCCCCGGGTCCGCATCCGCGTGAAAGCCGACGCCACCGTCAGCTTCGGCTGAGCAAATAAACGGGGCCGAGCGCGACCCCAAAGCCTGACCCCGGCTCTCTCCTTGCCTCCCGTCCCCACAGATGTCCCCAAGTCCCCAGGGGGAAACAGGCATGGGGTGGGGGGGTCCCCGGGGACATTTCCCAGCCGGGTTTTTCGCCCCCGTCCCCTGCAAAGCGTCCTATGGGGACCCCATCCCCGACCCCATAACGGGCATTGCTGAGCCCCCCCGACCCCACAAGTGGTTCCCATCCCATCCCTGTGCTGTTTCGTCCCCAAATCACAGCGGTTGTGCCCCCAAAGTCCCCCCCCCCAGCCCAGGATGTCCCCAAATACCCCGGGGGGGGATCAGCATGGAGCCACCGGGGCCATCAGCGGGGTTTGGGATGGGGTTGTGGGGATGCGCGGGGACCCCGTGCCCTAAGAGATGAAGCTGTGGTGCCGTCCCCATGTCCCCCGTGTCCCCTGAAATGTCCCCACAGCCTCACACAGCCCCCCACTTCAAAACCTGCCCCCCCCGTGCCCCATCCATCCCATGGCTGTCCCCAATTCCTATGGGACGTGGCTGTCCCCACCCCATACGGGACGTGCCCCATATCCACAAGTCCCCAAGCTCAAAACGTGCCCATGGGTGCACTGGGGGAGGGGGGGGCACCATCATTTTGGGACCCCCACCGGACAGACCCCACTCCCCCCACACTGCTGCCCCCCAAAACTGCCCCCATCCCCGTCACTCCGTGCCCCCCGCGCCCCAAAAGCGCACAGAGGGGACACGGCACGGCCGGGAAGCAGCTTTATTTGGGGGGGGGGGACACCAAAGGGGGGGACAGCAGCGTCGGGGGGCTGCGGGGGGGCCTCATCTCCTCTTCCAGGCCCTGTAGATCTTGATGGCCAGCGGGCACCAGCTGCCAAAAGCGCTTGACCTGGCGGGGCTGTGGGGACAAAACGGTGTCACCAAGGGGGGGGGACACACCCCGAGGGTCCCCACGCGCCCCCCTCCCTCCAAGAAAGGTCCCCCCCCGGAGAGCCACCGGCACAGGGGGGTCCCCAACATCCCTGGGGCCACCCCACAGCCTGTGCGTCCCCTCCCCTCGCCACCAGCACTGGGGGGGTCCCGAGTGTCCTGAGCATCCTTGGGGACACCCCATAATGTCCCCCCCCCTTGTGGTGCCCCCCCCCCACTCACCTCCATCGTGGAGTCCACGCAGGTGACATCGAGCGCGGGGCGGCCGCTCTGCAGCACCACGGGGCCGGAGCAATCCTTGATCAGCTGCGGGCAGGGAGGGGGGGGGTGACAATGATAAGGGGGTCTCGCGGCCCCCCCCATGGGGTTGTCACCTCTGTCCCCGTCCCCAAAGACCCCAAAGGACCCCCCAACTCACCCCGTCCTCCTTGAAGTCGCAGGAGTCGGGGCGGGCGCCGGTGCGCGCGGGGCAGCGCGTCTCCATGATGGTGAAGTTGAGGCTGCGCAGGGAGCTGAGCTGGACATCCTGCGGGGACACGGGGGGGTGACACGGTGACAGCACCCCCCCAGTCGCTCCAAGGTGTCCCCAAAATGTCCCCAAAATGTCCTCTCAGTGTCCCCTTCACGTCCCTTGATATCTCCCGGGTGTCCCCCCAGTTGCTCCAAGGTGTCCCATTGCTGTCCCCAGGATGTCCCCAAAATGCCCCCCCAGTGTCCCCTTCATGTCCCTAAGATGTCCCCCCAGTTGCTACAAGGAGTCCCATTGCTGTCCCCAGGGTGTCCCCAAAACGCCCCCCCCGTGTCACCTTCACATCCCCTTGGTATCCCCCCAGTGTCCCCTCAGTTTCTCCAAAGTGTCCCATTGGTGTCCCCAAAATGTCCCCCCAGTGTCCCCTTGATATCCCCCAGTGTCCACCCAGTTTCTCCAAAGTGTCCCATTGGTGTCCCCAGGGTGTCCCCAAAATGTCCCCAAAATGTCCCCTCAATGCTCCCCCAGTGTCCCCTCAATGTCCCCTTGGTATCTCCCCAGTATCCCCCCAGTTGCTCCAAGCAGTCCCATTGGTGTCCCCAGGGTGTCCCCAAAATGTCCACAAAATGTCCCCTCAATGCCCCCCCAGTGTCCCCCAGTTGCTCCAAGGAGTCCCATTGGTGTCCCCAGGGTGTCCCCAAAACGCCCCCCCAGTGTCCCCTTCATGTCCCTAAGATGTCCCCCCAGTTGCTCCAAGGAGTCCCATTGATGTCCCCAGGGTGTCCCCAAAATGTCCCCTCAATGCCCTCCCAGTGTCCCCCTCACATCCCCTTGATATCTCCCTGGTGTCCCCCCAGTTTCTCCAAATTGTCCCATTGGTGTCCCCAAAATGCCCCCCCTGTACTCCCCAATACCCCCAGTGTCCCCTCAATGTCCCCAGGGTGTCCCCCAACGACTCCATGCTGTCCCACCGATACCCCCAGGGTGTCCTCGGAGTGTCCCCTGCCCGTCCCCCTGGTGCACCCTCTGTGTCCCCAAGGTGTCCCCAAGAAGTCCCTTCGATGGCCACAAGGTGTCCCCAAGAGATCCCTTAGTGTCCGTTTCATGTCCCCAAGGTGTCCCCAAGGTGTCCCCAGGGTGTCCCCAGGGTGTCCCCAGGGTATCCCAAAGTGTCCCCAAGGGCTCCCTGCATCATCCCACTTGATATACCCAGGTTGTCCCCACAATATCCCCAAAATACCCCCATGGGTGTCCCCAGGACATCCCCCCAATGTCCCCAGAGTGTCCCCAGGGTGTTTCCAGGGTGTCTCCAAGATATCCCAAAGTGTCCCCAAGATGTCCCCTCATCATCCCCCTTGATACACCCAGGTTGTCCCCATGATAGCCCAAAAATATCCCCACGTGTGTCCCCAGGACATCACCCCAGTGACCCCAAGGTGTCCCCAGGGTGTCCCCAAAGTGTCCTAAGGGTGTCCCCAAGATGTCCCCTCATCATACCCCTTGATATACCCAGGTTGTCCCCATGATATCCCAAACATATCCCCACGGGTGTCCCCAGGACATCCCCCCAATGTCCCCAGGGTGTCCCCAAGGTGTCCTAAGGGTGTCCCCAAGATGTCCCCTCATCATCCCCATTGATACACCCAGGTTATCCCCATGATATCCCAAAAATATCCCCAAGGGTGTCCCCAGGCTGTCCCCCCAATGTCCCCAGGACGTCCCCTCGCCGTCCCCTCGCCGTCCCCTCACTGTCCCCTGGCCGTGCTCACCGGGGCGGGCTCGGGGTCGGCGCTGAGCAGCCTGAAGGCGTTGTGCACCTCGGGGCGCTGGTTGAAGGAGTCCACGGCCTGGGCCAGCGCCTGGCTGTAGGCGAGGGGGGGCCGGGGCGGGCAGGGCGCAGGCCCCCCCCAGGCCCAGCAGCAGCAGCACCCAGCAGCTCGCCATCCTCGCCCCGTGCCGCCCCGCAGCCCCCGCCGCCTTTTAGCGGCCCCGGCCTTGTGCAACGCGGCCTGGGCGGAAATTTCGGGGCCCCACGGGGGGCAGCCACAAGGCGGCCGTTGGGGTTTTGGGGAGGGGGAGGCGGTGGGGACCCGTTGGGGACACCCCGGGGACATCCCCGTGGGGACAGCAGCACTTGGGGGGGGGCCTGTGGGGTGCAGCAGGGACACGAAGGGGTGCAAGGGACAGACACGGACACAGCGGGTGCAAGGGACGTTTATTGGGACATTAATTGGGACATTAATAGGGACATTAATAGGGACATTAATTAATCAGAACGTTAATAGGGACTTGGGGCTGTGACACCCACACAGCACCGGCTCCTGCCAGGGCTCCTCAACCTGAGGTGGCATCAGCCCCATGGTGGCACCGGGGACCCCACTGTGGCCTCATTTCCCCCCTCAGCCTCCTCCTTGTGCCTGGTTTTGGGAGCTGAGCCCCCTTTTATGAGCCCCCCCGTGCTGGTTTTTTTTTGGGGGCACGGCCGGGGTTTTCCGCAGAGGGGGAGGCCGCCGGCCTTGAGCAAACAGGCGCAGGGGGAGCGGCGGCGCAGGGCGGCCCCGAAACGGCCCCGAAGGTGGGCGTCGAGGCTGGGAAGTGCCGGGAGGCCGTAAATCTGCCACGGCCTCTGCCGCGGGGCAAGCACGGGGCCATGGGCCCTGGAGGCAGCAGGGGGGGGGAGGAGAGGGGGAAGGAGGGCAAAGGGGGGTGGAGGGAGGCAGAGGAGGGAGATGGAGGGTGAAGGGGGGCAAAGGAGGTAAAAGGAGGGAAATGGAGGCCAAAGGAGGCCAATGGAGGGCAAAGGAGGGCAATGGAGGGGGATGGAGGCCAACAGAGGCCAAAGGAGGGCAAAGGAGACTAAAGGAGGCCAATGGAGACCAAAGGAGGGGCAAAAAAGGGTAATGGAGCCCAAGTGAGGCCAATGGAGGCTAAAAGAGGCCAATGGAGGGCAAAGGAGGCCAAAAGAGGCCAAAAGAGGCCAAAGGAGGCCAAAGGAGGAAAATGGAGGCCAATGGAGGCCAAAGGAGGAAAATGGAGGCCAAAGGAGGCCCATGGAGGCCAATGGAGGCCAAAGGAGGCCAAAGGAGGCCAAAGGAAGGCCCCGGGGTCAATGCAGGGTCTGTGGGGCAGGAGCCCCGAGGAGCAGCCGGGGGTCTTTGGGTTGTGGGGCCGGGAGGAGCCGAGGGGAGGCCGCGTGGGGACAGTGCCCGGGGCAGGCTGGGGGTCAGGCACCGGGCCCCGCACACACAGAGGCTGGGTTTTGGGGTGGTTCTGTGCAGATTGGACTATTTTTATTTATTTTTTTTTCTTTTCCGGGTTCTGGCTTTGGGTGTTCGGTGTTTGTGTGACCTGGCAGGCACGGAGCCAGGAGGAGGAGGAGGAGGAGGAACGGCCCCGAAAGGGCAACAAACACGGGCAAAGGCCAAGCATGAGCCATGAGGAAGTTTTCCAACACCATAAAATGCTTTTTTTATTACCGATGAGGTTAAAAAGGGCCGGATTTCCCCCAACAGAGCCGCCCCCCCCCCCCCCCCCCTCCCTGACCCAGCACAAGGGCAGGGGCCGAGCCCTGCGCACAAAATGGCGGCGCCCAGCTGCCGTACACCGGAAGCCGCTCTCCTGTCTCTCTGTATCTGAACCAATCAGAGCGCTGCGCGCCGCGCGGCGAGCCAATAAGACTCAGCGTCGCTGCCGTGACGTCATCAGTGCGCGCCTGCCCACGGGGCGTGCTGTACGGCAGGAGCGCCGGGGCGCGGTAGGGCACGGAGAAGAAGGGGGGGGGGGGCGCGTTTTGGGGCCACTTTTTTAAAATTAATTAATTTTAATTTTTTTTTTTCGCAGCCTCGCGATGCAGCGCTGAGCCCCGGCTTCTCTCTCAGCATGGCGGCGCGGCTGGTGGGGCGCTGCTGCTGGCGCCACCTCGCCGCCATCTCCCTGGGGCCCGGCCCTGCCTCAGGCCTCCGCCACCCCCCCAGGGCCTCCTCGCTTCACGCCCCGGGAGCCGCCGCCGCCGCCGAGGGCTCGGCCCTGAAGGAAAAAACTGAGGAGAACCCCGGGGCGCAGGGACCCAAGGCGCTGAGGGAGCTCCTGGAGGCGGCCCAGGGGCCTCGGGAGCTGCTGGAGCTGAGCGAGGAGCCGGGGCTGAGCAGCAACCAGGCCTCGCTGCTCATCGGCCGCCTGTCCCGCCTGGCCGCTCAGCAGCAGCTGGAGCCGCAGGGCTTGCTGCAGGACCCTCGCTTCAAGCAGCTCCTCGGCGTGATGGACTCGCAGGTGGGTGCCCGGACACGTAGCGCAGCCCTCAAGGTGCTTCCTCCCTCCTCTTTCCACTTTTATGGGTGTTTTTTTTCCCGTTTCCCGCTCGTTTTTGGTTGTTTCTGCGAGCTGAAGGTGCCACCTGGTCAAAAGTTTGGTGGTTGAGGCGTTTCGGAGCCCAACAGCACCGGGTTCGGCTCAAAAGAGGGGTCCCCACATCACCAGGACATGTCCTTAAAAATAGGGATCCCCCATTATCCCCCCACATCAGCAGAATATTTCCTTAAAAACAGGGATCCCCCATTGCTGGCAGGGCCGAGCTGTGCAAGGAGAGCGAGAAGATGGCAGCACGGCCTCGCTGCCCAGAGGGGTGGCTGTGAAGGCAATTAGCTGGGAGTTAACGAAGCAAAATCTCTCTGTGCACGGCTGTCTTTCTCCAAAAAGCTGCTGCGGTCGTGGCTAACGCAGTGTGGGATGTAAGAAGGGGATCTGCAGGTGCTCAGGGGCTCCTATGCAGGCTAAAATGACATAAAATAAACTAAAAATGACATAAAATAAACTAAAATCGCAGAATCAGGGAGCTGTAGGGGTTGGAAGGGACCTCCAACCCGCTGCTGAAGCAGGCGGTCATTAACCACACTGCAACACCTCGACCAGCCAAAGATCCCAAATCTTAGGGCTTGGGTGCAGGGAAAAGGCTCTGAGGTGCCCAGGGGCCAGCAGCTTGACTCTCAGCTTCATCCTCCTTCATCTTTTCAGCCCCAAAAAGTTGAAGAGCACCGTTTTAGGACTTTAGATAAAGAGTTGGAGGGGAAGTTGAAGGTTTTATTTGCTCAGAGCCACCTGGTGCAAGCGCCCTGAGCACCAGCTCCCTCCATAACCACAGGGCAATGCCATCTTTTTGCCCCAGCTCTCTCTGATTGATGTTTTTTGTGTTTCTTTTGTCTCCCCAGATCTCCCAGGTGTGGAACAACGCCCTGGTGAACGTCCTGAAGAGCCTCTACTCGCTGGGGCTGCCGAGCAGCAGCCGGGAGTTGCAGTCGGTGGAGCACGAGGTGCTGTGGAGGCTGCGCCGCCTCACCTTCCGCCAGATCGCCTCCCTGGCCGAATTCCTGGCCTCCAGACCCCAAAAAGACAACAAACTGCTGGCCGAGGTGGTCAGGAAGCTGGAGCTGCGCTGGACGGAGCTGGAGGGCACCCGCAGCGTGGTGACGCTGATAGCCAAGGTCGGCCACGTCTCCCCCGCCCTGATGGACCGCCTGGAGGACAAGGTGGGGGCTCCGGGAGCTCTCAGTTTGCTCCCTTCCCTTCAAATCAGCATTTTTGGGGAAAAAACCAGCCTCAGCTCTGTAATAACGCCCTGCTTGCGTGCCCATGGGCAGCTCTCGGAGCAGCTCAGGTGCTCAGGAGCAGCGTTTCCAACCCCCAGGAGCCACGCAGGAGGGGAGTTGGCAGGTGGGAGCTGCCTGAAGGCTGATGTGCTGCTCTGTGAGGCTGGAATCACCTTGTTTTGTGACAGAATCCCTTATTTTGTGCCAGAATCCCCTTATTTTGTGCTAGAATCCCTTATTTTGTCCTAGAACCACCTTATTTTGTGCCAGAATCCCTTATTTTGTGCTGGAATCCCTTCATTTTGTACTGGAATCCCCTTATTTTGTGCTGGAATCCCTCATTTTGTGCTAGAACCACCTTATTTTGTGCCAGAATCCCTTATTTTGTGCCAGAATCCCTTATTTTGTGCCAGAACCACCTCATTTTGTGCCAGAATCCCTCATTTTGTGCCAGAATCCCTCATTTTGTGCCAGAATCCCTCATTTTGTGCCAGAATCCCTTATTTTGTGCCAGAACCCCCCTTATTTTGTGCCGGAACCCCCTTATTTTGTGCTAGAACCACCTCATTTTGTGCCGGCATCCCTTCATTTTGTGCCATAATCCCCTCATTTTGTGTTAGAACCACCTTATTTTGTGCAGGAATCCCTTACTTTGTGCTAGAACCACCTAACTTTGTGCCAGAATCCCCTCATTTTGTGTTAGAACCACATAATTTTGTTCCGGAATCCCTTATTTTGTGTTAGAATCCCCTCATTTTGTGCCGGAATCCCCTCATTTTGTGCCGGAATCCCCTCATTTTGTGCTGGAATCCCTTATTTTGTGTTAGAACCAGCTTATTTTTTGCTAGAATCCCCTCATTTTGTGCCGGAATCCCCTCATTTTGTGCCGGAATCCCCTCATTTTGTGCTGGAATCCCTTATTTTGTGTTAGAACCAGCTTATTTTTTGCTAGAATCCCCTCATTTTGTGCCGGAATCCCCTCATTTTGTGCCAGAACCACCTTATTTTGTGCTAGAATCCCTTATTTTGTCCTAGAACCACCTTATTTTGTGCCGGAATCCCTTATTTTGTGCCGGAATCCCTCATTTTGTGCCAGAACCACCTCAACCAGCGACACCTGGCCAGCGGCACCTCACCCCCCTCATCCACAGCTCCCTGCCTGCCTCCCCCTGACATCCCAACGTGTTTTTTTTTCAGGCCCTGGAGCTGGCGGAGCACTTCAGCCCCGAAGATATCCGCAAGATCACCCTGGCCCTGGCCTACCAGAACCGCCGCTGCGTGCCCCTGCTGCGCGCCCTGTCCTACCACCTCCTGCAGAAACACACCGAGCTCGACCTCGCCACCCTGACCGACCTGATTTTTGCTTATGGTGAGCCCCTCGGCCGCTGCTGGGACCCGGCGAGCTCCTCTAGGGTGCTCGAGTTGCGCTCTGAGATCCTCGGGGTGAGCTGGGACGGAGCAGGGAGGCTGGCAGCGGGGTGCCAGCCAGCACAACCACCTCGTTTCCAGCCCCACACGCTGACAGCACGACATTTCCCTGCCCTTCAGCTCTTCCTTACGCTCCCATCACATTTTTTTTCGCTGAGGGAGACCTCCTGTGGCAGTTCAGGGCGTGCACGCTCAGCTCCGTGCTGCTGCCTCACCCCAGAGCCCGTTTGGGCACGGCCTGGGTGTGTGTGGTCAGAATTACAGCTTGGTTTTCCTTCCAGCCTGCAGGAAAAAGGGAAATGCAGCACCATAGCCTTCATGGGTCGGGTTTATCCTAAAAAAATTAAGGATTTACCCATAATAAACAGCCTTAGAGGGGGCTCACGCCCCTCCTGGATGCCCCCAGCCCCCTTCCTGGCCCTATAAAATCAGCCTCGTGGCACCCCGCCAGCTCCCGTGCCAGCTCGGTGTCAGCGGCTGCCGCTTTTTCTTTTTTCTTTCTTCTTTTTGCCCCTTTAAAGGAAAACTGAATTTCCACCAGCCCCAGGTCTTCCAGAAGCTCGCCACCGACCTGCAGCCCCACGTGGCCAGCATGACGCCGGGCGAGGTGACGCGCTGCATCAGGTCCTTCGCCCTCCTCAAGTGGCTCAGCCTCCCCCTCTTCGAGGCCATCGCGCAGGTGAGGAGGCGCAAGAAAACACCCCCAGAGCTCAGCTTTCCCCTAAAAAAAATTAAAAAAAAACCCTAAATGAGTCCTGAGGGATCCCGTGCCTGCGTTTTCCTGCCCTGCCGTGGGGCTGGGTGTATCCCTGGTGGTGTTTTGAGTCTTTTTCCTGTCCCTGCTCGCTCCAATTTTGTTTTTTTTTTGTCTCCCGTGTCCCCCAGTACGCCCTGGACAACGCCAAGCAGCTCTCGGTCGCCCACCTGTGCAGCATCATCCTCTCCTTCGCCCGCCTCAACTTCCAGCCCAGCGGCAGCGAGGATTTCTTTAACATGGTACGAGCTTCCTCCTTCCCCTCCCCTGACGCATCCCAAGCCAAAAAATGGGTGTGGGGAGGCTCCAGGGCCCTGTGGGGATGGGAATCGGGACCCCACAGCTCAGGACAGGCTGAAAAACCCTCCTTGAGCTGCTCTAACGGGACCAGGAAGCCCACCCAAGGAGGAACAGCCCCAAAAATCCCAATCCTGAGGGTTAGAGAAGCCTTCAAAGCTCATTTAGTGCGACCACCCCTCTGATTAATTTAATTTTTGAGGCATTGCAGGGAAAAAAAAAAGCCACGAGGCTGCCGCAGAGTGGTCCCAAAGCCTCGAGCAGCAAACAGAGGGGTTTTGGAGCTCCTCAGGGTGCTTTTTCTGTGTTTTTTTTGTGTTTTTTAGGTCCACGAGGAGCTTCGGGACCAGCTGGACGGGCTGGAGCCCCAGCTGCTGAGCGACCTGGTGTGGTCGCTGTGCGTGCTGCAGCAAGCCAAGCCCCACTACCTGCAGCGAGCCCTGGCGCCCGATTTCTGCGCCCGCATCCAAGGTGAGACCCCCCCAGGGCGCCGTCCCTACAAATTTACACCTCGAGAAGCCAAGATTTGGTGGTTTTCACCCCAAATCTGCCCTTCTGGGAGGCGCAGCCCCGTCAAATTCGGTCCCTGCCTCCTCCTCCGTGGCGGGGACTGGCCAGCCGGCTGCTACAGCGAGCTCTGTCGCCCATGGGCCCCTCGTCCCCTTTTCCCGTGGGACTTTGGGGACAAAACCGTGCCACAGACACCCCCACCGTGCCCTGGGGCTGCTCGTTTTGGGGCTTTTCACCCTAATTTCTGCTTTTTTTTCCCCCTCCCCGCCAGCCGATCCGTCCCCCAAAGCCCAAAACCTGCGGGTGAAGCTGCTGCACATCAACGCCACGGCCAGGTTGGAGATCCCCGAGTACCAGGGCCCGTTCCTGACCCCAAATCTGTTGGGAACTGTGGGGTCAGCGGGGGAAGGAGGCAGCCAGCTGCAGGGCAGCCTGCGGGAAGCCCTAACGGGGGTGCTGGGAGACCAGGACAGGGCACGATTCGACGCCCCCACCATCTACGGCTGGCAGATCGGTGAGCACGCCCTCTCCTCGCACCACCAGGAGGGAGAGGATTCGATTTTGGGGCTTAATCCTTCCATTTTGGGGTCATCCCTTCTCCTCGTGCAGCCTCCAACCTCTCCTGAGGCTTTTTGGGTGGGAAGGGAGCTGTGGGGCGGCAGCTCGGTGTCCCTAAAAGCCTCTTTTTGGGTTTTTTGCTCCCTGCAGACGCTGAGGTGGTGGTGAACGCCGAGAACAAACCCCTCCCCATAAAGGATTTCGCCGCCCCCCACCTCCTCCACGCCGAAGGGACGAAGCCGCTGCCGCCAGGAGCCAGGAGGTTGGGGCTGGGAGCCAAAATCCAGCTCGGGGCCGAGCTCCCTCCTTCCCCCTGCCCTATTGACATCCCCTTTTCCCTTTGTAGGGTTGCCTTCCTCAGGTGGGAGTTCCCAAATTTCAGCAATAGGGGCAAGGAGCTGCTGGGTCGCTACGCCATGGCCCGGCGCCACGTGCAGGCGGCCGGCTTCCTGCTGGTGGACGTGAGTAGCCCCAAATTTTGCTTTTCACCTCTTTTTAGGGGAAATTTTCCTCCCTCTGCCCCCGTTTCCTCATTTTTTGGGGGTTGGAGGAGCGGGACAGCACCCAGGGGGTGACCCTACTGTGTTTAGGGTCACCCTCGAGCCGTCCCAAACCCCAATCCCCAAAGGGGGAGAGGTTTTGGGAGCTTTTTGCCCCTCTCCCCCTACTCCTGGGGGCTCAGTGCAATGGGGCAGAGCCCCCCTAGAAGCCCCCCAGCGATCCTACAGCGGGATTAGCCGCCGGGAGGGGGGGGATCAGTAATAGGGGAGGACAGCAGGCAGGGGCTTAGCGCCCTGATCCCTGCCCCGGGGCATTAATCAGCCTCCTGGGGGGGTAATATAGCGGGGGGGGGGTAATTATAGCCTTTGGGGGGGGAATTATGGCCCTGGGGGGGGGAATTATGGCCCTGCTGGCAGCGGGGGCAGCGAGACACATGGCCCTAGGGGGCTCTCACCCTACAAAAAGCCCGAATTTGGCCACATTCTGCCCAAAAAACAGCAGTTTGAGGTGCTGTGCCCCCCCCAAATCCTGGCTGGAGATTTTTTGGGGGAAAATGAGGAGGAAACGGTCACTTTGGGAGCCCGCAGCCTTGTCAAATTCGGTGCCCGCCTCCACCCCGTGGCGGGGACCGGCCCAGGGGCTGCCACAGCAATAGGGTCGTGCTTCATGGGCCCCCTGCCCCTGCTTGTGGGGCTGCGGGGACAAAACCAAGCCACGCACAGCACCCCCCCACCCCAAATATCCCATATTATGACCCCAACCCTCACCCTTTTATTTTTTCCCCCTTTCCAGGTCCCCCACTACGAGTTCCTGGAGCTGAAGCTGGAGCGGCAGCGGGTGGCGTACCTCAGGGACAAGCTCAACAAGGCCCTGGCCAAGGATTTGGCGAGCTAGCGTGGCCCCAAAACCCCCCCCTAATAAAGAAACCTCCCCTAATAAACCACCCCGCTCCACCCTGCTGCATCTATGGGGCCAGGGGGGCTGCGCTGCTCGGGGCCAGGCTTTTGGGGTCTGTTTTTGGGGTGTGGGGAGCAGGGGAAGGGTTGGGGTGGTCGCTGCACCCCCAAAATTCTGCTTTTGGGCTTGGCCCCCCCCACAGAGCTGAGGATGAGGGGTGCAGCCTTGGGGGGGCTTTGTGGGGTGCAACAGGACCCCAAATGCACCCCCGGGGAGCCTCCAACCCCTTTGTCCCCGCTCCACGTCCCCAGCCGGCAAAACCCCCCCAGGAGGGTTTTTTTGGGGGGGATTAAGCCACCATCTGGGCTAAAAATCAGCGGGTTTTTGGTTTTGGGGTCACCACCACCCCTCCCCACGTCCCCCAGCCCCCCTAATGGGGTCGGAGCCCCCCCGGCAGGGCCCTGCTATGGGGCCGAGGCGGCGGCTGCTGAGTCACGGCCGGGGCTGCTCCTGGCACCGGCACGCGCCAGCACCCGCCTCGGGCTTTGATTTTTGGGGGGGGGCAGAAGGATTTGGGGGGGGGGTTTGGATCTGGACAACCGGGGTGCTTACCCCAAAATGGCACTGGGTGTCCTGGGGGTGTCCCATGGGTTCTAGGTCCCCCCCCTCCCTTTCTTTTAGGGCCATCTGTGCGCCCGGGTGGGGTCTGGCGGCACAGCGGGGGGGGTACCCAAATGTGTGACCCCCCCTCACCCCCCCAGCATCACCAGGGAGCCGTCCCCATCGCCATGGAAACGGGAGGAGAGGTGGCAGCGCCATGGGGACACCGGGGGGGGGGTGGCACCAGCCTGTCCCCTACCCCCCGGGGGGGGGGACACACAGGGTTTGGGGACAGCGGGTTTGGAGACGCCGCGGGGGGGACCCTAAATATGCGGCGTCAGCGGCTTTTGGGGGGCACGGGGGGGGGCTCCGAGCCCTTGTTAATATGGAAAAGGGGTTGTGGGGGCATGGGGGGGGCTGATTTTTATTTTAAAATTAAATAATGGGGGAAATAACGGGGGAAAAATGGGGGGGGGGGGTTCCCCTGCGCGCCCCAAATGCGCCCTCCCCGGGGGGGTGCCGCAGCGCCCGCAGTGGCGCACGCCCCTTGTGCTTATTTTTTTGGGGCTAAATAAATAAATAAAGGGACAAAACAAAAAAAAAAAAAGAAAAGGGGGAGGGATAATAATAAAAAAAAAAAAAAAACCACCAAACCTGCTGACATCATCCGGGATGACGGGGCTCTGTGTGTGCCCCCCCCCCCCCCCAACACCGATGCTCAGCCTCGCCCGGCGCAGCCGCCGTCGCCCAACGTCGCCGAAGCGAAGCCAAGGCTGAGGGGGGGGCCTTGGGGGGGGGGTCCCCAAAACCCCTCGGCCATGCCCGGAGAGGAGGCCTCCAGCAGCCCCCCGGGTCGCAGCCGGAGGCTCCTGGCCTCGCTCCCGGCCTCCAGCCTCTCTCGGGTTCGTCGGTGGCAGGTGAGGGGCTCGCGGCAACGCCGGGGATGGAGGCCCTAAAATAAAAGGGGGGGGAGGCCGCGTGGGGAGGGATGGAGGGTCGGAGGCTGTAGGGTTGGAGGATGTAGGATCGGAGGATGTGGGGCTCGGGGGATGGAGGAATGGAGGCTGGAGGGCTGGAGGGTGTGGGGCCAGAGGCTATAGGGCTGCAGGGGATGGAGGCTGTGGGGTCGGAGGATGTGGGGCTGGGGGGAGGGGGCTGCAGGGACGGAGGCTGTAGGGACAGAGGAGTGTGGGGCTGCAGGATGGAGGGTGCAGGGATGGAGGGTGTGGGGCTGGAGGCTATAGGGCTGCAGGGATGGAGGGCTGGGGGCTAGGGGGGTGGAGGCTATGGGGCTGGAGGCTGTAGGGATGGAGGCTGGGGGGCCAGAGGATGTGGGGCTGGGGGGATGGAGGCTGTAGGGCTGCAGGGACAGAGAATGTGGGGCTGAGGGGATGGAGGGTGTAGGGTTGGAGGATGAAGGGATGGAGGGTGTGGGGCCAGAGAATGTGGGGCTGGGGGGCTGCAGGCTGTGGGGCTGCAGGGACGGAGGCTGTAGGGACAGAGGGTGCAAGGATGGAGGCTGTGGGGCTGGAGGAATGGAGGCTGTGGGGCCGGAGGCTGTGGGGCTGTAGGGACAGAGGCTGTGGGGCTGGAGGGTGCAGGGATGGAGGGTGTGGGGCCGGAGGCTGTAGGACCAGAGGATGTGGGGCTGGGGGGGTGGAGGCTGTAGGGTCAGAGGCTGGAGGAATGGAGGTTGTGGGGCTGGAGGGATAGAGGATGGAGGGCACGGGGATGGGGGCTGTGGGGCTGGAGGACGGAGGCTGTGGGGTCAGACGATGCAAGGACAGAGGATGTAGGGCTGCAGGAATGTAGGGTCGGAGGGATGGAGACTGTAGGGACAGGGGCTGTGGGGCTGCAGGGATGGAGGCTGTAGGGTTGGGGGGCTGGAGGTTGTGGGGACAGAGGCTATAGGGTCGGAGGATGTAGGGCTGGAGGCTGTGGGGCTGCAGGGACGGAGGCTATAGGGCTGGAGGCTATAGGGCTGGAGGTTGTAGGGACAGAGGAGGACACGGGGACGGAGGACGCGGGGCGGCAGCGCTCGACCTGAGGCTTTCCTGCCCCCCCCTTTTGGGGTGGGGGAGGGACACCACCCGGCCCCCCCCGGCCCCAAATTGTGCCCCCGGTACCGGGAGACCCCACAACACCCAAGGGTGCCCACACCCCCCACACACACCCAAGGGCCATCGGTCACCGCTCCCCAAGGTCACCCCACAGATATAGGGCCGGGGGGGGGCCCCAGTGGTGCCCCCATCCCACTGCCCCCCCCCAAGGAGTGGGGGATATCGGGGGGGGGGGCAGTGCCCAAATGGGGCCGGGGGGGGCAGGGAGGGGATGGGGGAAGGGGGGGGGAATTGGGCTCTAAGGGGTTAAAGGGACCCTACAGAGCTGGGGGGGGTCCCCATGGTGAATTTGGGGATGGGGGGGGCACAGGGGTTTACCCCTATAGGGACAGAGTGGGGGTGTCCCAACCCCATTGCCCCCAGCCCCCTGTATCCCCCCCCGGCTTAATTTGGGGACAAAAAGCCCTCCCCACAACCCCCCCATCCCCATCCTGGGTGCAAATGGGGATCCCAAAGCCCCCCCCATAAAGCACACGCCCCCCCCCACAACACCCCATAAATGCAGCACAAACATCACCCCAAAAAAATAGAGGGGGGACTGCTACATCCCCAAAACCACCCCAAAACTGTCCCCATCCTTTATGGGACCCTCCCCAAAAAAAAAATTCCCAGGGGCGGCCCCTCCCCCTTCCCAGCAGCCCCACAGCCCCGCCCCCCCCCCCCCCCCCTATAAAACCCCCTCGGGTCCTGGGGGGGTCTCTGGGTGCTGCTGGAGCCTCCCCTGCCCTATGGAGCCCCCCATAAGAGCCCTAGGTAATGGGGGGGGATTTGGGGCATTTTGGGGTGATTTGGGGCTTTTTTGGGGTTTATGGGGTGGGGAGGGCTGTGTGCCCCTCCTGTCTTTGGGGTCAGGACCCTAAACTCCACGCAGTGATGAGGGTGTGATGGATTTTGGGGTGGGGGGGGGTTCTGTTATGTCCTCCCCCAAAATTGGGGGGGTCTCAATGCTTAGGGTTACCCCCAAACCCTAAATGCCCTGGGTGCTGCTGTGTCATCCAGGGGATGGAACTGGTTGTGGGGGGGTCTGGCTGCTCCCCCCACCCCAAAACCTTAAATAGGGGGATTTATTTTATTTTTTTTGGGGGGGTCACCCCTATAATCCTCCCCAGCCCACTGTGTGTCCCCCAGGCTTAAATTAGGGACAAAAAGCCCCCCCCTCCCTGGGTAAGGACAGAAAGGGGGGGCTCTACCCCATTTATTTTTTGGGGGGGTCTATGAGGACATAAGGGGTTCCCTGCCCCCCCTCCCTCACCCCTCTCTCCACAGCCCCCCCAGGGGACGTCGTCGCTGCTGTCGCCCCCCCGATGCCCACCAAGGAGGAGGCTCGCCCCCAACCCGAGGGGGCCAGCTGCGACGCCCCCCCCGGCCCCTCCACCCCCCATGCGGCCGAGCACGGCCCCCCAGCAAGGGCTGCCCCCCCCCCACCCCCCCAAACCCCCCTACACCCACCCCCTCTGCCCCCCCCTACAGACCCCTTGGACACCCGCATCGTGATGGGCGAGGAGACGAGCTGCCCCCCAAAACCCTCCGGAACCCCCCCACCCTTTTAACCGCCCCCCCAGGCCTCCAACCTGGACCCCGACCTCTTCTTCACCGCCCCCTCCACCCCCGTGAGGACCGGGGGGGCTCGACCCCAAAAGGAGGAGGATGATGAAGATGAGGATGAAGATGGGGGGGACGTGGGGAGCGAGGGGTTGGGCTCCCCCCCCACGTCCCCCTCCGGATCCTATATGACGGCCGAGGGGGGCAGCTGGGGGTCTTCGGGCACCGCCAGCACCTCCCCGTCCTGCTCCCCAAATCTCCTGGTTGAGGCCCCCGACGGCGAGGCCGGGCCTGCGGCCTTCACCCACCAGCTCCTCATCCTCCTCCTCTTCCTCCTCCTCCTCCTCCGAGGATGAGGACGAGGACGAGGCCTCGGCGAGGCAGGAGGAGGAGGATGAGGAAGAGGAGGATGAGGATGGGGGCAGTGGGAAGGCGTTGGGGGATGAAGGCTCCCCCGGCGGCCTCATCCCCGCGGCCTTGCTGCCTTTCCGCGGCAGCCTCCTCTTCGAGGCTCGAGGCCGTGGAGATCACTTTGGTGCCGGCCCAGCCGGCGGCCGAGCCCCTCTCCGAGGAGGATGAGGATGAAGAGGAAGATGAGGAAGAGGAGGATGAAGACGCCAGCACCTCGGCCTCCTTCCTCCGCTCGCTCTCCGAGACCTCCATCAACGAGGGGGTGGACGAGTCCTTCGCCTTCCGCGACGACACCTCGGCCTCCTCCGACTCGGCCTCCTACGACGGCGAGGAGGACGAGCGGCTCTATGGCACCGAGCGCCACGCCTTGGGGGGGCCGGGGGGTCGCCACCCCCTCCCCCCGGCCTCCGCCGGCACCCCCGGGGACCCCCAGCCTTCCTCAGGGGACATCGAGCTCCATCTGCGAGGCCGGGAGGAGAGGCCGTCGCCGGGGGGGGCCTCGAGGTGTGAGGCGGCCTCCGGGCCTCAAATTTTGGAGGCTGCCGAAAAGGGGGAGCAAGATGGTGCCCACCCGGCTGAGGAAGAGGAGGAGGTTGAGGAGGATGAGATGAAGAGGATGAGGAAGAAGAGGAGGAGGAGGAGGTGGTGGAGGCCTCTGAGGTGGCCTCCGTTGAGGCTCCTGCCACAGAAGTCAACATGGAGCCGATGGGCGAGGCCTTCAGCCCCTCCTCATCCTCCTCGGAGCCGGAGGAGGCCTCCACCCTGGAGCCTGATGTCCTCCAAGAGCCCGACCCCGTCCCGGAGGAGCCACCCCATATGGAGGCCGCCATCCCCACGGAGTCCCTGCCCTTGGAGGAGGCCGAGGAGGCGACACCAGAGGTGGTGGAGGCCCCGGAGGTGATGGAGACCCAAAAAATGGTGGAGGCCCAGGAGGTGGTGGAGGCCCAGGAGGTCCCAGAGGTGATGGAGACCCCAGAAGTGGTGGAGGTCCCGGAGATGGTGGAGACCCCAAAAGTGGTGGAGGTGGTGGAGGCCCTGGAGGTGACAGAGACCCCAAAAGTGGTGGAGGCCCACCCGGAGACCGACCCCGATGCGGATCTGGAGGCCACAGCCAGCGCCCCGCAGCCCCCCTGCGCCGGGGAGACCAAAGACCCCCAACCCCATGACCACGAGGGGGACGCCCCCACCCTGCCCGCCACCAACGGCACCCACGAGGTTGAGGCCACGGCGGTGGTGGAGGCCCCGGAGCCTCCGTGCCCACCCCAAGAAGGTGACCCCGAGGCCGGCAGGACGGCCCCCACCCCAAATGAGGACGCCCCCGAGCTGCAGGACGGGGTCACGGAGGAGACCCCGGAGCAGGAGGAGGCCGTTGAGGAGGTCGAGGCCCTTCAGGAGGACGGGGAGGCCGCGGGCAGCGAGTCCCCACCGCCGGGTGACGGTGACAGCGCCGCCACCGAGGAGCCGGGGGATGAGGACGAGGGGGGGGATGCGGAGGACCCCGAGGAAGCCTCCGGCGAGGACCTGGAGCCGGCCTCAAGCAAGGTGGAGGCCGAGTGGGACGCCACAGCCTCCTCTTCCTCATCTTCCTCCTCCTCCTCCGAGGACTCCTCGCCCGAGCCCTTGGACACCTCGCGCTCCCGCACCGACTCCCCAGCTTCTTCACCGCCCCCGAGGACAGCGCGGGGGAAGGCCTCCAGCCTTCCTCCTCCTCCTCTTCCTCGCTGCCCCCCCGGCCCTGCATGGCTCTCTGCCTCCTACCCCCGGCCTCCTCCAGC